GGTAATAATGCGTAATAAACGGCTGTGGACGCATCTGCAAAAGAAGCACGTTGGAACAATGTCGGCCAAAGGCCTGTGAAAGGGCTTTCCGAGGCAAGTGTTCGAGACAGAACCGACACCAGTTGTGAGAGGGTGTGTAAGTCTCCCCAGACCTGAAAGATCCTTCGTAGGGCTAGGTATGGCTGACGATGCTCAGGCTAGTTGCGATCTTGCTGTTCTCGAGGATGACGTTGCTCCGAGTCGATGGAAGCCGGAGCTGTGATGGCTGAGAATAAGTCTGCTGTCGTCCCGTCTCATCTGCCACTTTCTAGGCTCTGCAGCTAGAAGACGAAGCGGGCACGCTGGAATGGTTGTCGTTGATTACCTAGTCCCCTTGGGGGTTCGCAAGATGATCACGACCATGTGGCGCCGTCTGTCCTGCGGCCTGTGTGGCCTGTGGCCTGTGGCCTGCCAGTAGCCCTGCCAGTATGTTTGCGCGTTCCCGGCGGAAAGCTCGAATAATAGCTGATGGACACGGGCAAAAGTTGGCTAGCCTCGTATGGCATATCGACCCGGGGTACGGCGCACCCATGACTTTGCTGGCGACGTTTCTTTGGCTGTGGCCAGGTACGTCTGATATCATGGCGAGGCCAGACCAGGCCACGAAATACGTTTGGGTAGTTGGTCATCTGTACTACTTGGTCGCCATCATCGTTGTATCGCCGTTGGGCTTCATTCCTTGGTTTTTTCCTTCCCTTTCGTTCCATGGGCTGCTTGTATCCGTAGACTGATGACGGATGAGAGGTTGGGCATCGAATTGATCGAGTGCCATGAGCAAAAACTCGATGGGAGAAAACGGTTTGGGTTGGGAGAGAGTTGGAGGAGGGAGGGAGGGGTGGGTGGTTGGGCTAGCGGGGAGACGGTGCGCTTCTGGACAGACGGTGACAGCTCAAGTTTTGCTTGTCGTGCTCGCTGCTGGGAAGGTCCTCGCAGGCCTTGGGCATCTCCCGAACGTTCCTGCCTCCATTAGGTAAGCGAGCAATGTACGTACTTTGGTACCTTCTTCCTGAGGAGAGGGGAACTTCCATCTGGAAGGAGTCAGAGTCAGGTCCATCGTGAGTTGACGGAGGAAGGCACGGCACCGGAGGACGGGGACCAAATGCCCGAAAGACCCGCTTTTATCGCAAACGGTGGTCAAACGAGGTGTTTGTTCACCGCCAGATGGCCCCGGACAATCGCCGCAGTGCGTGTCATCAAGCCGAATGGGCGGTGCTGATGGAGTCAAGAAAAAGCAGGTACGGCGAGAGGAGTTCGCTTCCATGGCCCTGCTGGGCAACTGGGCCTGGGCATTACCTCAGCAACGTCTGACAGATGCGTTTGAAATCGTGTTTTTCATGTTGCCAAATATGGCTCGGGTAGCTCTACCAGCTTCCAATTGATGTATCCGTACTGTATGTTGCATGACCCGGAAGAAAATAGAATATTCAGAAACCCGCCGGATGGTCAGACTGACTTGATGCAACGCAACTGTCTTTCCGAAAGCCTCCGGCTGGGAGGTTCAGGTTCGCGTTCGCCGAACAGACCAGAGGAACACAGCCTCCAGTTCGCAGAACGATGGATTACACTATCAGCCAAGGTCCCTTTAGACTCGGACAGATGATTGCTTAGCGTGTACCTAAAGAGCCGTTTTGTCAAGCACCAACGGGCATTCCCTAAGTTGTTGATTGAGTTTGTCATTCATGGTGCGCTATCCTCGGGAAACGGGACGTTTTGGCGTCTGTCCAACCAAGGTTGCTGCTTGAAAACGGACGAACGTTTCAAAGGGCGGCCAGCTGCAGCGTTGGAGGCTGAACGGTTGCCAGGTGCCACCTTGTGCTCGCAGGCCGCGTTGTTGCCACTCAACCACTAAAGGGAGGAGCAGATGGACGGTGCGCGACAAACGGCGGAGTGAGGTACTTGGTAGACCAAAGTCCGAAGTACTCTTGTCGACGGTACGTGGACATCGCCCCTCAACCCCTCACGAGGCAAAGTACCCATGACTTTACGTACGAGCCACCGCCTGCTTCCAATTGCCCACTGCCACATCCTTCTTGCCTTCCTCCGCTACCTTATTGCTTGCACTTTGCAGTGCAGTTGCGGTGCCCTGATGCTGGTACCAGGCGCCAGGCAAGTGCTCCTGGGTGTTGGTGTTGCCGCTGCCCAATCGACAAGGCGAACAAGCGTTTACGGTGCCATGCCATCCCTAATCCATCAATTCCCATCCAACGACATTCCCAGCTTCTCGCGGGTACAACCACAGCATTACACTCGGCTCTCATGGATACAGCGAACAAAAGACGAAGTACGCGAAACCCGCGCTCCCGTGTTTTTGCCCCTCGAGGAAACAGAGATTTCATTTTTTTCCTTCCCTCTTCGTCAACGAGAAACTCCCCGTCCCTCCGAAAGGCGCTGAAGGCTAGAATGATTCAGGTTGATTCATCCATCGTCATCTTTGGCCCCATACTCTGATCCCTCCAGCCGAGGCGCAGCGTGCAAGTTGTCGTCGGCATCTTCGTCAAAGTTGCGCGATGACCCCCTTGGATCATGGAAGATATCCTAGCACGATACACACATCACTTGGCGGGCTGAAGCTGTATCCCCTACACCGTAGGGAGCAAGGCGAAGTACATTGTTGCTTCCATCGTTTGGGTTCGATCTTCTTTCCCCAACCACCCCACCATCGGTACTCTCCTTCACCGTATCCAGGGCCGCCATGAGCGATCGACTTTACGGCGGGAGCCCATGTGCCGTCCCTGTCGCTCATCACCTGAAGGGTTCGGTTCGTGGCCGACCTCTTGCGGTCCCATATCTACCATGCCACCATGCCTGCCAGCTAAACAAGTCTCCCCGACAACGCGAGACCTCTGTACAGTAAAAAGCACGAGAGAAACCGAGACGGCCTATAGCCACCGATACGGGCAGGTCTCAGGGGTCCCGCATACGTCAGGCGTTGCGTATCATGGCTCAGCTCCGCCGGGGGGTTCAGTCATTTACTATCCAATCCGCCCCCGCGGCCGCCTACCACAGCTGCAGCAAGCCACCGCAAGCTGCTGTACTCTGCCCGTTTGGGCGACGGACGACGCGGGTCGGACAGAGAGGGAAGCAGGGCCTGTCCGCCGCCGTGGAAGCAGAGAGAAGGACACAGACGAGACACCGGTCGATGCCAGTCTCCAGACAGGCAGCGGGACGGACTTCAGCGGCGGGTTACGCAGAGAAGGACGAGACCGATGACAAGCCGGGTACGACGGTGCTCCGACTGACAGACCTCGGACTTTAGGTCTCTGTGCGCTTGTCCGTCTGGGGTTCAGAATAGGCGGTCGAACAGAACAGACTCAAGCTGCGGTCCGTGGAAAGGCAAAAAACCAAAAGACCAGACGATGTCTGAGGTTCAACGACGACAAGTGCGGCACGGAGTGAGTACCAGAGACAGAGTGGTGGCACCGATGGACGAGCAAGCAATAAAGTCACCGTCGTCCATCCACAGCAAGCCTTACCCGCTGGGCACGCCGCACATCACACCCACTCCAGCCCCTCCAGAAGCCCAGTCCCCCCTCCTCTTCTGGGGGTAGAATAAGACGTGGGATCCCTTTCCAGTCAGGGACAGCATCATCAGCCAAGGCCAGAACCGTCTCACCTGGCTACAAGCCCCATCCGTTCGCCCCCGTTTGTGCTGTACCGCATGCGAGAAGCGTATCAGCTGCCGTCTTGTGTGCAGTCGTAAATGTATCTGTTCATAGGCTACCGTCTGTGGGCAACAGCCCTGGCAGTCTGGTCATGACTGTTTAACCACACCTCTTGAAGGGGAAAGACTGGCTGGATGATAGCCTTGATACAGTCAACCATCCATCTGACTGGAGGTAACTGGTCAAATCAAATGGTGACGGCAGAGCCAGAAGGGGAATTTGGGTGTGGTGGTTGGGAGGCATGTACCCTCGGTTCAGATTCTCACGCTGCATCTGAACACCAGCCAAAAAAGACAGAATGACAGGAGAGGGAGGTCGGTCCCCTGGGGCTCCGTTTCGTTGGATTGAAACGGAGAGTGACAAAACTGAGGCTGATCCCCAACTCGGTTTGCGCTAGCGGCCGTCAGCCGTTTTTGACTGGTGGACGCTCCGCTACAGATGCTGTCCTTTTTCGTCCAACCAGCAATGGCCCAGGCCCAGCCATCGACCACCGTCTCGTCCAGTCATAGTCGCCTCTCCCCCTCCTTTTCGCCCAAAAGCCCGTGACCTCATCGTCAGTCAAGAGCACCTGCGAATACACCGTCTCCAATACTTGGTCAGCCCCCGTGCTGTCAAGTCACGTCCTCAGTCCACCATCCTCGTTTCTTGAACAGTACGAATACGTACCATTGGATGGCCTCTCCCAAGTCCCGACTCGCCGAGAATACCGCACTCAAGGTACACGAGCCAGACGGGAAACACAGGGCACACCAGACTCCATCTTCGCAGCTCTCGCCCGGTCTGGCCACCTCAAGATCCAAACCAAAAAAATGACAAGCAATGGGGCATTTGTCTTGGGTACTGGACCCTTTGGGCACCCGATTTCGTCACAGACTCTCTCAGAGTGTGTGAGTACCTAGTTACCTATCCTTTTCCTGGCCAAGCTGTCCGTACAGACATCTGTAAGGTAAGGTAAGGCACTTTAACCTGTACGTACAGTCTACGCAAGGTAAGGTACCTACCGTATGATCTAGCGAGAATAACGTGAGGAAGGTACATGCATCTTGCAATGAGAAACGTACCGTCGACCCCAGGCTCTGTGACCCACCGTCCACGGACCTGTGGCCCACTTTAACCCACCGCGCCTTCCACGTCCCACGCTTGCACCGGCTCGCTCTCGACTGACAGGACGGAAACGCCCTGATGTACGTATGTATCTATGTACCTATGTACCTGATGTAGGTACTCCGTATCTTTTGTATGGGCCATCGGCTGTCCATTCATCAATCGTCCACCCGCGTCAATCCACAATCCAACCGTCCATCTGCCATCCATCATCCATCGCTGCCATCCACCCACGCATCTGGGGACCCTCTCTTCGCAAAGTCGCATGGTGCGCCCAAAGTCACTTTCTTCCCTCTTTGCCTTTCTAATCCTCAGTCATTCAGCGTCCAAAAGTCTCTCCGCTCTTCCAGTCATCGCTCGTCTCGGCTCCTGACAAGCATCCCAGCGCCCGGGAACTCCACCGCTGTCAGAAGTCACTCCAGTTCTCCCATATCCGCCTCCGTTTCCTCCTGGGCCTCTGGAGATCCTCCCGATACCTATTTGGCACGCCTTCCCCCCCTTCTCCATCTCGTCTTTCGCTTGAGCTGCCCGTCCAACGCAACTTGCGAACATCAACCCACGAAAACAACTCCACCTGCGTACTGGACACTGGTTGCGCTGCTGCACCTCGAGGGGAAAGCCCAGAGATAGGAGCCACGACCCACGATCGACCACCCGTCCGACTCTGGCCCTCGCCCTCGCCCTACGCATCCGGCTGCTTCTCTCGCCCTCTTTTGCCATCCATATCCGCATCTGCAACTCTTGCCTCTGCTCTCCTCTATTTGTCTCTCTCTCACACACACACACACTCTCTCTCACTCAATTCACAACTCTGAACCATAACATCATCACCTCGCCTTAACGATACCCAACCTTCCGTTCCGCCTTATCTGATCCTCCTTTTTGCCTCTTCCCTCACAGTACATCACTTGTCGCGACTTCACTTCAGCCTACATACTACCTTACTACTACTTCTACTTACTACCGTACTTCCTTCACCTTTCTGCTCCCTCAACATTCCACTTAAGGAACCCCCTCCGTTCTGGATTGAAGCTTCGCGCCGGGTACCGCGGTCCCGAAAACTTGACAACAACTGCCAACAGCCTGCTGCAATTGCAAAGGGTAACCCACACAGCCTCGAGTACATAATCATAACCGCCTCAATGCAACAATAGCCTCGTCGTCCGCACAGAGACCGACACGAACCGGACCGCAAGCAACGCCTTGTAGTCTTTCGACCATTACCACAGCCTTGATTTGATCAGTCGCTCTCTGGCCGCCGTCGAACTGGATTCACGAGCCCCCATACCAACATCACACCGCCATCAGACATCTTCATCATGTCCGCTTTGCCACCCGACCCGTACAAGATTTTAGGCGTTTCCAAAGATGCACAACTCGCAGAAATTCGAAGTGCCCACCGAAAGCTCGTCCTCAAATGCCACCCCGACAAGGTCCAGGACCCGACGCTCAAGGCCCAAAAGCAAGATGAGTTTCAAAAGGTTCAGCAGGCCTACGAGATTCTGAGCGACGAAAACGAGCGAGGCAAGTACGATGACAACGTCAAACTGGCCGAGCTCCGCAAGGAGATGGCCAAGGGCATGTCCGCCAACACCTCGGCTCCCAGAGCGCCTGCCGCCAGATCCTACGAGGTCCGCACCGCCGAGCCCCGACCGGATACCTACAAGACAACGTACCGTGCCTCCCCCGGCGGCAAGCCCATGTACTCTACCGGGTACAATTCTCGATCTTGGGACGAAGAAATTCACAGCAGATCAAATTCCATCTTCGAAGAGCCTAGGGCTCGCCGGGCCGCAAGTTACGAGAAAAGTTACGAGAAACCGTCCCGCCAAGACGAAGAAAGAGATCGAGAGCGGGAACGGGAACGGAGACGTAAGGAAGAGAGGGACAGAGAACGCGAGGAGCTCGCCCGTGCCGCAGACCGCAAAGAAAGGGAACGCGAGAGGGAGCGTGAAAGAGAACGCGACAAGGAGCGAGAACGCCAAGAACGCAAGGCGTACGAAAAGCAGCTCAAGAGGGCCGCCGAAAAGGCCGCGGCCGACAAGGAAGAGCGTCGTCAAGAACGCAAGCGCCAAGAGAAGGCCGAGAAGGAGAGAGAAAAGGACCGTAAACGCGAGGCCGAAGAGAAGTCGCGCAGACACAAGCCTGTCTACATCGAAGATGATGAGTCCAGCTACTTCGCCAAGTCTGACAAGAAGAAGTCAAGTAGCACCAAGGAGAAGGAGAAGGACAAGCGATCTCGCTCGATCCCGCCTGGAGGCGCCCCTCTCCGTGAAGAGCCGCCTGTGCCACCGGTGCCTACTATTCAGGCCGATGCCAAAGTTTCCAAATATGCCGACACCATGCTGTACGCAGCGTCATACATGGATCAGTCTCGCAAGGCAGTTCACCCAGGTCTGAGCCGTGCCCAGACTTCGTACGAGCCTCGACATGTGCCTGTCGCGGTCCCGACGCCGCCCGCTGCGATTCCTTTCGCTCCTCCTCCCATCCCTACGGTCGAGGAGGACACCAGTCGCAGATCAAAGTCGAGACGCTCCTCTGAGACCAAGACACGGGACAAGTCAAGTCATAAGAAATCATCACCCACAAAGGAGGCACCGGTTCCGCCATCGCCCAATGTTGTCGATGCCTCTCCCAGCACTCGCCACATGGCTCAGTTCGCTTCCGCGACATCTTCGCCAGCATCTACCTCGCCGCCTAAGCACTTGGGTAGAGCGGCCACCTTCAACGATGGGTACAACCGTCCTCCTCCTGGTCCTGTCAGGGCTCAAACATTTTCCCATGTGCCTGCTGAGTCTGCCGACGTCCGGGGCCGTGGTCGCTCAAGGCTGCAGCCGCAGCAGGTTTTGAGCGAGGACTCTGATGATTCGGAGGAAGACCAACGTCATCAGCAAAGGAGTCATCGACACAGAACGCACTCTCCCGAGGCGATACCGTATGAGACTGGCCAACGCACTCGATACACTGTCAATGCTGGAAGAGCAGTCCCAGTCGCTGCTGAGGCTGCATATGCTTCAGCCTATCGCGACGACTCTCCTCCGAGGAAGGTCAAGCACGACTACTACAGTGTCCGCCCTTCCATGCCGTCTCGCGAGGCAAGCTACCAGAGCTCCAACCCGTATTTTTCCAAGGTGAAGACGGCGAGATATGATGACGTTCAGTACACCAACATCCCGCATCGTTACCGCGATGAGTATGCAGGCTACGCTTAGCGGCAAATAAATGGCGCAGCTCATTAACGTCTCGATCTCACAATGGTCATCCCGCCCTCTTCGCAATGAGAGATACTTCGCTCTGCTGGAACGCGTCGATGTTCATCCTCCTTACGTCCTAATTCGCGCGGCTGATTTCCATTTTCTATGTTTTTTGTTAGCTTTCATGTTTTCATCTCGAGCTCTTTTTCTTTGGTTCGTGCTGGTATGAAGGGGACGATATGAAAGAAAACCATACAGTAACGAGTACCGATCTGTCTTATTGATATCAACCTGGGAGGGCTGCGATTGACGAGCCCGAAATGGCGCTGAGGGCATTTGAGGGACTGAGGCCGCTTGAGACGGCTATTGATTGGCATTTATGGAGCGAGACGTGCTGGGCGGTGGTGTTTGCCTGGGATGACGGGTGCTAGGCAAAGTGGCGACTGGGTAGGGATAAAGGAAGCTTCTCGAGTTCGGTCAGGTGCCTTGTGATGAGGCGTTCACGAACAACGAAGCCTTACCATCTCCCTCCTTCCACATGACCAGGCTGAGCCCCGTTTCAGCTCCAGGCAGCCGGCCCCGTCCACGCAACGGGGACATTGGGAACGTCCTGGGTTTCTCACAGAAGTTGTTGTACGCTGGAGTCTGACGATACACACATGCATTGGGATGGCGACATATATTTTACACATTTACTGGCTATTTTTTCCAGATCTTTAACGAACTCAAGACATATTTTCTCATCCTTGTCAAATCGTTTTTTTTTTTTTTTGTCATTCGCTACAAGGAGTTTGAAAGCGGAGGGGATATACCACACTCATTTTGTGCACGAGTCGGGGAAGGAGAGAAACAATGGAAAGAGGAAGAACATATGAAAGAGGAGGAGTTATTATACCATTATGGTGGGCATGTGCCTGTTGAGGAAAGGACGATCATCGTGAAGGATAGTCGTGGGTCCTGGGAGGGCGGCTATAGTTAGATTCTCTGTCGAATGGAAATGCATTCTTGACACGTCTATCTTGCTGACTCTCGATTCGGTGATGTTCTTTGACGAGATCGAATGATGGTTAAGAGAAAATGCAAGTGCGATGGTACGAGGTTGGATCACGGTGGCCTGGACTCGGGTGGTCTAGACCTGGTTGATGCGTCTAGTCGAGTGATTACGACGTTCGTTGGGGGGTGTTCTTGGGAGAGATTATGGAACGAGAATAAGAAGCGTGGGGAGGTGTTTTTCCATTTATTATATTGCGGCTGAGATTACTTCTTGGTCTTGGGGATTTCGGTGAGGGTGACGTGTCACGCAGATACTGATCAGGCTGTCTACGGAGCCTCGGGGGGCTTGGCTGAGAGGTTCCGAAGGCGAGGGCTGTGTCGAATTGACTGGAGTTGAGCTGGCCTGGTTAAGATATGTATAAAAAGAGAGGCTGGGGCTTCATTTTTGAAGTTCTACTACAGAGTCAAATCTCTGAGGTTACTGCCGCCGAGGTAAAGACATCCCACTTGCGGTTGACGCGCAACCTTTGTATCTGCTTGGACCTAGGATCCAAATTCTCTGCAAGCTAATGTCCCTCAGCCTCTGTATCTGGTACCTGCGGTCCAAGGAGCTCCTCGGCCGTTTGTTTTCACGGGGTAATCTGCCACGTATATAATGCGAGAGGAGTGTAGGTGTGGTGCATAGTGAGTCGGTCTTTGGTAGAATGCCATCTTGCTGATGTGAAATAGACTAGGTCCGTAGCAAGTGGATCCACATCGCTATCCTCGCTAGAAGTCTAAGTTGTTCTCAGACAGGCAGCGCCGGATCGAATGGCGTGGGTGTTACGAACTTGGGGAGATGTTAGTCCTGCCTATTTTATACACTTACGAAAGACAACGAAGCAATATGCAGAGAGTCTATTCCTGGCTCATTTATAACTACCTTTGCAAACGGCCGTAGGAAGCGATGATGTTTCTGAAGATGACTATTTCCTCATAGGCAGTGCAGTCACGCGGTGCTTTGGTCGATGAATGTCTTTTGCGCCGGTTTACAACGGGCTTGAAGTATCTTTGGATTCACGCTGGAACTGGAGTTTATCATCCGGCATCAGTGCTGGCACGAGGTACCTGAGATCCTCGATCGAGCAGTAGCAGCGCTGTGGCAAGTCTAGTCAACTGGTTTCGTTCTTTAACAGTTACGAAATGTTCGTGGTCCATTGAATGATGCATGTATCGTCCTGTAGCCGCGTGCTATCGCTAAACTGTGCGCAGAATATTCTCTCAGGCTAGCAGAGCTTGGGACTTGAGAAGTGTATGATAAGCGTCCTTGGAGACCAACTGATCCGAGCGGACAGTAAAAGAGTTCCAGATTGACGAGTTGTAGATTCAATATCAGAAGAGAGCCAGATGAGAAATAGACAGAAGACACCAGTCTTTAGTCAACGATTGAATGATTTGGCAGCTCATGAGGTTTGAGATTGTTTCCAACACATCATATATAAAGACCCTGTTCTCTTCAGCATCGGAGGAGACGGGCCACCAGTCCTGGGCCGTCTTCGTGGTTCTATACTGCGTCATTATCGTGGGCGAGATGATGCATTCTCCACCAGAGGTCGATGATATGATAAGTCATATCAATAGTCGCGTCCGAGAAGCTTCTAACTATGACATGTTTCTTATTTTCATTTCTTGGCGGCTTGGTTGTATTCTATTGTCAATACATGCTGAAGACATGATAACATAGTCGGACATTTGTTGATCTAGTTGAATCGATTCATTCTTTGTTGGATCATAGAATAAGACAGATACATCATGCAGAACCTCCGCGGTTCCCAGATATTAACAATACGGGCATTAAGATTAATCCAACAATGTGCTTGAGTCATGGTTGCCCATTCTGAGTTTTCCAAAATCTTTCCTGCAGAGTTACAGAAGCAATTTATACGCATTTTCCAACGGTACACTCATGCTTACGGACATGGACTATTCATAACTTAAGCAAGGAGCCACTTACCCCGGCAGTCTAGGTTTCAAGGCATGGGTTCCGCCTCCCGCTTTCTGGTAACTTGGTAAGGAGTATTTGGCCAGCAATCGCGGCGGGTGTTGGGCAGAGTGGGTGAGTGGCGAAATATCGAAGGCAGGCCGAACATTTAGCCGTTCATTTGAATCGTTCGTATCTTGCTACAGCCCGTCCGCTGGTACGAGTACCAACATCACAGCGAAAGAACGCTATGTCCAACACTTTACCTGGTTCATCTGAATACTTCACATAACTCAACTGATCAATGCCGGACTTTTAAGACAGAGCCACTGAGAGCTCTCAATGTGTATGATATTCGAATCAAACGAAAATAAAGACAATGGACATACAGGGAAGCCTCGCGCTCGTTCTCGGCTTTTGTAAGAACTTTGATGATACGCCCCACCCAGGCCTCGACGCCTTGCTTATGGTTTAACGGCATCTGGCGTAAAGCAGGCAGGTGTACAGACGTACCTCGGTGAAACCCTTCCTTAGGCCTCCCGTCTTAGCTTTGGGCCATGTGTAACGGGGCGAGACTCGGGGGGCGATGGCAAATACGGCATGAGAGGAAACGTTTCATTCCTCGTCGTCTCCCTCCTCATAATCTTCTTCTTCTTCATTTTGAACCCCGGCAGAGGCATCCCGCGCCTTTGCGCGCCGTATACTCGCCTGGATATTCCTCACATCACTCTCCCTCACCAACGCCCCCGTCTCCTCTGAAATCTTCTCAGCAATCACGCGCGCCGTCAACTTTCCCGTCGGCAGGTCCCCCCTCGACAACGCATCCACTCGGTTCCGGATCCCCTGCACGCCGCCCTCGGCCGCCTCCCAGCTGAGCTGGCGGAAGGAGCGGCTCGTGGCAAGGGACTCGGTCAGCGGCGGGTGGTTGTGCTCCATGTTGTGCGGGATGCAGACCCAGCAGTCGGCCTGGAGGGTCAGGTGCGCGCGCCACATGCAGCCCGTCTTGTTGGACTTTGTGTTGCGGATCATGGCGACGGAGGCTTTTGGGCGGCCGCCGCGATCACAGCTCAGGTCTTGGCGGTAGATTTCCTTGGTGCCTGCGGAGCGCTTGGAGCGGGTTTTGATGACGCCGTAGCCTTCTTTGCGTTGGAATTCGCGGACTTTGGCGACGAGGCCGTCGAGGGTGGAGTCTGTGATATACATTTGTTCGGTTGGTGAGCTGGTGATAGTGGTGGTTGGTGGTGCAGAGTGTTTGAGTGAGAAGACAGGGGGTGGTCTGTCGTTAATTGTTTGGGAGTAAGTTGGGGGGCAAGTAAGGGGACGGAGCGACGCGTTGCGCACCATTTAGCATGCTACACGGCCATCCGGAGCTTGGGTAAAGTTTAAGCGGTGGCCGAATAGTGAATAGGGCGCCGGATAAGGATCATCCTTCCTCCGTAATGTACTTGGTGAGGACAGAGGCTGTGTTCCGTTGAAAGCATTAACTTGTAGGTCGATCCATTGTTATAAAGCAATCAGAGCTTTCAATCTTTCTTAATTCACCGATGCATCTTGCCCAGAATTTTCAGCTAGATGGGGTGTGTAAAGTGCCAGTGCCGGCAGCTTTCCTCTATCAATATTCCTCTCGGAATTAATTTCGTCCTCTGGTTAGGAGTTTCAATAAGTTGCTTACGATTTTATAGAACAAAGCGACCTGGGTATTGAAATTTCTTTTCATCCACATGGCTAGATAGTACGGTATTGTATGGTTCACGTCAGTTACTTCCCTCCATCGCAGGCACCTTAGTTGGCGGCACTGTCAGCCTGACACTAACTGAACCGAAAACGTATGTATAATCCCGTCTTACTCCAGCCGAGAGATACGCCACATGAAAAGAGTATATTTGACAACCAAACAGCAGTCGGATAATTCTGAACGCTACTGAGTGCAGATCTTGTGTGGCAATGGTTTGTGAGTGAGCCTGAGCTTGTGTGGTTCAGGCTAGCCGCAGGCTGTATCACTTGGCGGTGCATCGATGCCTTCTTCTTGAGGGGAGGCTCTCAAAGTCAACCTCATCACGTGTGTCTTGGCTGTCTCAGTTCCATCGTCAGTAGAGGATACATGTTCTCTTTACTCCTCTGTCAAGGATTCATTCTTGTCATCTTTGCGTTATTGTGCACCTCAGCTCGCGACATTGTACAAGCTCCTCAAGAGCCCCCATGAGTCTGGACTCGCACGCGCATGAGGCTATACCATCAAAGATTAACGTGCAAGTCTTCAAGAATTTTCCTCAATCACAATCCTACAACGAGCGCGACTAAGGTATGCCTAGCATTCTTTCGTCTAGCCCATCTGAGGAAGAAACGCCTTGCCTCACATTGCCTACCGAAAGTCGGGGACCATGCGACTTATGTTCGTCCATATCACGCTCTGCAGACGATGAGGAGATATATCCAGCCCTCCACACCGAACCCACGAGTACTATGAGCCTCAGGCCTGACAGGGATGCTGAAGATAAGCACGGATGCTGGTACGAAGATGCGAAGACCTGGCGTCCTACATGGCTTCGGCCCGCGGTGTTACTGACGTTCTTTGCCTTCTTCCTTTTTTCTACCATCACACTCCCGGCCATGTTTTATGTATCCCTGCGAAACAATGGACTCGTGGAAACGCGAGAGAGTCTCGTTTACCTTTGGCGTTTTGGTCCAACAGCGGGTAAGGCTACGTGACCGTCCCAAAGAAGCCGAAGGGCACCAACATAAGACCATTGCTGATTTTCGGTTTTACCAGTGCTTACGCTCATATCCATTGGCTGGTCGAGGGTCGAGATGCAAACGCTGAGGTACATGCCATGGGTCGCCTGCAGCCAAGAAAGTTCGTCGAGTAGAAATTCTGACAATGACGAACTTGATTATACCGCAATGTTTCCGCCAAAGGCTTGGACAGAGTCTTGGAGAAGAAAGCATTATCTCCTCTTCATTGTCGCCGTTATTTCAATTACCCTAAAGATTCAGATTGTTCTCGCCCCGGGCCTGTATAGAATTGAGACAATCGAAGCTGTTACTCCAATCGAAGTTGAGATTCTCGACTCATTCAACACAACCATACCGGGTTGGCAATCTAGAGATACTAGGCCATATTATATGGCGCAAGCCATCGGCAACTTCGATATGGGCTATCCATTTGGAGTCAACGAACAGATATCATATCAGACATTCCAACGAAGAAGTGGCTCTAGAGGCACAGTCGATGCACCTATCGAAGCTACCGTGGCTGGTCTTTCGACGGAAACGCAGTGTCTAAAGCTAGACAACTATTCCTACTCAGGACTTACACAGGATGCCAACGGATTCTCTCTGTATTCTGTCAGAGACCTGGAGCTACATTTCAATGGCTGCGAGGAGCCACTATCGATACCTGGATTCCAGAATACCACCAACTATTACGGCAACACTACTGGAAACTTTTCTCATTGGGGAAGCCATTCTGCTTTGATCAAACCAACATCATGTGCAGGACTATCTCCTGAATTCAAATACTCTTTATATTATGCGGCTCGCTTCGAAAGACCCTCAATAAATTCTTCGTCGTTGGACTTTGATCTTGCAGCAGTCCTCTGCTCTTCTGGCTTGTGGGTCTCAAGAGTCAAGGTCACCGACAACGCTACAATGCCGCTAGTTGAAGTACTACCGGACGCGGACAGATACCCAATCACCGCAAATCTTTGGACTCTTATCGATAATTCCGTGCCTTCGGGCAGCTGGAACGAATCGAGCATCAATTGGGTGTCGGGTCCAGTTGAGACTGCTTACAACTTTTTCGGCAACTTTTCAGGAATGCACGTAGACTCATCGGACGCTTCTCTATACACAAGTGAAGTGCTTTACCGATCAGTCATGGATATGTCTCGTATTCTTGGCCCCTGGGTTGGAAACTATCGTCTTCGGCACAGTAATGACCAATATCTCAATGCAACTGGGGCCGTTTTCACGAGAGTGACCAAACTCATGGTCAACAAGTGGACTTGCGTATCCATGACAACGATCTTTGGACTGAATATCCTCATGGTGGCTCTTGTACTTCTCCCATACGGAAACATGACTAAGATATGGTACCGAGATCCTCTCACGATCATTGGAAATGTGACGTTTCTCCAACATCTCAGAACATCCTCAGGCGGAAGATCAAAATATAGCCCCGGGCTCGATGACAAAGCAACCAAATGGGGCAACTGCGACTTTACACCTCTTGTGCTGAGTACTCGGGCTCGAGCATCAGCGATTTTTTTCATCGTTGCCGTTATAACGGGACTCTGCTATTCTTTGAAGACATCTATGGAATATCAGGGAATTGCGACAGTGAATGAAGAGGCAGGTTATGCATATCTGTTATGGACTTCTGTCCCGACACTTATCATGCTCAGTATTGCGCTTTACATCAACTCTTGCGACTTCGCATACCGAGGTCTGGCCATACTATCCGCTCTTTCTACCAAATCTTGCAGGGCTGCAGAAATGGATTCATCGTTCTCGGATATGCTAGGTCTACGAGTACTCTACTACTCACTACACGCAACTATCGGAACTGTAACCGTAACGCAGTTCCTTGCAATTATCTGTGGTTTACTCACAACTCTGATTTCGGTTGTGTTTACCGTCAAGACAATCCCAGAGGCGAGCACCATCTCGTTACAACAGAAGACCTGGTTCGGGTCTGGGGAGGCAGGGAATGCTACAGCACTCAACTTCAAGAGGCAAATCTTGAGCAGCCTCATTCTCCGTCAGGATGATGGGCTCTTGACATATCCTAAAAACACGTACGATACTCTGGTCTTCCCAACATTTAGTACTAGCGATGAACTAGACCCATCGCAGAATATATCAGTCAAGGTCAATATTTCGGCCGCGATGCTCAAACCTACCTGCTGGGTAGTGCCTCCAGAAGTTTATAACCTGACGAACCTGGAACGGTCCGACGACTCCGACGGTACCTTTGCAGCTCAACCCCGAATCACCGAAAGCTTTACTTGCCCTAATGGGAGCCAAGCACAGCTCTCCCAAGGTATCGGTGTCACCGTTGGCGAAAGAAGGTCCGAGTACCTGTACTTCGCAACAAGATTATATTCTCCAGAGAACCCAGCCACCGCGAACAGGTCTTGTAGCTTGGGGCTCCGCGATACCGATGCCATCCCGGCTATAACTAGATTTCAGACTTACGCTATGGGAAAATACTCCCAAGAAGAAGAGAAGTTCTTGCATTTCTCTCTTACAAGATGCCAGTATTCCTGGGTTGAGTTACCAACCGAAGTCAATTTCACTTTTAGCCATGGGGAGTATGTCTTGAATTCAGGGGATCTACCACGTCCGGATGAGTCTCAAGCTCAGTCTTGGAGCATACCTTTCAACATACCAGACATCGATAACCAGTTCAAAGCCAGTGCCGTCACCCAAATCAACGATGCAGTTCCCCAAGTAGCAGTGAGCGACCCTTACGCAGGGTACTTCGACTCCTGGTTTAGGACATTGTCTTCCCCATTCGGTCGATTTTCGTTGGATGCGTTCGGGGACCCAAATTTCCAGGAAGAAATCCTTAAAGACATACACCATTTATATGGATTCCTTGCGGCTCAACTAGTAAACCTTGAGAATCGCATTGACATCACACAGAATTCGAAAGACAGCCCTCCGCCAACCCCTTTCAATCTGACTGCCAACGTTATCAACCTCAGTCGTCACCGCCTTGTCCAGGATCCGATAGTCACATACCTCATTGTAGGGATTTTGACATTGACGGCACTTCTGAGTCTCTTGATGTTAATCTCGGATTCGCTCGGCACTGCCTCCTCAAAATCGCAACTATTCAGCATGAGAATCGAGGGTCTGGCACCAGACGGATACAACAGTATAGCCGCAATGGCCGCCCTCCTCAAAGACTCAAACGCAATGGACCACCTCCCCGAAGGCGCCGAACACATGTCCAAGAAAGAACTCCACGAAAAGCTCTCCGGCCTCCGCTTCCGAATGGGTTGGTTCTGGCGCGAGAGTACACGAACGCGACACTACACCATTGGCGTCCTGGACGATGAGAACTTTGAGTATCTAGGGAACAAGGATGAGATTGCGAGAGAAGATGCGTTATTGAGACATCCTCCTGAATGAGAGCGGTCACTTTCCGGATGTGGGTGATGGAGATTGTTGGACAGGTCGTGTGTTTGGTAAAGACGATGGAGGGGCTTTTGGAAGGACGCCCCAAGATTGTGGGGTGCTCTGGTAGGGGATCAGATTGAAACGCTGCTTGGAAGGTCTTTGCTTGAAATTTAATAAGTGGATAGTGGATTTCTACTGCGGAAGAAGGGAGGGCAGGCCCCTACGAACGGACAATCAGATTGATAGCTTCAAGGCAATGAATCACCGGCTTTGCCATTTTGTTGATTTTCAACGCGTTGAATACCGGGCTGGCACATTTGCAATACCGGGTTTAGTGTAATCTTTGCCAGTTGCGCATGTAAATAAGAGGGTATAAGACCTATCTAGAAAAACGCCAGGGAAATGATTGTGTGTCTGTCTTGGAGGACGCCGCCCCGTGAATGATCCAGAATAATGATACAGAGTTGCCTTAATAATAATAATACAATGAGTTTCAGTCAAGCTCATCTAAACCGTCTTTTCGGCAATGCGACATTTGGGAGATGAAGAGGTCATGCGTGACTCAAATGAAAAGATGCGGCGCGGATTGCTTTGTCAAGGTCCTAGACCAAAACGTAGAGAGCACAAATCTGCCAATAATTAGCTATCACCCAACATCGAGAGCAAGCCGGACGACTTACCATGCTCAGGCCCATGACCATGGAACACCAAAAGCACACGTTATTTAGCGTCTCCTTGCCGCGAACCCACTTTGTGCGCTGCAGCACGACGATGGGCAGCTGCAGCATTTGACAGATGAAACCATAGCCACGAAGCTTCTTGGTGATGCAGGCCATGACGATCTCATGACCTATGGCGGAGATCAAGAAGGTAATGACTGTGGCCGGGAGGCGACCGACGTAGGGACGACTGGCGCTGTACACGTGACGGCGCAAGAAGCTGTAGACGGGGATGTTCCACTCGCGAGAAAACTCCATCCAGTCGGTCGAGTTCCACCAGTCGGAATAAAAGTGGCGATCCGCAAAGTGCGTGATTTCGGCAAAGGCGCCGAGGGCGTACTCGAAGATGACAAGGAAGACAAGAAGGAAGGTCAGCATGAAAGGGAAGAGGAGCCAGGAGACGCTCTCTGCTAGGATGAGGAGGGCCTCGGAGACGGGCGGCTTCGGGACTGTGCTCAAGCGGACGGAGGCGTCGCTGAGGATGGGTAAGATGAACTCCTCAGAGATGACCGTGAGGAGGGAAATGCAGCCAAAGACGGCGATAATCTTGGAGATGAGGTTCTGCCAGTCGATACGGGCCGTTCGGGGGTACTCGAGCTCGTAGCATAGAGTGGGGCACAGGAGGTAGTCGAAATAGTTAGACCAGGTTAGGTTGCGAGGGTATGCGAGGTTTCCCATGGGCGAGGTGAGCTCCTGGGCCAGATCCTCGCGAAGCTGCTCGATCTCATCCGAGGTCGAGTCCGTGTCTGACGTGCCCGTGGCCTCTGACTTGGCCTTGAAGTCGCGTGTCTTGGGGCTGCTCACAGTGCCCATTGGGTTATCGGGTGTTGGGTACAGGTACACTGGGTCTTTCGACGCGGTTGAGGGATTGTCGAGAGCGTAGAGGCGCTTCTCTGTCTCGCTGAGGTGGCCGTTGTAGAAGGCCCAGCTGTGCGTCTTCATCAACAGGACCATGGTGTGTAGAAGCAGGAAGACCTGTGCGGTCCATGTCCAGTCGAGCACGAAGGGGATGGCAATCCAGAAGGCAAGCCACACAACTTGGTAGATGCTCTGGACAGCCATGCCTCCATTCTTCCATGTCAGAGCTCCGTTGGCGGGGGCAGAGCGCCACAGGCGATGGAGGGGTAGTGACACCAAGGTGCTCGCCACCATGAGGAAGTCTGCAATAGCCAAATGCCAAATCTTGATTGTAAAGAGGGTCCAGATCTGGACTCTCATGGGGTATCCAGTATCCTTGATGTTGCGCAGCATGGTGGTGATGGCCATGATGGCAAGGCCGATCCAAAAGAGGTTGAAGAAGCCATGGAAGTCGCGGTAGTCGGAGTTGGGATCGAAGTGGGAAACGCGGCTCGCAAACTCGATCGTGGGGAAGATACGTCGTCGTTGTTCAGCACGAGCTTGCTTTTTCGCCGAGGACATGCTCTTGACGGAGGGGAGGGCATCGTGAGGGACTGGTGTTGAGCGGCCGCTGTGACGACATTGACGTTAGCGCTGGCGTGTGACGAAAGTGGTGAGCTTGCGTGGGGAAGAGGTGTATCTACCTAGTAGTGCCGCTCGTTTGGCCAGTCTCTGATAGAGGTGTCAAGCCATTCATCTCGCCGACGGAAGTATTGCTCTGTGTTCTCGTCAACTGAGAATGTTGTGGCTTCCTCGGCCTCGGCCGCAGGACGTGGTCGTGAGCCCCGCCGTTGGGGGAGGCAGCTGTGGATGCCATGATCTCGGGGGATTTGAAGGAGAGGATGAGCGTGACGGTCTTGTTGATTGCTAGATGAGCTATCAATCTGTTGGTTCAGTTGTGTGCACTCGGTGGTGGTCGATGGTATTCGCAGGAGCAGTCACCGCGCGGTGCGGATGGGATGTAGCTGCGAGATGCAAGCGGCGACTGTGTTCAACGGGATCGCATCCGGATCAGACGGGGCAGCGGGAAGAAGTTTAGTTTAAAGGGCGCCTCAAAGTGGGATAAGGAGGTGGTATTCAGGGTCGCAGATCAGGGGTCGCCATTTCTCGAATCTCGGGTAGTGTCCGCGTATTTGGGATGCGAATTTGGGACTTGGTACGAAGTGCGCAGCTCCGGAGACGAATGGGTAGGTTTATGGGGTGAGAGGCAACGGGGCCGCGTTTTGAAGCGATGAGCAAGGAGCTCTAGATGGTCCCACGAGTCCACGGCGCCCAGCTTCCTTGCGTAAGGTGCACTTACGGCATTCCAAGGTTGACGCGGGTGGCCGTTGGGGGCATGGGGCACCTCGGCCACTTTAAGAGGTACGTACCCACCAACACAGCTCAATGCGGCGCCAACCTGCCACTCCTGCCTCACTCGGTCTGCCTCACTCTGCTCTTTCCAGACTATGTCTCTGCAGGCAACTGCACCTCAGCCAACACTTTCCCCCAGTGCCCGAGAGTGACATAGGGACAAAAAGTGACACTTTACCTCAAGAATTGGGGGCTATGACTTACGTCAACTCCCACGTGACGAATGGGGTCACGGGCCGAGGTGGGGCCAAGCTCTGATTAACCCAATGGCAGCTCGTGATTGCCCCCATCTGAGCTCTCCTCCAAAAATTCCCGGAGAAAGAGCTCCCCCGGGCGGATCTTGGGAAGGAGGTGGAACGCCCGAGTTCCCGCCCGCCCGCTGCTTTCTGTGCGATTGCCCCGCGGTTTGCTTTTCGATAACCCTCCCCCAGATGGATGCCAACGTCACTTCATGCGAGTCTCAAAAGCCCAGACAGACAACAGACGTGGCCGAGGCCGCGAATATCGTTACATCGGCTAGCCATCCAAGACCAATTGGCCCCGTTGGGATCTGGAGATGCCCCGGCTCCGGTGGCCGATCGCCGGCGGGGACTGACCAGTGACTGAGGAAGCTTGAATGGCATCCCGGCTTGCAAATCGACGCCTTACGAGGCTTGGACCTGCACAGCCGAGGAGATGCAATGCAATGTGTTTCCGCGTAAACTCCATCACCTCGACGTATCTCGTCGCCTTGCTGTGTCACTTCCATTCGCTCAAGAGGACGAAAGCCATTGCCGATCACCACCTGCAGTGCCCGACTGTGGCTTACGCCACCACAGCCACGTTCCAAGCACCGCCACACTTTTACCGTCATCCTATCACGGCATTCTTGCACCTCTATTAACGTCTGCCGAGTTCAGGTAAAGCCTGCGTGTGTGCCGTCTTCCGTAATTGAACTACTGCTGACAGAGTCACAGACTAGACCTGACATACACACTAGAAAGTAGCTGGCTGAGCTAAACACACAACTTTTGCGCCTGCCGTCCTACAAACGAACTGGTATCGCTAGCTTTGGCTGAGCAAAGCAGTCTAGTTTCACTGACAAACGGTTGTTTCGCTTGATGTCGAGCCTGATGCTCTGCTGTCTGCCGTTTGAAAGCCGACAACATACCTTACTCTGGTGTTAGCTATGTGCTTGGTGCTACACAAACCGAGAAGAGGCCGAACTTCTTTACACCACTGACCGGCGGAGTTGAACAAAGCGGCATATGCCCCGTCTTCTGGGCTTGGCATGTCGAAATTTTCAGCAACATTGACTTCCGAGTCTAAAAGAGCCTCAAAACGGTCTTTGACCACAAGCGTTCTACACCCAAGTCTGGAACCGTGGAAAATCAACAAAACTGCGTCAACCGCCGAAGCCATTACTAGCAGGACTACCAGGACAAGGAATAGACCGCGCTGATATGATCCATCGGAAATGGGACGGCAACAGGACCGTTGCGGATGCCGCTACCACATTACAACGTTACGGGTACCTTGCCTTACGGAGTACGCGAACATCTCGATGGCCCCCCATTTCATGATTGGGCACCAATTTCAATTGGTTCCAAGGATTATGACGTCCCGTCGGCCCGCCCCATCTCAGGTCAAAACTTGCACTCAGGCGATCTTTTTTGCTGCTAGAGATAAGAGTTTTATCTGTTATTGATTCAGTCTCTCTCCATCTCTTTTCAGTGCGACGCGCTCAGAGACCTTTCTTCTTTTTTCCCCCTTTTCCACAACTTTTCAAAGACGGAATGCTTCCCTGCTAGCAATAACGACGCTGGAGGCGTCGAACTTCATGAGAAGAAGTGATTATACACACATACCGAATACCCAGTTATCCCAAGGGCTGAAGTCCCCGCCGCACACGCGACCCAGAACCGCACAGCACACGACCAAAAACTTATACTTTAGGCGATAAGCAACGTTAGTTGTGTTTATTCTCAACTGCCCGATGGCCGCTCCACAAATCACAACACCAACGTCAGCACCCGAAGTTATTCCGGGCACGCGACGACTCTACGATGAGAACGGCAACAATTTACCGGGCGATGCCTCGCTCCTGAAGCACGGCGACATCGTCCTTGTGCCTCAGCCCACCGAGAGCCCCAACGATCCCCTGCGGTGGTCACTGGCCCGCAAGATCTGGCACTCGTGCCTTGTGCTCTACATTGTTGGTCTCACAGCTGCTACCTCCAACAATGCGGGTTCCGGCGCGGATGGCGTGAACGAGGAGTACGGAATCAGCTATGACGCCTTCAACACCGGTGCCGGTGTGCTGTTCATTGCGATTGGGTATTGGACCCTGCTGAGTTCGCCGTTGGTGCACTTGTACGGCCGCCGGCTGGGGTATCTGATCTCCATGATTGTTAACATTGGTGGTCTCATCTGGTATGCTCGCATCACCAATGTTGGCGGCGTGGTTTGGTCGCAGCTGTTTGTTGGTGCTGCTGAGTCAGTCGGCGAGGCGACTGTGCAGTTGTCGCTTCTCGATATCTGGTTTGAACACCAGACGGGCAGTGTGCTTGGTATTTACACCTTTGCAACTGCCATTGGAACCTATCTTGGGTGAGTTTGTCTTCTGATTGGCGAGTATGATGCGAGGACATGTGATTGCTAAACGCAAGCAGGCCTCTCATCGGCGCATACGTATCAAGCGGCCTCGGCTGGCGATGGATCGGCTACGTAGGCACCATCATCTGCGGCATCAGTCTGATCGTCATCTACTTTGGTCTCGAAGAGACGGAATTCAACCGAGATCGCTATCTTACCGGCAATGGCGAACGCTACCCCGTAGACGACGGTAACCGGACTGCCGCCACCGTGGTCCCAGAGAAGACCTCTGCACAGGCATCAGCCAGAAACTCCGTCACCATTGAAAGAGACCCAACCTCGGGCCAGGACGCTTCCGTCACCGAGAAGCAGCAGACCCCGCACCTCGCCGAGACGACGACGGGCACCGACCACGGATCCATGGTCTCGACTACCGCGCGTGACCGCATGGCCTTCTCCTACTCCCGTCGCAAGACGTACTGGGACCGCATCCGCATCATCACGCCGGCGCCGAACCTCCAGGGCACGGGATTCAAGCAGTATCTCTTCCGCCTCTGGCATACCCTCCGAGTCTTCACTTTCCCGGCGGTATGGTACGCGGGACTCCAGTGGGGTCTGCAGAACATCTGCTTGACGTTCTACCTGACGGTCCAAGAGGACTGGTGGTATGGCCCGCCGTGGAACTACTCTGCGGCTGCCGTGGGTAACATGAACCTGCCAACGCTGATTGGAAGTTTGATCGGATGTATCTACGGCGGTTACGGAAGTGACCAGTTCATGCTGTGGATGATCAAGCGGAACAAGGGCGTCATGGAGTCTGAGTTTCGGCTGTATCTGATGGCGCTCTGCACGGTGATCTTCCCGACGGGCATGTGGCTTTTCGGCATCGGGAGCGCGCGAGGCTGGGACTGGCCTGTTCCGTATGTTGGGTTGGGCTTCATCGGTTTCGGGTACGGCTGTGCCGGAGACTTGAGCTTGGCGTATCTTGCCGATTCTTTCCCGTAAGTTTTGATCTCTCAGAGTTGACGGTATGCTGGGGAGAGCAGTGGCTAACAGGACAACGCAGTGAAATGGTATTGGAAGGCATGGTAGGTGTGGCCGTCATCAACAACACGATTGCCATGCTCTTCACCTTTGTGGCGAGCTACTGGCTGGACTCGGGCATGGAGAACTGCTTCATCGCCCTTGGGGTTCTCAGCTTCGTTATCATGGGGTTGAGCCTGCCGATGATCATGTTCGGCAAGAGATCGCGCCGGTGGGCCAAGGATAGATACCTGCGATTTGTTGATATCCGTGACGGCTTTTCTAAGTAAGGAAAGAGGGGGGCCTGAAAGATGCCTTTCGACGGCATGAGGACGAGTGCAAACGGTAGCTATGGGTCAAGTTTGGTCCAGTTGTCTACGTTGACGAGGCGTTTGCTCTGTGACTGCACGGTCAAAGATGATAGAAAGCCCTGGCGTCTTGGCTGGGCATTAGGATTCCACGTTTACAAATGAGAATAGATGATGTCTCAGATCGAATATGAACTACCGAAGACACGCAGTGAAGCAAAGTACATGCCATGATGCCAAGGGCTGATCTATCACGAATTCATGGGCAAGAGCACACTCAAGGGAGCTACAGGTATACCCACTTGCCATTACTTCCTTCCTCTTTCCGCCATTTCCTTGTGGAGGCAGGGTACCTTCCCCGGAACATCTGTCTCGTTGCTCCTTCCATCCCAAGAACAATCATGGAACACCATCGAAGCCTACCTGCCTTCTTCTTACCTAGTTGTGACCTCAGGTATCATTCTCTCTCTCTCAACGTCCTCGTCGCCATTCAGGCTCCCTCCATCGTCAACCCTCCAACCTCTTGACCCCTACCTTATGGAACTTCATCCGACCTCAGTCACTTTGCCAACGACGCATCGACCCCCACGTCTTGATTCCCTCGCCTCTTCCCGGCGTCCTTCCGCCTGGCATGCCTGGCCTCGGTTTGCACATGGACCGATGGGCTGACCATTTGTGCCATCACGAAGCTCCAAACGCCTATCCCCGGAACTTTTGGCCCTGCGCTTACCATGTGCCGCCAGACGACGTTTCGAACGCCTCTCACGGCCTCTCGTTCGTCAGTAGCCACGCGTGCCACGCAATCGCGGAGCAACGGACCCAATCTGGAGTCATCGAGGCTCTCCCTGACCAATGACTGCTTGCCACTGTTGACTACAACGAGGCATATCGTTCATCCCCGGACAACAGCCATTCTGCTTTGGTATAGAGATTTGCAGACGATGCAAGATTCTTGTCCACATCACCCAGCGTCGTCAGAAGAGTAGACGACGATCTCAGCCGTGACAAAGCTTGGCTTGACCAAGTCTGAACAGCAACAGAAGAAACTCTACTCTGCGGATCTGGATGCCTCAACCTAGAATACACCGCTGCCTGACTGAACATCTTGGCGTTTCTGCGATATCAGGTAAGGTCAAGTGCTTTGCCCTGTTCTTATCTGTGTCAACTGACACCAACATCACGTTGCTCCTCTTTCGATACATTGGACTAGCAATACCATGCATTAGGCGTCTGCGTCGGCTAGAAAGTATCACTAAGCTATGAGCTGACCAAGACCCAGATCCTATACTTCAGCTGCAGCAGATGGAGAAGATCGACAATCACAATGTAATTCACGTAAAGTCTTCGTCTACAGCACCTTTCAAGTCCATGCGAACACGGATGCTCTCGTGGTTCGTTGGCGCGGAGTAAGCTTGGGGTTGCTTTGCATCGTGCCGTCTCGCGTCCTTCTATTGACTGCTTACACCCGCCCTGCGGCTCGGCTTACTCGTCCAAGAAAGCCTGTTCTTCTCGTACCGACCTAGACGCCAAGTTTTAGAGTTATCTCCAGGCTCGTCGCTGCTACGAACAACCCTTATTGAGCTAGATGAAATGCCGCATCAACTTACGTCGATATTGCCGGCAATCTCGGTGAGTGAGGAGTGCACAGCAGAAGAAGACCGCTTGATCGGTTAGCATAGGTCTTGAGAGCCAACAGCTACGGATACCTGACCGAAGTACCCTGTTCGACCTTCCCAAAGCAAACATGGTGGAACTTTGTAGTTCCTTATCAACCAAACGACCAGGACCCAAGTATTTGGAAAAAAGGTTCGCATTCCCAAATACCCCGACTTATCATGGCACAGCAGGTCTGTCACTCAGCAGCCTGCTAGCCCGCAGTGTGAGCTGAGCTGATTCGATGGCACCGAAAGATAACCCAAAAAGCTGTTTCGTCGCCTGATGGCTGCCACACCCACATCCTAACATGCGCATTCGAATCGATCCGAAGCGCGTCATCGACAGCTCAGGCAACATCTTCATTATCCCATCCAGATACTACAACCGCGTCCCAATCTGATGTCTATGCTTGTTGAAAACAATCGGTCTCTTCCGGGAAGTGGATGACTCCAATGGCGATCACGAACCCTCAGAGCCACTCGGCACGCGTGCCCTGGGCCATGGACCCAGCCATCAACAATTCCAGGGTCGATCTTTGCTGGAGCACGACTTTAAGCACGACTTTGGACTCCAGAAGTCGTGCTTTGGCTCGCGTCACTTTACATTAACATTGCCGACTCCTCGGGCCTACTTGATGGAGTGTTCCCATGCGTGGACCCGTCGGCGTCTGTTCGCCTTGCCGTCGGGACCCACGTAGAGAGGGATCATGCCGCTTAGCGTCAACTCTTGACGACTTTCTCTCTTATGAGCTGCCCGATGAGCGTTATGCTGAAGACCACCTCTGGCTAGCCCAGGTCCGAGACCAAGTACATTTCGCTGTAGTGTCAAAGCCGCAGCTCGGACAACAAACTGCTACTTAGTGCGTATTGACTGACATTTCATGTCAGGTCACCTTCATTTTAGGTCAGCAAGGAGCCCGTCGCCGGCTGTTCGTGCTAGTGAGACGCACTGCAGGGATCTCCTTGGCTCCGCGGATATTGGGGTCGAAAATTCGAGAACATTAGCCGGTACCTATTATCTCTTGTTCCGTTGGAAAATGTTTTTCGGCATCTCGCAACTTGCGGTTCATATCTCGGGGGCTGTCACCCACTCACCGTTTACTTACCATTTGGTACGCTGCACTTCTCTCGCTGCTTTCAGCGGATTTTCCTGTGATCTGTAGAGAGGCTGAAGACGCCTAACGCTCTGCCCCATGATGGACGAGAACGAGAGCAGCCATCAAAGTCAGCCACTGGCCACGCCTCGGCTTTGACAGGACTGCACGGACGAGCCTGCGGTGCAACCGGCCGAAAGCATGTTGACCGCCGCTCGGCAGTGCCCACAGGAGCCGCCCAATGCCATGGCAATTTCCAACTAGAAGATGGCACTCGAGTCTGAATCGTGGCGTCCTTAGACAGAGATCTGCTTTGTCTTACGGCCATTCCGCGGAAACTCGCCCCCAGCCCGTTCCTTGGTCCAGTCCCGCCGCCGGCCCATTGAAGGTAGCTGAAATGGAAAACCCGCGATCGCGACCTGCTTAAGACCAGACGGGTTAGGTTGGAGCGGCGCTGTTCGGGTGTGTCTCTGACAGTACCTTGACCATTGGCCGTGCTCACCAAATGGCTTATCGGATGGAACCAGGAGTGCCAGGTTGGCTTGGTGGAAGGCCGTTGGAACATGCACCATGCTTCTACGGCGTTAGTCCACCGCCTGCGGCAGCTCCCCCAGCTTTTCCCTCCCAGGCCGATGGCTTGGTTGCTTGGCTAACGAGGGGAGGACCAAAAGCGAGCAGCAAGCCGTGCATCCTTCATGATGGTTGACGGCGGACGGCGGCGCTCTTTGAATCTCATCAGCGATGTGGACCTGGACCGAGGGAGATGTCGGAAGGCTGCCCGGTTGGAACCTGATGCTTGGTTGGTGACAGTTCGCGACGCTGTCTCTCAGTCTCTCTGGCTCTCTCACCACGGCCTTTCCGAAAAGGGGGAGGGCCTAGTTGATAGGATACCTACAGACAGGCACGATGATTGGTGGTCTGAGTCAGGACTCGGTCGTTGGCGTCTTTTAGGCCGACCAGGACGCTCTTTCACCTTCTTAATCTAGAACAGTGGTGGCACCATTGTGCCTATTCCCCGCCTCCTGGCCACCCTGGAAATTGGAATTGGTCGCCTACCCGTTGACAACTTTCGCACAGGCCCATGGTAGCAATGTCGACATGTAGGGCACATTGGACGAAATCCCAGGGCTCTCCTGGGCGCGGAGGCTGGAGAGAGGCACACACACACACACACATACAGACGCAGTAGGGCGAGTGTGAGGGACGGAGGGAGTGCGCATGTACCCACAGAGTCAACCAAAGGACGAACCGCCTTGCCCCCAGCTTCGATAGCAAAGGCAGGCCCCCCATCCGCCGTCGAGGGTTCCCCCCAACTCGTCTTGCTTCTCTCGGTCGAATTGGTAGCCAGCGCCCGCTCCGACCAGCAAAAGGCGTTGTGAATGGTTCCCCATTCGTTTAGCAGACGCCCGGACTGCCAGACCGTCTGAACAGCCATTGGCTATGTAACGCTTCTTTACCCCCTCCCTTCGCGCAGCTCCACGGACCCAGCTACGGTTCTGGCTGCTGGGAGGCCCTCTTATCACTGAAAAAGAGAGCCCCGAAGGGACGGGATACGGGCTTGTTCTACCCATGTGCCACGCTCGCTTTCCTTGTTGAGGAAATTACGCGAAGGAACTTTTGCCTGCAGCTTTCACCACACGGAGGAACTTGGCGACCGCCGACCAATGCCAGTTCAACACCGGAAAGTGGTCTTCGTCTTTCTCGACCAAGAGAGAGAGAGACAGACAGGACAGGCCGCGAAGGAAAAGAGAGAGAGAGACTGGGAGAAAGAGAGGAAGCGGGAGCCCTACCACTCACTTTACCATTACCAGCCCAAATTGAACGGACGAACTGGCCTGGAGCAACGGCTCCCCCGTCCATTGTTCCCCCCATCTCACCCCCATATCTCTCTCTGCTACTCCGTACACAAGACAACATTGCTTGTCGTTCCGCCCGTTCAGCTCCAGCTCTGGCTTCCCGTCCTATCCTAATCCGACCTGTCTGTTCCTGACCCGTCCTGACCTCGACCTGTGTCAACTGTCGGGGGGCCCTTCAGTCAGTCTTTAATCTTTTCGAACCCTCTCGTTACCCATACTGGGCCATGACGCTTTCTCTTCTGCCGCTCTATTTTTAACTTGGCAGCCAGAGTGACCGAGACCTTCTCTTTTATGTGGCGACGATCATGGGCACTTTTGTCTGGTCTCCTCCCACGCTCTCGTCTTTCATTTGAAGGCCCAGTGGCACCCCCTCCATTTTGAAGGGCAATTGATGCTTGCCACCAGGGCAGCGCGCTGGGCTTCTTGGATGAATCGCATTCGACGACGACACGAGGCACCTGTCCTACCGAGGAGCTTTGACTCGTCCCGAGTCTTGACATCTTTCTAGCCAGCGGTCCGAACCTCTGCTCCACGGGGGACGCGGGACGCGGCCGAGATGTTCAATCATTCTGGGGACAAACCACCCCGCGGTGTTCCCTCTGGATCAGAATACGGAGGCAGTCAACATGGCCGCCTCGCCCTCAACACATCTGGTCAAGCATATTCTAGGTTCGGTGTTCCGCTCAACTTTGGCGGTCCCTCGACATGTCCGCCGCCGCAGCAAGATTCCGTCCGGAGGGACTTCGACTCATCTATGGACTGGACTTCACCAGTCGCGCAACAGAACGCGCGCTTCGACGTTGGGTCTTCGATGAACAGCGCGCCTCAGCAAGACGAAGGAATGGAACTCGATGAATTCAGTCCCCCTGCCGGAGTGTCCAACTTGATTGCGCGCTTTGAGGGGATTCGCGCCGCACCACCAAGCAGTAATAGGATCATGAGCCCGGCCAGTTCAGTCGCAAGCCCATCAATAGCGAGCCCATCGTCGGCACATTTTGGCAGCATGCATGGCAGCACAGCAAACATGAGCTCTTCAGGAATGAGTAGAATCACAAGTCCAGTCGCTCACAGCCCGGCCACGCCCACTTTCTTCCGTGCTCCGGAATCATATCGTCCCCCAGTGCCCAGACATACGAAGCCAGTCTTGGACCGCGCACCCTCTAACATTCCCATGTTTACGCCGGACTCACGATTTGGAGATGGAAACAGTCGTATGGCTATTGCTGCTGGTCCTTCGAACCCCGTGCCTCCTCCTCAAGTGCACCACCATCAGCCTCAGCAGTATCAACCGCAACAACATCAACCGCAGCAACATCAACATCAACACCAACCCCAACAGCAGCAACAGCCGCAGGCACAGCAGCAACAGCAGCAGCACCAACAACAGACTGCCGACTTCAGTCAGCTAGATCCTTTCCTCAATACGTCGAACAAGGGGTTTCAGTCACAAGCCAACGCCTTCAACTTTCCGACGACGAATGACTTCAACAATACGACGACTAAGCACTTTGCAACCCAAGCAAGCAACTTTAGTCCCCAACCAAACACGTTCAGCGCAGTGTCCAAACCCTTCGCTTCCCAATCTAATGCCTTCAATCAGTCGGCAACAACCTTCAGTGCTGCCAACGCTTTTAGCTCCCCTGCAAATGCCTTCAGCTCACTACCAACCACGAATACCTTCAGCCCAACCCCGAATGCCAACGCCTTCAGCCCGCCACCTACTACCGCATTTAGTCCTGCTCCCACACCCTTCAGTCCGGCAACGTCGACGTTCAGCCCAGCACCGACACCTGCCCCGAGCCTCATGCCCGGCACCCCGGGTGTGATGCAAACGCCTTTTGGCCCTCCGCCTACGACATCATTCCCAGTACGTTTCTTCTTGTCTTGACAAAGTGTTCCATCTAATCATCGTGCAGGGTCATGCTCGAGCACCTAGCATTGCCCCCACTCCAAAGCCTGCGACAGGCAGCCGGCCATCTCGGGAGCAGGTCCCTGCCGAGGCATGGGAGTCTTTCAAGGGGACCATTAAGCATCTGTATCTGGAAGAACGTCGTCCTCTGAAAGAGGTCATGCAGATCATGGCGGATCAGTATGGCTTCCAAGCAACGTAAGTATCCATTCCAGATCCACGCCCCTTCATCTCATCTCACCGTCGTAGGCCGAAGATGTACAAGACCAGATTCTCTCAGTGGGGCTTCGTGAAGAACAACACCGAGGATGAAGTGAAGAGGCTTCTTTCTATGAAGTTTCAACGCGATGCCGAGGGCAAAGTGTCCGAATTCGTTCGCAACGGTAGAGTGGTTAATCTGGGCACGTATCTCAAGAGGAAGGGAGTGACGGAGTACGATCTTGTCGACTTTGAAACGCCAGCTCAGCTCCCGTCATATGTGCGATGTCGTACCCCGACACCGCCGCCCGCTCCGGGCTATCTGCGATCACCAGACCTGCTCCGAGCGCAGGAGACGATTGTTGGGAATATGAGGAAAGCATTCTTGCATTGCCGCCAGTTCGAGGTCGAAATTGACAAGCAGGTCGGATGGACATCGATTATGTTATGGGGTGCGGGATCAAGCGACATGTTCGCTGATGCGAACAAGAAATTCGAAATGGGCGAACACGACGCGGGCGGTCATCAGCTAATGAAGGCATTCAAACGACTGGAGATGGATCTTAAACAACTATCACCACAAGGCATCAAGGAACTTTTGCTGGGAATGGTGCATCGCGACGCGGGCATGATGACTGCTCTGTGCAAGTATCTGGCGGCATATTCTTCGACGAACTTCGAACGCTCGCATCCCCTACGGCAGACATTTTCTACACTATACGAGGTGCAACAGAAGCATGGTCCGATCACACTATCGGAGCTTGTCTGGGGCTGCATTCCTACCATCGCCGAAGAACTTGAAGCCATCTACGGACGGCGTCACCCTTACGTAGCCAGGACGTGGATCGACTTGGCCATCTTTTACAACCACGCCAACCCCGAGAGACTCGAGAAACTGCTCTCCGAACTCCAGCCACTACGAAGGCAAATAGCAGGCCGTCACGGACAAGGCAGTGCGGAGGATCTGGCCTTGCGATATGCTGTTGTTCAGTTGATGCAAGCAGCCTGGCCCAACGCCGATAATACGAGGATGGAGGCCTTGGAACTATGGACTGCGATGAAGGATGGCGGCCTCGTCTTCCCAGTGCGGGGCGCAGAGCACAACACCTTTTGCTACCACAGCCCCCTCAAGATCGATCCGTGGGAAAGACGATGCAGGGAGCGATATGACATTGGGACTCAATTCTTCCAGCAACACTGCGGCATCAAGGTCCTGCCCTATTTCGAAGAGGATATGCATTACACCGAGCATGCCCCCGACTCGCATTCGGCGTTGGCAGCAGCCTTGGGCCACATGCCGCAGTCCAAGTTCTCGCTCATTTAGTCGAGCAGGCAAAGTACTGCGTGGCAGAGACTTTGATCGACTTGTCAACTTCTTTGGCGAAACTTATTACCATGGTCGTAATGTTGTATCGACCTTGGCCATCAGACGAGCCACGGACAAGTGGCATTCCTTACTTTTCTTAATATTTTCTTATTTAGTGATTCGAGAAGAGGACGCTACGATGCGACGGCCGCAGAAAAAAAGCCCCTTCGAGCAGGCAAACGAAGGCGATTACCCCGGGTTGTCAGGATTGGGATCAATGATACCTCAGAGGCCAAACACAGAGAGCAGGGAATTTTTTGGATAATTGTTCGGAGTATTTTGGGTCAGGTCATAACGCCATGGATGACATGTCATGGCCGGCGTCTGGGAGGGGGCTTTCCGATTCCAACACACAGCGAGCAGACGTTTTTACGGAATGACACAATTGTACAATAGCATTTGACGCACGGGGAAAGGCGCAGAGGATGGAATCCCGATACCAATGAGACGCGAGAAGTGGTGGAGATTAGTAGTCCAGCGACGAATGGAAAGACGAAAGATGAAACGATTCTCAAAAGCACGATGGGGAATTTTCCCCGAGAAAGACAACGACGATTGATGATGATTCCCCCCCGAATAGGATGGCCCGGAGGTTGTTGTGGACGTGGTTGAAGGTGTGAGATGAAGGGACGGAGCAAGTGTGGGGAGATGGGCGGCGCGCCAAACCGAAACGGAGGGGATGAGAAACCAACCAGCCGAACCGAGTGCCCTGAACGGGCTGATCTACACGAACTTACAGGCACGGGAACGGAGCCGAGTTCAAAGAGGAGGGGGGAGCGTTTCCGAGGTCCTGGGGCAAGCGGGCATGACGCGATAAGAGAATTCCCACTTTCGCCCATTTGCGGATTCCCATCACCGACACCCTCATCATTTCAGCTGTAGGGGAGTTCCCACTCCCAGAGGACATGCAGCTGCATGGCCATGCAGGAAGCCCGGCCATGGGCTCTACAGTCGGATGGAGTAGTTTCTTGTCGACACCTGAATCGAGAGTCGCATGCCCAGCAACATGTGCTTCTTTCCGCCTGGCTCTTGGCCGCTTGGCTCTCAGGTCGGTTTCGGTATCCTCCGGGCGACGGCTGTAGCCTGCGAGGACTGAGGAGGAGAGCCGGTTCGGGCGGAGGATTTGATGGGTTTGCGGCACCGATTGTCCCGTATCGGAGCCACCTTGACACGGAACGATGATGCCGCGCATTTAGAGGTTCACTGGAATACTAGGCACGCTTGTCGTCGGTCACGGTTATGAGAGTCATGATAGCACATGTGTCGGCGAAGCACATGTACAAAGACCGACATTGCCGGTGCTTGTGGTCCTGCGGGGACGAAATGGCTCTTTTTCCGTTTTGTTTCTTTGCCAAGCCGGGATTTCCGTCCAATGTCTACGGAGTACCTAGTATACTTCCCCCCTTGCCATAGACGGATCTCTTCCAGCTGTCAGCATCTGCATCGTAGTACCTAGGCAATAACAGGGGAGTCTTTCGGGGCCGTTCTCTCGAACCCACACTGTCCACTGTCCCACTCCCACCACAGCTTCGTCCGTGTTGAGGGCTGGGAATCGGGACTTGGGTGGAGGGGGTCTAGATTTGGGTAGATAGCCTCCACTAAACAAACACATAATGGAAACTTGGCCTGTTCAAATCTGGTTGTGCGTGTGTGTGCGAGTCCTGGTAAATCCACAGTCCGCAGAATTGGTTTATTAAATAGGTATCCGCATGGGAGGGATAAAAGAACGAGCAAGCGACGAAGCAAGGCCGCGGTCCGGCCCCAGATCCCGACCTGGCCCGGGGGTGTTGATGCAGGTGCTAGGTGCTAGGCGTGCGATTCGGGCTTTGGAGATTTGGAGGGATTGCCGCGATAGTTGGCTTGACATGTGCTCTTTCGATTTTTTGGGTGGTCGTCGCAAGTTGACTTGCCTTTTTCGTGGGTTTGATTTTGTTTGTCTACTAATAGGGAGGTTGAGTTGGTTCCTTGTTTCCCGCTGTTATTTTCGTGGGATTCTTTCTTTGTTGGATTTGCGATGATGAAGGTGCTTTGTTTGTTGGTTCCTCCGAGGATGAGAGTTGGAGCCCATGTTTGCTTGCTTGCTTGCTTGCTTGCGTGCTTGACTACAGACAAGACAGCATGACGGAGCCCACGGGCCAACGCCGATCCGCACCTGGTCATGACAGCCATGATGCTGAGGTAAGGAAGGCCCCAGGATCACCGTTGTTGCGCACTGCGCGGTTGGAGAGGCTTGATTTTTTACGTTTGGGATACGAAATGAATTGCTTGATTATTTGAAGCCAAGACTTGCGGATTACGTGCTGGAGGGGGGGATGATGGGATGCAGGGGCCATCCTGTGGGCGGATAGTGGCTTTATTTCATCTCATCTTTTTTGGCGTTTACGGGTACGCGAAGGTGTGTGTATGGAGGTATGGATACCCGTGAGGACGGGTTGGGCGGTATGCGCGCGGGGGATGAGGAGGTTGCGGGGTGGTTGGTGCGCTTGGTGAAGCTTTTCGTCCTTTATTTATCGTGGAGTTTGTGAAGTCTGTTTGATTATTGTGTCTGTCATGCTTTTTTTTCTGTCTTATCGCGCGGTGTTGTGGAAAGGAAGGTAATGGAACTTTACATCGCCGTGGTTATCTTTTGGGACTACGAGAGTATGAACGGTGGATTATTTAAAGTATCCGTACTTTGGGATAGTTTTGTCGTTTCGGTCCGGCGGGGAAGTCGAGTTTCCCGGATAAGGCTCCCGAGTGATTGAAATTGGCGGAGATGGCTGCGAGGCCGCACGTGTTCTGTCGCCGTGTAGCATCCATGTGATATTCTCTTGTTCATGTCGCTGTGATGGCGGCATGGGGAGTAGAGTAGGTAGACTAGGTAATATCTAATTCTTAGGTCACTACGTCAGCAATTAGCACTCGCTCGCCCTCCCCACCTCTGTCAAGCGTCTGGTCGCGCGAGATCCCTTGGATTGGTGATCCGGCTTGTCCCTCTCGGATCTTTCCGTCATTAGCGGACGTGGCGTGTAGGTCGGTGTTGGTGTCATACATGTAGCTATCATTGGTTCAGAGAGGATGAAGATGGGATGGAAGGGGTGGGTATCTCCTCATTCTTCTGGGGGAGGAGAACTTGAGGCTGAGCTTGTGTTGAGCCTGGCGTCTACTAGGGCTGAGAGGATTACCGGTAGGGTCGGGCTTGATTTTAAGTTGGGCTGAAGTTGATGATCTTGGGTTGTGAGATCGGCGGTAAGGGCTTGAGCCTTGAGATACATCCTCGCGTGAGAGGGAACCGTGGGAGTGGTTTGGGTTTGGTGATCTACATGGTTGATCACGTCTGTGGGTTTAAGACGGGTTGCGCGCGATGCGCGGGGGCTTTGGCATGTCGCTTTCCAAGGCCTAGCTTGAGGGAAAATGGGCAGAGGGTTCTTTATACTCTTCCGAGTGTTAACGAAGAGTCTCTTTTCGAATCATATTGCGGATCTTACCATATCTAGGAAGATTTTCTTAGATGTCGGCGGTGTTGTTGGGTTGTGAGTTTGTGATCTGATTTGCCGGCTACTCGCATTGATGACTTGTCGTTGTACCAAGAATGCGATGTTCGCCGCGCCTGATGGCTTCTTTGGCGCTCTATTTCGCGCCGACTCTACTTTGTTCTACCATACCTTCACTCAAAGAGCTAGGGTTGTCTTTTCAGGTATATTCTATTCGGCCTTCCTAGCCTCCTGGGGTCTTACTATCGTCAACGTCCCACCTCCCGCAGGTTACGGCAGTTTCAGCAAAGGAGAAAAGGCAAGCAAACACATACGGTGTCGTTTGAGGCGTGGGGTAATTGAACTTGATACGTTATTCGATCCGAGAAAGGAGGACTGAATGATGTGTAGTCTTTGCTGACTGCATCTCACGCCTTTTGTAAAGGTTGCGCAGGTTAACCACCTTCGCGTTTGACACCTAAACGCACAATCCAGGGTACATTTGTCCTTCCTTTAGAAGTATTGCTACAGTCTCGCAGCATCTGGATTAAAAATCTCCAAATATATAATTCTCAAGTAATCACTAACCGATGCTATCAAGCCTGAAGTACGGGACCAGGCACCCCTCAGCAAGCCAACCCCCTTGTTCCTCTGGATCATCACGCAACATATCTCTCAAGACGGTAACTACGATCCCGCCGCCGCGTCAGGAATACTCCAATTGGATCAAACAAAGGCTAAATTACTTGAATACATATTGAATTCATCAAAAACGACTTATCCATCATGTAATAACACCCACAACCCACCAAAACCAAAAGAATTGCGTCGAGGGGGAATCGAACCCCCGGCTCCCCGACGCTGCTTGGATGGCAACGGAGAATTTTACCACTAAACCATCGACGCTAGATGATTGAGAATCGCTTGAAGCGACTCTGGTTGGGAACGAGGGCGAGGGAGAGGACTCTTGTTTGATTGTTGTGGAGGATGAGGGTTTTCGTGAGGATTTTTGAGGTGCGGGGCGCGGGGCAGGGTGAGATGCGTGGAGGGGCAGAGATGGGGTCGATGGTGGGGCTGAGAATTGGGACTGATGAGGAAGTGGAAGTTGTGGTATTGTGGTTGACAGCCTTCAGGTCTCGAAAATGTCCTTCGCTATTTGCTTCGGGAAGTTCTTGTGGTGGCTTGGTCCTGGGTTTGAGAAATTGTCAAGCGAGGTGGCTGTGGTGGGAGTAAGAGAGGCATTGAAATGAAGCTTTCCCGGGCCTACTTGCACGACTTCGATGCCTTTGAGACGTTCGAGTTTTCCGTACACAAGGCCTTTTGGCAAGTATGGCTGCAGCTTTTGGAAGGGGTAGGATGTAAGCGGCCAGAAAGTCCTGCTCGCAGCCTCTCTACAGCCATCTTAGATGCACAAAACCTTTTGGCGAGTCTCATGGTTGAAGAATTGCATATGTCTATGTTAGAAAACAACGCTGCCTCTGATTGAGGAATCTATGAGAGTCTCGGTGCCCCCTGATACGCTATCGCGATCCGCTATTGAATAGCTGCAATAGCGTTGCGAGATTGAGGTGAAGTATTGCCTCGATGATCCCATGTAGCAGGGTAGAAAATGCAAAGATGCCGCATCGCAAGTGGAAGCAGAACAGAAAGGCAAAAAGCAGAATCCCCGTGAAATCAAATCCCCCAAACTCAATCTCAAACCTCCCCTCCAGACGCCGATTCGTCAAGCCGGCTCCGACTTAATGCCATCTGGGAGCGTTGCCTTCTTCTCGTCCTCCGAAAGCATCGGCATCTCCTCGACGCCCTCGAGGGCCTCTCTCTTAATTACCACCTGACTCTCCTCCTCAACAGTATCATCAGCCTCATCAGCCGCGTTAGGCGCCGCTTCTTCGAAATCGTCGAGAGGAAACGCATCGGGAAGGCAGATGAAAACTTTGGCCCATTCAGACCGCCAAGTGGCAATGACGGTGGAAAGCGCCTGCTGAGTTATATTGCTCATCCTCGCCGAAGGATGCTTCTTGGTCTTCTTCGCGTAAAGACCCTTCGCGATGCGGTTCAGCTCAGCCTTGATGAGCGTACCACAGCCACGCTGGGAATGTTTCCAGAGATTTGAGACGTCTGCAGAGACTTTCTTGATGTCGGCTGTGAGGTCTTTCTCCAAGTCGTTGCGGACCGTCTCGAACATGGTGAAGCCAACATTGTCTGCGTGCTTGATTACGTCCTCTATCTGCTTCGCCATCAACCCTTGGCCTGCTTCAATGTTAGTCGCGATTCTTCTTCATGAGAATTGCATTGTCATATGACATACCAGTGTGCTTGATTGCCGCCTCGAAACCTGGCTTCATCATCAACGCCAAAGACCTCTGCACAGGATCTCTCTTCGCTCTCGATGATGCCTGGAACTGCGTGACGCGCTCACGCACATCTGCCACATACTTCTCGACGAGGTGATCCAGCTTGAAGGCGCTAGCCTTCACCAGCTCTCGGAACGAGACTGGGAGCGACTCGTTGTCGTAAAGATCCTTTAGCCATGCAGCAAGGGCTCTAAGACCCGCTCCTCGGATCTTCCCTTTCAAAATCGGGATTCGACGAGTGAACTCATAGGCCCATTGATCAAAATGGCCTTGCCAGAAAGCATGAGACCTGCTGAATTGTCAACATATATCACTCGGCGACATAGACATTGGGGAGAGTCTTACACGTCCTCAATCCAGAAGATAATAGACTTTGGCTGTCCGGTCTTTGCACGACGAATGAAAGGACCACCATTTCTCCTGACGCAAGCTCGGTAAGTAGACCAAAAGGTCTTCTCGTGTCGTGAAGATGCAGCAACATTTGCTCTGGGGTTCTTCTTTTCCCACCCCTTCACTGCTCGATTAAACAGGTCAACGGCTCGCTCGAGCTCTGGCTGATCTTTTGCTTTAGATTGTCTAGCAAGATGAGTCCTCTTCAAAGAGAGTTTCCGTAATGGCTGCATGGCTGCGAGGTATTTCTGAATTGAGACGCGGACTCTGGAATTGATAGACTTCGCATTTAAATGATTAGCACCGGAATGAAACTCAGACTCAGACATTTATGAACTTACCTCGTTCAGATGATTGCAGAGAATGACCATGTTCCTCTCCAATTCGGTCTTCTGATCGCTAGAGAGTCTTGGATACGCTGCATGATGGTCATTTTGGTTCCATCCATCCACAGCATCAAAGAGGACCTGAATATGGTTAATGTCTCCATCTACCCACTCTTCCCGGTACGGGAGAGAAACTTGATGTAGCCAGTCTTCCAAGTCTGGGATGCCAGTAGAGTCTCGGTCGGGGAATCCATCCGAGTGACTTGTCTTGTCTCTCAACCTCAAAGCCTGAAAAGCTCTGCTGCTGACAGGGAAGACTGAAGGCAGAGTATCAGCTGACGCTGACGCGCGCGACTTCTTGTTCTTGTTTCTGGTGGATAAGAGGTTATCCGTCACCCTTTGCTTCAATATCTTATTTCGCTCCACGATACACTTCTGCCTGCGAAGCGACTTGAGTGTTCCCGTGCTGAGATGGGACAGATCAAAGTCTGGTCCATCACCGTCCATTCTTTGTCTCACGGCGCTTCGACCCTGTACGTCGTCAGCGCGAGGACGCTTCTCACCTGTTGAGCAACTCATATCCACGGCATTGCCATAGATGGTATCGTCTCCGCTTTCTGCTTCTTCATCATCGTCATCTCCACCGCGTCTGTTGATCTCGTCGCAGATTGCAAGTATTTCCGGGGTAGGAAACTCGCTCTCCGCGGCCAAGTCGTCAATGTCATCTGTCTTGGTTATGGCAACGCAAAGAGAATCACCCTTGAGCATGTTATCCATATCCAAGAACATAGTCTCTCGCTCCGAGAGGACAAGGTCAGCCGCTGCTCTGTTGTCAGCGGCCCTCGTTGCGGGTGTCACAACGATCCTCTTCTCAAGACGGTAGAGATAACTGCGTGCAATTTGGGCGCGAGACTCAAGAGCATCCATTACGCCTGGCAGATCAACGAGTTTGATGCCGTGCCGGAGTATACCGGCCTTCAAGAATATCTCGACTTGTTCCACCAGAGGCCAATACCTCGTGGGCGATGCTACGTCTTTCGAGCTGGAGACGTAGGGCTTCAGCATGGCCAAGAATTCTTTCTTCCTGGCGGCTTTGACGAGCTTGAAAGTGCTCGTCGCCCGATCGCCTCGTCCGCTCCTGAAAATTTCAGCAAAGGCAGACGAATTCGCAATGATCTGTGCTGGAGATGACTTTCTGATTGCCTCTAGACTGAGCCTCGACCAGTTGGCGACATTTCTCATCTGCCGTTGTGCTTGAGCACGTCGTTCTTCGTGTTCTTGATCTGGATGCTCTCCTTGGGTTTGGCTGGTCTCCTCTAGGTCGCTCAACTCGTACTTGAGTGCATCCAGTTCTGCTTCGACTGTCTCGTAAGACTTGAATGTGATATGAGCACGGAAGTTGTTGCCATTGGAGACGTCATCATTCCACCCGAAAATGCAGACAGCTGCCGTGCAGGCTTCTGAGCTGCTGGTTGGCACGATGTTGCACCCGAGAAGTGCGTTGATGAGGGAGCTCTTCCCCAGACCAGTTTCACCTATGACACCGACAAGAATCTCTCGGGACTTCGGTGCCTCGTGCAGGAGATCTGATAATATGTAAGCAAAACCTGAAGAGACATGAATCTTGATCAAGCCCGGAATACTCACTCAAACTAGCAACCCACTCTTGCAGACCTTGTTGGGACCTTCCAATCGCATCTGCATGAAGGGCAGGCTTGGCGATTTCCAACTGTGATAGACCCAGCGCCCTAGCCTCTTCTTTCTTCGCGACTCTCGGACCAATGTCGGAAAGAACTGTCCTCTGTATATTTGCCATGATGAGAAAGATACCTTGGTTAGGAGGAGGCTGCATGAGTGTAGGAAGGGAGTCTCATAGGACTGGCACTGCGCGAGTGACGTTGTAGCTGGATAGAAAGGAGATCGAAATGAATTTGATAGCCTGGTATGATTAGACTTGTCTCGGGATAGATAGATGAATGAAGTGAATGAAGTGAATGAGGCTGATAGTTGGCAGTAAATCTGCGGAAGTATGAGAATGTGGAAGTGTGGAAACGTGGAAGTGTGGAAGTGAGAGAGTTGAAGCATGGAAAGCCAGGAAAAGATAGGTTTATATATGAGTGAGGACGGAGGCCCAGACGGAAGTGAGAGCAGGAAGGACCGACTTCCAAAGGCAGGTGCTCAAAATTCGGATTGGTTGAGAAGGAGCCCGCCAGAATTGAGAGAGCTGTGGATGTAAAGTAAAAGATGAAGAGTCTAAGAGAGAAAAGTAGGCTATAAGGAAGCCGTGGAGTTTTGCGGTGATGATGAATCCTGCAGGAGGGAAAAATCATGTAGCACTTCACGAAGCAGAAATCTGAGACTACAACCTCATGAGTGATTGAAGTCAGCGGCAATGAGGATTGCTCCTGTGTCAGGCTGACTTGATATAAGAGTACTCTCAAAGTCACTCATTCCAAGGGACACGCTTGAAGGACTCTCGATACGGTCTTATTATCACCTTACTGATGAATGTGTTTGATTATAATGCTGATTGGGGTATTTCCTATCCTTGGAGACGTTACCAAAGCGTCTTCCTTCTTGGGTATATGGCTCTTCTCCAGTTCCTCAACTCTCATCGCGCCTTCTTACATGGGGAGGGCGTATCCCTTCCCTAGATTCTGATATGACCATTCGCTCCTTCCTTCTTTACACCCGGTAATGCTTTGCCCGGCTGGGAGAGAAAATTGCTCTATGTAAGTCTACCAGCGTGACTTGACTATTTTCACCTTTGGCTTCTTGACTCCTGCCTTGGGTTTCGATGTGCCTTTGGCATCGGCCTTGGGTGTATCTCGGCTGTCGTAGCGGCACGCTGAGGCTTAGATCCGCCTTCAACTTTGGCTGAAGGTGAAGTCAAACCGGGTTTGTTGACGACCTTGGCGGGGGATACCGACTTAACGGCAGGATTGCCCCAAGAGCCAGATCCAGAACCGACCTTGGGTGTCGCCATGAGCTGGGCAGTGAAGTCGGCTGCAGTCATGGGCGCGGCTGCATCTTTGGCTGAGCGCTTCGGTGCGGCTTCCACTTTGGCTTTGATCGTAGGCCGTTTAGGGGCTTCAGCCTTCCTGTCGACCTTGATCGTAGATATGGGCTTGATGGCGGCGCTGCCCCAAGCACTGGGCGAAGACGCGGCTCGTGGTGTCGCCATGAGCTGGGCGGCGAAGTCGGCCGAGGTCATGGGCGCCACTGTACCCCTCGGCATACTTGTACTGCTGCTCCCAAACCCTACTTCGCGCTCTGCCCCGGCCTCTGGCGTCTTATCCCTGGGTTCATCAAAGCCTCGCATCTCCCGCTCGATCCTCTCCTGTGTAATTCTCGCCCGCTCAGCCTGGGCCCGTATATACCCCTCCCTCGCCTCCTCCTCCAACCTGAATTGCTCCTGAACAAGCTCCTCCTGTCGCTTCTCCTCCCTCCTCTTCCTATCGAGCCTGCGCTGCTCCGCAGATACCTCGGCGACCTTTTCTGCGGTGGGATACTCGGCCACGTACGCCTGCAGCTTCCACAGGTACAGCTGCAGCGGGATCGACCGCTTCTTCTTGACGACGAAGAGCGAGTGCTCGCGGAACACGGGCATCTCCCGCAGCTTCGCGAGGTACTTTGGCCCCATGAGCCGCCCGATGTCGTAGACGGGCAGGCTCTTTTCGTACTTTGCGTCCGGGACGTCGTAGGTCGCAAACGGCTTCACCTTCCCCTCCTTCATCCACTCATCCCAGCGACTCTCCCCCGCGGGGATGCGATTCGCGTCATACCACAGCAAACAGCTCCGCTTCTGCGCGTCGTGGACGTCTTCCCACGTCTCGAGGGGCTGGATGCACGAGCTGTGCCCTTCGTCCGCCTCGACGTGCTCTGTGATGTACTTCATGATGTTCTTGCGCAGGTTCTCGAGGACGAAGTCGCCCATGTCCTCGCGCCAGACGAGGCGTTTGGGGATATCCGAGTTCATGACCTTGGGGTTCCTGCCGAGGAGCGTGCGCCAGCCGTCGCCGAAGGGGGTTTTGCCGCGTTTGCCTGCCATGGAGTCGATGACGGGTTTGCGGGAGACGACGTAGGCGGAGGGGGATTTGAGGAGGAGCTGGTCTGTTTCTTTTTGTTTTACGAGGGGGTCCTCGGGGAGTTGTTTCCGGGGGGCGGTATGATTTGATACGACTTTGGAGCTGCTCTTTTCCTTTTTGTCGTTCTTGTCGGATCCGATTACGTTTTTGAAATGCTGCTCAAAGTCGTTTACTGCAGTGTCAAGGGTTTGGGTCTCTTTTTTGGTCTGCATTTTGGATTCGACCTTCTCCTCTTCAGGTTTGGTGGATCCGGTCGTCTCTTCGAAACACTTGTTGGACTTGTCCTCTGCATTGTCGGCCTTCTTAGATCCATCCTCCCCTTCGAAAGCTTTCCTGGGTTCGTCATTAACTTCATCGAGCTCTTTAGAGTCGTTCTTCCCCGGTTTAATAGCACCATTTCCCACATCGTCAAGCTTTTCTGACCGATTCTCCAGATCATCAAGCTGTCTAAGCTTCTCTTCCATAGCATCTTTATGTGTCCACGATACTTCAACATCGCCTGGTATAAACCAGTGCCCCTGGGTGTCCGGATTCGTAACGGCCTTGAAGTTTTGAAGAAAGTATTTCGGCAGAGACGTCCCCGTGACAGGACAGAATCGAACAGGCGTGGCGAGAGCATGAACTACAAGAGAGCGTCACATCAGCATTCCGCTCCCCAGCATCTTCGTACAAATAGGTGGCGGTGTCCCGCTACTGACCGTACGGGTTCTGTTCCAACTTGACGCGGAACCTGCCCCCGTTGGGCAACTTGTTCATGACAATGAGCCGTGGGCTCTGCGTCTTCTTGTCTTTGCCCATCCTAATCTTATACTTGTGTTTCCTCGGTATCGCCCCAGACGAAGACAAAGAATAATCCCGGACCTTGTCGCTCTTGGATTTCGGTCTGGGCTTGGGCGTCCTGTACCTCGTGCGTACATCCATCCACACGGGGTCCATGACGGGCGAGATGGGCAGGTCGCCCGCGGCCGTCCTGACTTTCTTGTTCTCCTTGTCGATCCGCACCTCTTTTGCGATTTCGTCGTGGCCCAGGACCTCTTGGATCCTCTTGGTGAAGTGCGCCTGTCTTTCCTCTGCCCTGCGCTTCGGCGCATCTCGTATCACTTCCGCTTTTGCCTCTTTTTTGGATATTGGCGGTATTGGCGGTGCCCTACCCGCTGCCTTGGCTTCTCTTTCTCTTATGTACTTCTTGGACAGGAAAACGGGCCCCGGTCTGGCGGACGGGGTTGTGCCATAGCTTCTGGCTGAAGTTTGGGGCACTCGTCGAATGCCTGGGAATGGCTTCATCGCGGTCGAGGGGGGGACCCCCGAAGGAGGGAGCGATAGTCGCAAAGTGTCGCCAGTGTGTTCGACTGGTCTCGCCCGGCTCGAAAGGTGAGAAATCCCTGGCTGCAATGGGTGCGCAATAGAATGGACGTTGGGAAAACCGCCCGGAGATTGCAAGATTCGGAAGGGATCCCGCGGAGTGGCGGCCCAGCTCAGGAATACGGCGCAGACGAAAAAAGAGCTTTACGCGCCTCGGGGCAATTTTTAGACGAGGACGCGTGGGGGAAGCTCGGAGCTCGGGGGGCGCGCACAGGGGGCCAACCGGCTTTCCCAGCGGACGTCACACCTCTCCCACCAGCGCTTGTTGCCGTCGATTGCCGCTTTTTCGCATTCTTCTGACTTGAACACTGCAACACCACACACGCGACCTCCGCCATGAACTGTCAAAAGACATTATTCCGAGCCCTGAGGGCCGTCCCGCGGCGGCAGCACGTCAGGGCCTTTTCAAACTTCCCATTGTCGGGCTTCCCTCCCGTCGCAGGAGCCGGTAGCAGTAGCCCACCTGTTGGGAACATCCCTCTGCCGTACATCACCGAGGTTTCGGTTCGTCTACCCATGGCCATTTGAACATACTAGGGTCGCGAAAGCTAATTGATCAGTCGAATGGTTGGAGGACATGTTAGTACACCGCGACTGCTTCTGCAACTGGGCGTTTCCCCCTCGCTGACCACGCAGGTAGACGACATCTTCTCCAAGCTGCTTCAGGTACGATCCTAGATTCAATTTGACTTGTCGCGCGCATCAAGCTAAGAGACACGTAGGAACGAATTGTCTGCCTCAATGGCGCGATCGACGATACCGTCTCCGCATCGATAGTAGCACAGCTCCTGTGGCTCGAGTCCGATAGCCCCGACAAGGCGATTACAATGTACATCAACTCCCCAGGAGGCTCAGTATCATCAGGTTCGACAGACACCCCAATGCGCAGTCAGAGATACAGGGGAAAGAATAGAATGCTGACGAAGAGATCAAGGTCTGGCCATCTACGACACAATGACATACATCAAATCACCAGTATCAACAGTCTGCCTCGGCGCGGCCTCCTCCATGGCAGCGCTGCTCCTGACGGGAGGCGAGGCCGGCAAGAGATACGCCTTGCCGCATAGCTCCGTCATGATCCACCAGCCGTTGGGCGGAACGCAGGGCCAGGCGTCGGACATTCTCATCTACGCGAACCAGATCCAGCGCATCCGGAAGCAGATTAACGAGATTATGAAGCGCCACATCAACAAGTCGTTTGGGCACGACAAGTACAGCTTGGAGGAGATCCACGACCTGATGGAGCGCGATAACTACCTATCGGCGGAGGAGGCCAAGAGCATGGGTGTCATTGACGAGATTTTGACGCGGAGGGAGGAGAAGGATCTCAAGGAGAAGGATTCGACTGAGGAGCATAAGACGAAACCCTAAGTCTTTGAGGATTGTGGTTAATTGGGATCCAGAAGTGTTGATTTGTACCATCATGTCTACTCGGTCTCCGTAGTGAAGCGCCCTTAGTGTAAGGTAAGGTAATGGAGCTGAGCTGCGATTGTAGGAGAGGATTATGGAGGCAGCACGCGCGTTGCCGGGTAGCCGTGACCCACTTCCGGCGGGATCGGTGTAGAAAAGCGGGGCTCGTCCGGGACCGGAAGCATTCCGGGCTTATCGGAAATAAGCATGAGGTAATCGGATGAGGTAAAGCTGGGATCGATGCCATCACACCTTGATGCTTCTCAGACCTTGGAATACATTCATCAGCAAAGAATATAGACTCTGCGAAAGTTCAATTCATCGTTCAATGCACCGAGATATCCTGCACTTAAGCTCTGGCGGTGGTGTGGTTACAGTCGCACACCGTGGCTGACCTTGCTGACCTTGCACCCGACGCCGGTGGCTCACCTCGAGCTGTGCAGCAAAACGCAGCCAAAAGGCACCAAACCTGGGGGGAACGGACCGTCGGAACTACAGCTGCGACCAATTAGCGACGAGGTATTTCAATGCGGGGAGCATTCGGCGGGGAGCTCCAGAAATTTTAGGAGCCGACATCGCCCCAAATTGTTCTTCCCCCCCTGTGGTTTTGGCTCTGGCTCTGGCTGCTAGCGGCTGCTCCAAAAAAACCATCAACGTCTCTTTGCTCGCCGTGTGTCCCTGTGACTGTCCCTGTGATCTCGGGTCTTTCTTCCACCGCACCTCTTTTTTCCTTTTCTTCGTGACTCACCTGGCATCAATTTAAAAGAGGAAAAAGAATCGAGGAAACAGATTCGAAAAAGGAGATCAATTGGGAACTCAATTGAACATCACTCTCTTATACACGCCTCATCTTTCCCTTTCCCTTCACCCCCCCTTCCGCTGCGTCGTCTCCTGGGGCTTGCCCGGTGATACCCTCGACGAAATGCTCTCCCGGTCCATCGCCCGCCAGTCACAAGCTCTCAGAGCTGCGACAAGGCGTCCTACCTTTGCCAGCCATGCGTAAGAACCCCCCCCAATGGACCATCAATGGCAACTAGCTAACCTCAGTACCTCTACAGACGCCTCCTCTCCTCCACCGCGCCCCGACGCGCCGACGAGAAGCTGAACAAGGTCTCGGCCAACATCACCCAGCCCAAATCCCAGGGCGCCTCCCAGGCCATGCTGTACGCCACCGGCCTGTCCGAGGACGACATGAACAAGGCCCAGGTCGGCATCTCGTCCGTCTGGTACGAGGGCAACCCCTGCAACATGCACCTGCTCGACCTCTCCAACCTCGTCCGCAAGTCCGTCAAGGACGCCGGCCTCATCCCCTACCAGTTCAACACCATCGGTGTCTCGGACGGCATCTCCATGGGCACAAAAGGCATGCGCTACTCCCTCCAGTCCCGCGAGATCATCGCCGACTCCATCGAGACCGTCATGAACGGCCAGTGGTACGACGGAAACATCTCCCTGCCCGGCTGTGACAAGAACATGCCCGGCGTCGCCATCGCCATGGGCCGCGTCAACCGCCCCAGCATCATGGTCTACGGCGGCACCATCAAGCCCGGCTGCAGCAAGAGCGGCGAGTCCATTGATATCGTCTCCGCTTTCCAGGCCTACGGCCAGTACATCACCGGCGAGATCACCGAGGAGGAACGCTTCGACATCATCCGCAACGCCTGCCCCGGCTCCGGCGCCTGCGGAGGAATGTACACTGCCAACACGATGGCCACCGCCATCGAGACGCTCGGCCTGACGATGCCGCACAGCTCCAGCAGCCCCGCCGAGGATCCCGCCAAGAAGGCGGAGTGCGAGAACATTGGCTCCGCCATCAAGAACCTCCTCAAGGAGGACATCCGCCCGCGCGACATCATGACCCGCCAGGCTTTCGAGAACGCCATGGTCGTCGTCAACATCCTCGGAGGCAGCACCAACGCCGTCCTCCACCTGCTCGCCATCGCCGACTCCGTCGGCATTAAGCTCACCGTCGACGACTTCCAGGCCGTCTCGGACCGCACGCCCTTCCTGGCCGATCTGAAGCCTTCCGGAAAGTACGTCATGGCCGATATGCACCGCATCGGCGGCACCCCCGGTCTGCTCAAGTTCCTCTTGAAGGAGGGCTTGATTGACGGCTCCGGCATCACCGTCACCGGTAAGACGATGAAGGAGAACGTCGCCAGCACGCCCGACTTCCCCGACGACCAGCCCATCATCCGCCCCTTCAGCAACCCCATCAAGCCGACGGGCCACATCCAGATCCTCCGCGGCCAGCTCGCGCCCGGCGGCTCCGTGGGCAAGATCACCGGCAAGGAGGGCCTCGTCTTCACCGGCAAGGCGCGCGTCTTCGACGAGGAGGACGGCTTCATCGCCGCCCTGGAGCGCGGCGAGATCAAGCAGGGCGAGAAGACGGTCGTCATCATCCGCTACGAGGGCCCCAAGGGCGGTCCCGGCATGCCCGAGATGCTGAAGCCCAGCTCCGCCATCATGGGCGCCGGGCTGGGCAAGGACGTGGCGCTGCTGACGGACGGACGGTTCTCTGGCGGCTCGCACGGGTTCCTGATTGGGCATATCGTGCCGGAGGCGATGGAGGGCGGTCCGATCGGGTTGGTGCAGGACGGGGACGAGATTACGATTGACGCGGAGAAGAGGGTGATCGATACGAATGTGTCGGATGAGGTGATGGCGGAGCGCAGGGCCAAGTGGACGGCGCCGCCGCCCAAGTATACCAAGGGTACGCTGAAGAAGTACTCTGCTCTTGTGAGCGATGCTAGCTCCGGATGTGTCACGGACGGCAAGATCTAAGGCCTTTCGGTGTCTCCGGGGTTGAGGAGGATGGAAAAGGGGGGGGAAAAGGGGGATTCCCCTTTTTTTGGTCAATTTTCTTTTTGGCGGAATTCAAAAAGGGAGCGGCGGGGTTTGTTTCCTCATTTTTTCTTGCTAGAGGTTCCTTCTACACTTGTTATACCATCTTCTTGTACGGCTTCGGAAAAGGTAGTCCCCCAAAATCGGAGTTTTGTTTCACGTTGGTCTACGTCTTCCATAATGAAAGAAGTAGATTTGATAACACGTGTGTTGATATGGAACAAAAGGAGGCAAGAGATTGTTGAACGTGAATGTCAATACTCGTGGTATACGTAAAACACACTACAAAACGTCCACACCTGGATTACATTTACACGTGTACATGACGGCTCCCGTTAACGGAAGCTCGCCTGTACTGCTTTTTTCGTTCTTCCCTTGCTTCTTGCCCCTCCGAACGATTCCTGGAAAGCATTGGCACGAGAAGCGCCTCCGAAGCTCCTAGCTATGCAATAACACATATACCTCGCGGGCAAAACGAACAACGTAAAAAGTACGACGGCCGCCAACTTGCCAAACTACCGTTCGATTCCCCTTCTGCGCTTTTATTGGGTAGTAGTCGGAGGCTTCGGGGTCGCTTGCTCACTTGCGCCCGTTCCACGCCTCGATAAAGGCGGATTTATCCCGCAACGTCAACCCGACGCGCTTATTCCGACACAGTCTGGCCAGCGCCTCCCCGACTTTATCCAGCACGCGTTGTTCCTCGATCGAGAGCGCCGGCGCATCGCCGCCTCCGGCCCCAATCCGTCGTTGCGCGGTGTTCTCCCCAGAAGCAGCGGAGGACGAGACGCCGTTGGTCCGGGCGGCGGAGGAGTTGAGGATGCTCTCGGCGACGCGGACGCGGATGCAGGTCGTCGGGCGGGAGAGCAGGTCCCAGAGGAACTTGGTCCAGCGGCCCGGGATCGGGGTGGTTACGTCGGCGGGGGTGTAGCGGATGCTGACGGGGAAGATGTGGACTTCCGGGCTGACGGCGAGGAGGGAGGGCGTGAAGGGGAGGACGCCCTTGCCGTTGGTGGTGCCTCCTTCGGGGAAGACGGCGACGACGCGGTCCGGGTAGCGGGCGACGAGGGCGGCGAGGTCGGTGAGCTTTCGGGTTGCTGGCGGTGGCGCGAAGCGGACGGGGGAGAGGGCGTAGAAGACGGCGCGGAGGAGGGAGATTTGCTCTACCGATCTGGTGTTTGGGTAGGATATGGTGAAGATCGGGTCAAAGATGGCGGCGAGGTAGACGGCGTCGATGGGGGACGTGAAGTTTGCGGCGATGACGGACCCGGGGTGGGGGAAGCGCTGCGGGGGTTGGTCGGCGAGAGTGCCGCGGCGGACGCCGTCGAGCTGGAGGTCGACCCACCAGATGCCGGGGATGCCCATCATGCCCCAGAGGAGGACTTTGCGGACGGCGACTGGGAGGAAGGGGCATAGGTGCTGGAGGAAGAGGAAGTAGGTTGCCGCGTAGGTTAGGAAGAGGGGGAGGCGGATGAAGAAGAGGAAGGTGTGGAAGATTGAGGAGAGGGGGGAGAGGGCTGTCTTGACGGGGATGAAGGGCGAGATGCCCGATCCTGTTGGGTGTTAGTCTGTGGAATAGTGAAGGTATCGTGATGAGTGGGTTGTCTTTACCTTTGTCGCGGAACTGGCTGAACTTCTCCATTGTGGGAGATGTCGTGAGAGGTGTGACGGTGGGATGAAATGGTCGTATAAGTCCAAGCTGACGGGGAGGGCGGAGGGGCAAGGTAGAGGCGGAATAATCACCGCGACATGAGGCTCCGGATCGCAACGGTCGTGGTGTTTTTGTTTAGATGGACCTTGGCGTATCTAGGGCGGATCGACGCAAGGACGTTGAGAAGAACAGACAGACCAGAGAGGAGGGGAAAGCTGGAGAATGGAAAATAGAGTGAGACTCGGCAATGGCTGCTCTCGTGTCACGCAACTCTGTAGTCGCCGTGGTTCTCCCAGCACCGAGTTTCCTGGTCCGTTGGGAAAGGAGCAGCGAGACAACGAAATCTCAGATGCGACGTGAGCTGGCGAATGAGCTTCCCAACGTCATGGTGCGGCGGACGGCCAGCAGTGACATGTGAAATTTAAAGAATAAAAAGAAATAAAATAAAAAAGAACGAACCACCACGTTGCGTTGCGCCAGAGGTGGCTGCGGGACGGGGATGCAGTGGCACGCAGTGGTAAGAAGAGGCGCGACCGCTTACCAAATCAGGACAGCTGCACCTGATTCTGCTGAGGTAAGCTGGCTTTCGGCGAAGCTTCGGATGTTCTCATGAGTGGAAGCCTTAGGCAACAATGCATTAAGTGACAGACCACATGTAGCCAGATGATTACCTAAAGCACTCTGCATTACCTTATGTCAGCGTCTGATGTCCGTCTTATGTCAGCGCTGCACAAATCCCGTTGCCCCGGGCAGCCATCCCCACCCCCGGCCGTCACAAGTTGTGTGCGATTGTGGCAGCGCCTCGACTGTGTACACAATTCGCAGTAAACACTCAGACCCTGGTGATGCACCTCTCCACCAGTCACGATTGACAACCCACACCCCTCCCCATACTGCAATCATAGCTGTGGGCTCTCTCTTTTTTTGAGCCATTCCCGCTGCTGCTGCTGCTGCTGCTCCTTGCCGCATGCCTGCTCCAACTTCACAACGTCTTCTCCTACCGCGTCCAGAACCGGAGCGCTGCTCCTCGTGTCCCACATCATCATACCCGTTGTCGCTCGTCGCGTAGACAGCATCCTCAACATGGACACTGCGGAGAATACGGTATGTCTTGCATTCACATCCAGATCCGGGACACGAAGCTTTGGCGATGTCGCAGAGCTACAATAAACCAGAGCAGCGACAGAGCAAAGCGCCCAGCTAACAACACCTTCACAGCAGCACCACTTCCGATCCTCCGTCATGCGCCCTCACAGCAACCTCCCACGACCAGGCGCCTTCGCCTCTGGCCTCTCCGAAATGAACGAAGCGCAAAGCAACGCGCGCGCGCACCCGTCCATGATACCGCCGCCGGGCGCATCCAAGATTGGCTCCCTCAACAGCGCCATGAACCTGAAGAGGGAAGTCCCCAAGCCAGGTTGGTCTTACTACCCTCCCGGCTTGCGCTGGGATGACTGGTTGCGGCTGCTGACCGTGCCTTCTACAGCTGAGCATTCGGCTACCAAGCACCACAAGACCCTCGCCGAGAGGGCAGGCGAATACCCGACCAAGCCATCCTCGGCGGCGGCAGGCGCGGGTGCTTCTGGCATCGCCAGGGCCCCTTCTGTCAGGCGGGTGCCCGGGTCGACATTGGCAGAGGTAGGTTCCCCAGTTTCGTTGCCTTGTGTTGCGTCTGTATGAATCGCCCACTTCGTATCTCATCCCGAACAACCGACGTCGAAGCGTCCCGTCTCCTTGGACATGGCCCCCGAGTCAACTACGGCCTCCAGCATCGTTCTCCGGCTTGACGGTCTTCGGACGATCCTTTGGATAGCAGTGCACCTGTTTCGCTCTATACGGCATATCTGGCGGGTTGTCATCCAGTCCGTTCCTCGACCATTCCTCTAGCAAAGGCTGCTTGCGTTCTTCCCGCTTCCTTGGCACCAAAACACCCTCAGCCGACCACGTTCTCGTCCTCGAAACGGTCCTTCAATACCCACGCCAGCGTATATGCGAAGCGTCTCCGGTAGACTACAACTGTGGCTGGGATTACAAAGCGACGGCGACAACACACGTAGCAGCATTCGACTACTCCTAGACGCCGAGGTCCAAGACGCCGAATGCTACCAGGCCATGGAATGCGACGACGAGACGGACGACAGGGATGAGCTGCGTTGTGTACCGCCCAATGCTCGCTCACTACAACCACATGTAGTTTGCATGCTGACTCGTAGCAGCTCAAAAACCCAGATAACATCAGACCTCGAAATGGAACGACGACATCACGATACAATCAGAACAGCAGCTTCTCCGCGAGCGTCGGCCCCCGAGGCCATGAACGTGCAAAATCCTCCCTTGCTCACTCAAAGTCGGTACACGGACAGTCCCGGACCCGAAACACCAATCCGCATTCGAGACCGCGCACGGCATACGGTCATCGATCTGAGGAAGAGTTTGATGGACCAATAGAACAACAGCATGGTACGGCTCTGCATTCCCAGCGACTGAACTTTCTGCGACCCCTTGAATTTCAGCCTAGGAAGGCTAGACATGCCAGTCACACGTCCCAAATGCATTCGCACAGAGAAGTTTCTCTTAGCAGTCGGTTTGGCGCACTATCCATCAAGGACGACGCCAGTACGACAAGCTCAGCACAAGATGAAGATCAAGTGGTTTTCAGCCAATATGGAGGAGACACCAGCGTCAGTTCAATCTCGACCATGGCGAGCATCGCGCAAGCGGACAATCTCACCATGCGCGCGCCGTCACGCAGGGCCCTCATGAAACCGCCAGATCTGTCGCCCAAGAAGAGGCAGGCCAGTCGCATGACCGATCCTGTCACGCCTTCGCCAGATTCTAAGCGATCGAGGGCATTGATGGAAAGACTCGAAGAAACAATTATTGCCATCAAGGACTCGAGATCCCCAGCTAGATCCCCTTCTCCTTCTAGACTTCATTTTCTCACAAAAGATTCTAACTTGACTCAATTCGTAGGCTGGGACGTCGAGGGCAGGGTTGCCGAGCTTGACTCGCAGTTTAAGCAGGTGAAGGAGTCAATGACTGTCATGCTCTCTGACAAGGAGTTGATGGACGAGCGAGTGGAGATGTACAAGAAGAGAAGTGAGTAGTAGTTCGGACGACGAGCTACCTTAGCGCGGACTGAACTAATCGGCTGGCAGTATCTGAACTCGAAGCGGAACGAGACAAGCTCGAAGACCGCAATGGGAATTTCCAAAATGAAATCAACAACATGCGCGACCAGATGCAAAAACTGACAATTGAATCCGAGACGGAAAAACGCAGTCACAAGTATGAGCTCGAGGACGAGGCCCGGAAGCACCGCCATGAGCTGGACGAACTGCGGCGCGAGCTCAAGGATGAGACACAGCGAGCGGAGAAGAGTCACCGCGAGGCTTTGGATGCTCTTGAGCGACATTTCAAAGCCGAGATTGAGGAAGAACGTCACCAGAAGTCGAGGGAGGTGCAAGATTTACGAACGCGGCTTGGTCACGAGCAGCAAGATCTCAACGCCATCCTTCAAAAGAAGGACAGAGAAGTGTCGGAAATGAGAGGCGTAGTGGAGACACTCAAGGGAGATTTGGACCGCGAGCAAAGTCTCAAGAAGGGACTCGAATCCAGCATTTCGGAACTCTCTGCCTCCAACGTCACGCTCGAGGCCAAGATCAACTCGCTCAAGTCACATGTCGAGTTTCTCGAGTCAGATAGTAAGGCTCAGTCAGACTCCTTCTCCAACATGGAAGCCAGATTGCAAGAGGCGCTCAAGGCGGCCCAAGTGGCCGAGGAGAAGCTCATCAAGGAGGAGACGGAACGCCGCGTCCTCTTCAACAAGTACCAGGAGCTCAAGGGCAATATCCGCGTCATGTGCAGAGTCCGTCCTGTACTCAGCTCGTCAGAGGGTACGCCGGCCAAGGTCACCTTCCCCGACGAGAAGACATCTGCCGAGATTGCATTGCAGACGCAGGAAGTCAACAGTTTCGGCGACGTGTCGAACAAGAACATCAACTTTGAGTTTGACAGGGTGTTTGACCCGTCGGCCCAGAACCAAGATGTGTTTGACGAGATTTCGCAGCTCGTGCAAAGCGCGCTCGACGGTTACAACGTGTGCATCTTCTGCTACGGCCAGACGGGATCCGGCAAGACGCACACCATGTCTTCTGCAGACGGCATGATCCCTCGCGCGACGCACATGATTTACGACACGGTTACCAAGTTGAAGGAGAAGCAGTGGACCTACAAGATGGAGGGCTCCTTCATTGAGGTGTACAACGAGGAGCTCAACGACTTGCTGACGCCCAACAGCCGCGAGTCAGACGGCAGAGTGCGCAAGCTCGAGATCCGACACGACGATGCCCGCAAGCAGACGGCAGTGCTCAACTGCAAGACTGTGTCTCTTGATTCAGCGGATACGGTGGAGGTGATGCTCGCTGAGGCGCAGAACAACCGGTCGGTGGCGGCTACCAAGGCCAACGAGCGGTCGTCGCGTTCGCACAGCGTCTTCATCCTGAAGCTGTCTGGCTACAACTCGGCAACGGGAGAGCGATGCGAAGGTACACTGAACCTGGTGGATCTTGCGGGCTCTGAGCGGCTCAAACACTCGCAGGCCGAGGGCGCCAGGATGAGGGAGACACAAAACATCAACAAGTCTCTGTCGTGTCTCGGCGATGTGATTGAGGCGCTCGGCAAGAAGAGCGGGCACATCCCATATCGCAACTCCAAGTTGACACATCTGCTTCAGTACTCTCTTGGGGGTAACAGCAAGACGCTCATGTTTGTGATGGTCAGCCCGTTGGAGGCGCATCTGAAGGAGACGGTGACGAGTTTGCGTTTTGCTACCAAAGTGAGTTCAACAGGGCTGCAAGCACCCTCGTATAAGACGAAAATGCTAACGTTTCGCAGGTTCATAATACCCATATTGGCACAGCCAAGGCTACGAAGAAGGCGTAGTAGACCGGCCGGATGGCTGATGAAGGCGTTCTTGGATCAGAGTCACGGCAACCGGGCCCGGCGTTGGAGGATTTATTGCGTGGTTGACGGGGCATTGTTGAAGCTGTATATCCTAGAAATACGTACGAGTACGATTTCGACATACAATACAAGCCCAAGGGCACTTTGTACACACTCAATTGGAGTATGAGTGATTATGTGAAGCAATTGGAGATGGCTTTCGCGGATGGTGAACCTCAGTGTGTTTAGGGCATTATGTAAGGTATCGTGACCTGAGGGCCCCTCCTTCCAGGGAGTGACAACTTCCCTTGGCACGCGTCAGGCGCGTCTCCCCGCTGCAACTGCCCGGCCGGACCTACCTTAACCTGCCCTGCCTGTGCCAATGCTCCAACCCCACCATCCATTACCTCACAAGCTCGCCCACTCGACAACTTCCCGGCTTCTCTTCCCTTTTCCGACGGTCGATAGACGCCGGCCGAACCAACAACGACGTGAGACACAAAAGGGGCTGCCGACGCCCGTTGTCCATTGTTCGATTACTTTGTCGCCTGTTGCATTACAAGCAACGTTGTTTCGCGCAAACATTCTTTCTGACCATCAGTCTCTACAATCCATCATTTGTGTGCATCTGTTCAAAGCTATCGAACGAGCCTGCCAGCGATTCGAACTCCAGCTTCCGTCGTGAGCCATCGTCCGATTTCTTGGGATCCGAACACGTTTTCCCCCGTGTTATTTGTTCAAGCGCAAGTTCTCCCATCGACCATCTGTCCTGAAAGCCTGTCAACGACATAAGCCACCGCGAGTGACCCCGAAAACGAGAGAGACGAAACGACACGGAACGCTTTTACCCAAGCCCAGCCGGCCGACAACTCCATACTCGAAATGAACGGCATCTCGAAAACCAAGAAGGGTCTGGGCGACTCTATCTGGGCCGCCCGGGGCAAAGCCCAGCCCTCATACAAATACCAGTCAAACCAGTGCCATTCCTCAGTCATCACGCCCGCCGCACCAAGACCCCCGTCCCCGATCAAGAACGGCGCCTACCGACCCGCCACGACTACCTCCACATCTGGGACGCTTACACCCAACGGCAACGGCAACGGCCACGGCAACACAAACACAAACTCCCCTCATGCACCTCGGCCGAGCGGCGGCCCCTCGGCGCAGCAGGAGTTCAAGCGGTACATCCAGATCGTCCGCCGACTGAAGTGGAAGCTGCCGTACCTGAGCCACGGGTACCACCACGCCATAGCACGGCCTGGGTCCCCGCTGTACGGGGGCGAGACGGACGCCGAGGAGGCGGAGCTCATGTTCAAGCTCGACTTTTACGAGTACTACATGCTGCTGGAGCGGGCGCTGGTGCATCTGATGGGGGTGTTTGGGATCACGGTTTCGCGGGACGGGTGGGTTACTACGACGACCTCGACGGCGAGGCAGGGGAACGGGACGCAGCAGGCGACGCATACGTATCATCAGAACGTGATTGCGGCGCTGGAGAAGGAGGATAATCCGCTTCATGAGGCGTTGGGGAGCGGAGAGGTTGTGTTTCAGTTGTTGAGGGCCAAGGAGTTGAGGAATCGGTGGAAGTATGCTGAGGATCCGGCGGACCCGGACGGGAACGGGAGCGCGGGGAGGGGCGCCGTGGCGGGTGGGAGGAGTAGTATGGCGGCGAGGGAGAGGGCTGGGACGGCGCCGTTGGAGAGCTATGACCTGGACAGGATTTTTAGGTACATCTTTGCCGGGTTTGATGCTGGGTATGCGGTTGCGGAGCAGTGGGTGCAGGCGGAGATGGGGGCTGGTGGTGCTGCTGCTGGCGGTGGTGGTGTGGGTGGAGGGGTTGTGGAGATGGAGGAGGATGAGTTTGATTTCATGGTCGAGGCTATGGATTGGGAGGCTGTTTAGTGAGCTGATGGTTCTGGGGCTGGATACGCGATGTTGTGGATGGTGCTGGTCCCGTGATGGAGAGGAAAGGTACTACTCCTCTACTTTGTTAGATTATGGGTTGACGGGAGACGTTGGACCGGAGTGGTGAGGGTCTTGTGAGGATCCGAATGGTGGCACAGCTTGCATTATTAGACGATACCCCTTTCCTTTAGGTTTATTAGAAGTATACGATTTCAAGAGCTTGACGTCTTGACTCAGTCTTTTCTTCTTCCTGTTTGTTATTTTCCGGACGCGCTCTACGCTTGCTGATGGTTTCATATTCAGTATCTGACGGCGGGCCACCAGTCGGAGCAGGATGAATTTTCAAAATGAAGCTAAGATTCAAGGACCGGATGACGGGTGACTGGTGATGATGGATAGTGAGCGTCCCACATGGGAACTTTAGCCACGCGACGCGCGGGAGCGTACGTGCGTACCTATGGTAGATGAAGGGGAGAGATGGTTCATTGGTTTGGTTGTTGGTATGAACGGGTGGTATTGCGGCTATCTGGGTAAATGCAAGTTGAAGTTTAGTTAAGGAGAGAAGATGAGGACTAGAATGGGAGGGAGCCGTTGGGTTGTTGGTTCAAATCCCGGCGCAGGTGGAAAGTCTCTTTTTCTATATTACCGGTAGGGACGGGTGGGATATGATGTACTACGCAAGGCAAGGAAGGTAAGGATATTCAAAGTTTACAGAACGCGTACGGAGTAGAATACAGCCGCAGAGAGGAGCTATGCGAGAGAACGATGGTATACGAGCCTATGGCTTCTTTCGAATCTCGTTTCTTCACCTTGTCCATTGACCCGTGTACGAGTGAATAGTCTTCCGTCTTTTGGAGATGGAGTCGGAAGAAGGACCCATCTCAAGCAGTTCCCATGACCGAGTATTTCCAACCGATGCATCAACAAGCTTCTAGGTATCTATGTCAAGGGCGGTGAACCGTGAACGACATCTAGGTAGTTATGCGCCCGCCTCGCCTCGTCAAACTCGTTTACAAGTGCGAATACGCGAGGAAAGCTGGCGCAAGCTCCCAAATGTGCCCAGGATGGCGCATCTCCAAACGGCAAACGGATAGGTAGGTATGCACGTCTGCAGCGAAGCAATCCAACCGAGCTCCCCCATACCCCTGCCTGCCCCTCTCAACGTTTGGAAAGTTTCACCTTCGGCTAAGGCATCTGCCGTGCGCCGTCTGTCACTAGCGGCTGATCCGGCGGGGGCTTTTGGGGGAGTCTTTGGAGAGATGTCTTGGTAATTCCCGGCCTTTGGGTTGGTACAGATGAGCACTCGAGAGTCAAGCACCGAGGCGAAGAGGCATGCTTCTCCCCGGTGCTTGCTCTTGCTCTGTACGTTTCTGCAGCTGTCTTGCAGCTGTGAATACTAGCATGCTAGTGTCAGGCAAGCATGGCAAGGTACTCGAGCTAGACCCTGCGAGTGGTATGCAGCCCGCCAAGCGAGGGAAGCAGATCGCGGACCTTTGAACCCTGGAGGGGGGCGTTACCCAATTGGGAGTTGCGTATTCGTGAGCATTTCAATGGACCCGGCGACGTCCTGACATACGCAAGCTTGGGACTTTGGATCGCGTTCAAATGACCCCGTCAAGAGGGAACCGAAGGAGCGGCGGAAGGGAATCTGAGGCGCGGGGGAGAGGTTTGGTATCCCGCCGCCGGAGCTCTTATCCTTGACGACATGATATCCTGTAGCTTTCTTTGGCTTTTTTGCCACGCCATACGACATCTTTCTTGAGGAGTTATCTGGGTACTGCGGAATCCGGGGACACGGTGCAGTCAGGCGGGAATCCGTGAAGCTTGCGCGGGAGAAACATAACTAGAAATGTTTGACGTGTTCCCCATTCTAGGATGGTGCGTAGTCACCAGTAGGGATCTCCCCGATCGTTTTGCTTGAGACTGAATGAGGGGTCCCAAATGACGGCAAGGAAGACGAGGAACAAAGGTTCCCTAGGTTTCCAAAGTTCCTCTGAGCCTATGGCTTTACCTTAGCGCAGGCCCCAATGTCAGTACCTATCCGTACTAGGGAAAAGGTGCTGGATGTCTGTGAGTTTTCAATGACAAGGGTATCACCAGCTAGTTCGTACTTGTAACTTTACTCTGTGGTGATCACTCGGTGTTAGTCCCATCTTCCCACTCGCTCCTCTTTACCCGAGCGTTTCGAACGGACTCGTCTCAGCTGGAGCCACACCCACTTTCCATCTGCTCTTATTACGCAGACTGATATCGTTCCTACCTTTTTGCTTTTCTTACTTTCTCTGTTCTTCTGCTCTGCAACTCTGTTTTGGTGAAGTCGTTTCTCGAGCTTTCATCTCGTCTTCGTGAGCTCGTCGGGTGCCTTTGGAAAGGAAACATCGCCAGATAAGAAGAAACAATCTTCAAGAGAAGGGTCGACCAACTGCCAGACAATAATAGAGGATCAAAAATTTGGGAGAAGAAAGCCGGTCATCGCCCACAATGTCCCTCGCAACAGCGGCGACCCAAACCCTCCTCCACCCGCAAACGTGGCCGACGTCGATCTGGGTCCTCTTACTCACGGGGCTCGCCTACGCCGTCGGCTTCCTCGCCTACCGCCCTTCGTTCCCGCGCAACGCGCCGAAAGTGGTGCGCGGGTGGCCCGTCCTCGGCACGCCGCGCTTCTTCACGGACCGGGGGAATTTCCTGGCCGAGGGGGCGCGGCTGGGTCGGTTCGGGAACTGGAGTTTTTATTTTGGGAAAATGAGGATTGTGGGGTTGTCTGGGGACGCTGGGCGGCGTGTGTTTTTTGAGAGTCGCGATTTGGATTTCACAAAGGGGTGAGTTTATATTTGTCTCGTGCGTCGCTGTCGTTCGTGGTCAGGGGGGAGTGGAAGTGGATGTGGTAGATGGTTGGGTTGGTGATGACTTCAACTAACACCATCATCGCAGATACGGCGCCCTCTTCAACGCGACCCCGCGCATCGACGTCGCCAAAAACGGCACCCAGGCCGAGGAAGACAGCTTCGGCGCCAAATTCAACCGCAACCTCGTCAGGCTCCTCCGCAAAGAACTCCTCGACACCCGCCTCCCGCTGCTGATCAAGGACACGCGCGACACGATGGACGAACTCGCCGCCCGCATCGGCGAGACCTCGACCATCACAAAAAACGTCACCGGGTCCAAGACGGAGGGCGTCAGCGATCCGTTCGAGGACATGTACCGCCTCGTGTTCAAGCTCACGATGCGCATGGTCGGCTGCGACGAGATCGCCGAGGACGAGGACCTGCTGCAGCGCGTGCTGCGGATATTCGAGGGGATCGACGGCGCGAGCACGGCGACCAAGGTCATGTTTCCTTGGATGCCGACGGTGGGGCATTTGCGGAGGGTGTATAGCGGTGCGCAGATGTACATGATTCTGGAGAAGATTATCAAGGAGAGGAAGGATCGCGGGGTGCCCGGGAGCGATGCGCTGCAGTATCTGATGGAGAACGGGGACAGCACGGTCGAGATGGTTGCGTTTATTGTCGGCGCGCTGTTTGCGGGGTTGATTAATAGTGGGATCAACGCCGCGTACCTGCTGTGTTTCATGGCGACGGAGGAGACGTGGTATAAGGAGGTGCAGAAGGAGGTTGACGGTGTTATTGCGCGGCACAGGCTGTCCGAGGAGGAGACGGCGGAGCAGATTCTGGGGAGGCTCGATATGGAGACGTGGGAGGCCGAGTTTCCGATGATTGATTTGGGGCTGAAGGAGACGATTCGGCATACGATTACGGGGTGCGGGTTCCGGTATAACGGGAGCGGGAAGGATGTTGCCATCGGCGGGAGTGGTGAGGTTGTGCCGAATGATGCGTACGTTGTGTATCATTTTGATACCACGCACATGGACCCCGGGTTCTTCCCGGAGCCGTTGCGGTGGGATCCGGGACGGTATTTGCCTGGGCGGGAGGAGGATAAGAAGGATCCGCATGCGTTTATTGGGTGGGGTGCTGGACGGCATCCGTGTCTTGGGATGAGGGTGGGTCTTTCTTTTGGTGTTATATGATGTTCTGATCTATCTGGGACTCTCTTCTCGAGATGGTTCGTATGGATATGTTTGCTGACACCCTGAAAAACAGTTTGCAAAGATGGAAATGGCCGTCACGACGGCGCTCTTCGTCGCGAGGTTCGACTATCACCTGGTGGACGCCAAGGGGAACAAGATGGCGAGGGTGCCCGAGGACTCTGTGGATCGCAACAAGCACTCCGCGTCCAAGCCAAGGGAGAAGATGTTTTTGAAGTATTCGCTCAGGGCGTAGGAAGTTATTCTGAGTGTGTGATGGGAGAAGATCTACACTAGATTGCATCGAATGGAATCACGTTTATGAAGCAATGATGGAAGAGAAGCATATCGGGGATTTCTTTTTTAGTGATCATCTAGTGTCTTGTTCCAAGTACAGGGGATTTGACTTGTGCGTCGGGTTCTATCTTCAGACGGTATTGATTCGAGATCATCGCTATGAGTGAAGAGATGCAACTGATGTTCCAGAAGGCGTGTATATCAGTCTTCTACAAAATGTGGTCCTTATACTCTCTTTTCGACATCAAGAAAGGGTAATGTTCGGCCCCCGACTCGGCGACATAAATGCAGCCCATTGATCGAAAAACCCCCGAACCGGTGGGTCACCTTCCCCCTCCGAAGACGGGACCGCCGAACGCCGATGCGGAAGGGAATGGAATCCCCCCGCGCCCCGCTGCAGACTGTGAGGCCTGGAACTGGGATGAATGAGGCGCTGGTTACTATTGGGCGCAGCTGTATCCTGCGGCGTCCGTCTTGCATGTGCTCGAGAATCTGTAGCAGGCTGTAGGGGGCGCAGTAGCGACTCTGCGACGTGCGCAAATCTCATCTCATCTTTTTTTCCTTTTCTCAACCTCAACCTCAGTCATCCTCCAATCTCACTGAACGTTGTCTCCCCTTCATGTTACGCTGCGGATATTCTTCTTCTCTTTTTACATCTCACCCTCTCTCATATTTCTACCTTATCCAAAGTCATCTTCCGAGTGAACCGAAAGAGAGAGTGAGCGAAAGTACTTCGGATCTGGAATCCCCGCATCATCGTCAGCACTTCTCTGATTACGAATTCAAGATTGGCCCGCGATCCCGTCATCTCACTCAACCACCACAGTCTGCAAATTCCCTCACTCCCAAACCTCACCCACACGATACATCCAAGGGACCACAGTCTGCAAATTCCCTCACTCCCAAACCTCACCCACACGATACATCCAAGGGCATCAACGCCCTCACAACTCCACCAAAATGCGCACCCATCCAGCCCCAACAGAATGCGAAGTCATCCAACCCGCCACCCCGCGCGGCCAAATCCTCACCCCCCTAATCCTAATCCACGACGGCGGCGGCACGACGTTCGCCTACCACTGCCTCTCCCAGCTCGCAGGCCGCGCCGTCTTCGGCATCGCGAACCCGCGCTTCCACTCCGGCGTGCCATGGGAAGGCGGCGTCCCCGAGATGGCGGCGGCGTACCTGCAAATGATTCGGAATACCGTCACCAAGGGGAGGGAGTTCCCCGCCCAGGCGCCGTATTCCTATGTTACGACTGCTGATGGGGGACGGCTGAAGAGGAGGAGGATCTTGTTGGGCGGGTGGAGTCTGGGCGGGTTGCTCTCGTTGGAGATTGCGAGGTTGGTTGGTGAGGAGGATCGCGATATTGAGATTGTGGGGTTGCTCTTTGTGGATAGCGTGTATCCCGTCTGGCCTAAGGGATCGGAGGTCAAGATTGGGAGGTTTGTCGAGGATGAGAAGCTGGAGACGGAGGAGCCGAAGAATGTGAGGCTTGCGAAGAGGGCGATGAAGATGGCCGGGCAGGTTGTGAGGGCGTGGAAGATGCCGAGGTGCGGGGCTGCGAGTGAGACGGAGGTGGATGTTCCCAAGGCCGTTGGCTACGCTGAGGCCGATGGAGGCGAGAGGGCAGAGACGACGGCGGATGGAGCGGACGTGGAGAAGGACTTTTACGTTTCCAAGGAGGAGAAGGAGACTGCTGAGGTCGTGTGGGAGAGGCCGCCGCGGGCTGTGCTCGTCAAGGCCAAGGAGCATGTTCCGATGCCGATCGAGGGGATCAGTTCCGTGGATGTGTATCGTGGGGACGAGAAGCTCGGGTGGGATGGGTATTGTCCTGGGTTCGTGGAGGAGGTGTTGTTGACGGAGGGGAGTCATTTTGATATGTTTGCTTGGACGAATTGTGACGGGATCACGGAGAAGATTAACGAGGCTTGTCGGATCCTGGAAGGGGTTACTATATGAGGTGGAAATGAAAGGAATGGTGCGTGTGCTTTGCGATGCATGGCGTGGATTGGGTTTACTTTTCAACGAGTACTTTTGGCACACGGAACAAATAGAGCATGGAGAAAGTAGAGGTAGATGTCGTTGATTTAATGCTAATGGAGGTTGAGATTATCAATCTCATTCAGCTCGATAATTGAGGCCCACGTAGATGGTCAAATGAAGCGTGACTGCAGAACCGTCATATGGCAAGGCCATGCCTACCTAGTAGTCGACTGATGCCTGAGGACTGACGATGACCAGGAAGCATCGCTGAATGACATATCTCGGCGTCTCAATGAGACTGGACGATGATAACGTCTATTAGTTGCTTTGAATAAGCCCTTCGAGACCTTCGTCTAGTCTACGAATGCTGACACTGGTCGGCATTCTCGGGATACTATGGAAGGCTTCGAGGGAAGCTATCTTGCCAGGCGGATGCGTCTAGGATGTATCTTCCTCATATTCCAGCACGAAAGGTATATAATTCCCCTCAATCCCGTTCCCGTCACCAGCCAGTAGGCACCCGTCTAGGTCGACAGGTCAGGTCAAACTGGCTGGGTGGTGGAGTGGTTAAAGGTCAACATTCTATACGCCAACCAGCCTACTCGACGACAGGCTTAGCGAGTACCCGAGTTCGAATCCCAGCATGAGCGCCAGAGATGTAGCCACACCGGTGGTGAACTCTTTTTGGTTTCCTTTTTGGGTTTCCTACGTGGCTAAAAGGTATTAGCAGGACGCAATTCGTTATAATAGGGAGTGGGCATTCACGGTCCTATGGCCCTAAAACAAAAGAAGAAGCCAAGGTATTGAATGAGAGTTGTCATGACAATTCAAAAAGGAATAATTGCAACCGCCGGGGTTCGAACCCAGGTCCCCAGCTGGTTCCCTGAATGGGAGGCTGGAATGCTAAACCACTGCACCACGGTTGCCTTGGTTAATTGAGAGATGCTGAGGGCGGAGGGCAGGCAGCTCTTGGACGGACGCGGGTCTGTTTGGGGGTCACGGGGTGTGGTATTCCATCGTATTCCATTGGTGGTAGCCTGGCAGGTACATGTGGTTTGCTTCCTTCCCTGTCCTGTCCCGTTTGCCTCCCCGGAGGCGGAGGAAGCTGAGCGGGCAGGCGCCGGAGAGACCCACCCGGAGCTGAGTCCGATGTTCCCACGCACCCAGCCCCGGCCCGAGCTTGTTCACCGCCCCGGCTTGGCGGCGGGAGGCCACAGATCCAGATATGGTTTGGCCGTCCGTTTGCCTCTCTTCCTTTCTCATCTGACTGCCACCCCTTTCTCTTGCCTCCGCCAACACTCAATTCCCACGTTGCGCCTCAGCCGGCACAACAACCCTCTCCTTCTCAACAACGACAACCGGGGCCCTCGTCTCCGCTGCCGCCGCCACTGCCGCTGCCGCCGGAGTCCCCCCAGCCACAGGAACAGGCGCCGCCACCTCCTGACCACCCCTCGCCCAAGCCTCGAGAGGCGTCGTCAACACCTTCTTCAACGCCCCAAAGGCGTACACGGAAAGATACATGAGCAACAAATTCATCATGCCCCAAAGCGCCACAAGCACCTGGAACACGACCCAGGGGTTGTCAACGAGGTAGTCGCCCAGCCCGATCCCCGCCTTCTCCTCGAACTCGGCGAGCGCGGTGGTGAAGTTCTTGCGCGCGCCGTCGTCGTCGGAGAAGAGACCCTCGCCGCCGGCTTCTTTGTCTTCTTTATCGGCTGCGTCGAGCGAGGACGCAAAGACGAAGAAGGCACCCATGAGCACCACCAGGAAGAGGGCGAAGACTACGCGCGCGAGCTGCAGGAGCCAGGTCACGGAGAAGAGGAAGAGGACGAGGGCGCCGTGGGGGGAGCCGTAGTCTGCTGTTGCGAGCCAGGTTGCTAGGTTGCCGCCGGCAGGAGTAGGAGCAGGAGCTGTGACGGCGTTCCGGGCGTTTGCTTGGGGCTGCTGCTGCTGGAGTGCTGTCGAGGGTGAGGCGGCGACGATGAGCTTTGCGACGAGGAAGGTGAGGAGGGAGGGGAAGGCGATGAGCTGGAGGAGGCCTGGGTTCGAGTCTACGGCTGTGAGGCCGACGCCGCCGAGGATGAGGAGGGTCCATGATCCGAGGATGGAGACGGCGAGGGTGGTGTAGAGCCATGAGATGGCTTGGCGGAAGATGTTGGTCATGGTTTCCCGGTTTGGTGTCGTGATGGTTGAAGATCTACACGGGGATGCTGATGGGTTGCTGGGGTCCAGCGGAAGGCTCGGCGCCTCAGCTCAATTCGCGCCAAGATTTCTGCCCGATTGTCAATATTGAAGTGTTCTTTTTGATCATATGATTGCAAGTTTGCTCACGTTGTCCTCTGACCTTGACTGTCGAGCTTGAGCAGTCGGAGATGGGTGAGAGGTAAGACGAAGGATGAAAGTGACAAAAAGGGGCTCCACTTGTCGTTGCCTGGGATTTTCAGGGTCCCGAATGTGGCTTAGCGCATCCATCGGCAAAGCGAACTTTGTTGCGACCACCATCACACAACTCCCTCGAGCAGCGATCCTTCACGCCATTTGAAGCCTCCGCCGTAGTCATCGGCAAGACTTTTGCGAATCCAAGTCTAGGATGTCAGATGAAAGTTGATGGCTGAGCTCAGATATCGACTCTTTAATGCCTTTGCAAACGTATATGTCCGGAATTACTCAGAGCTTGTGTGACGCTGGGCCTCATCCATACTTAGTCTGGCGAAGCCTTGCTGACAGAGTCATGATGACAAGAGTGAGAGGAACTCATCAATAGATTCAAATGCTTCCACTCCCGCAACAGATATTGTGACTAGTGGGTGGACGCGACAAACAGACAAAACTCAGAGAGACTGTGCCCGGGATTGAATTCCCGACGCCGTAGCCTCGAGGACGAACTTCACGGAAATCCCTTCCTCAACCCCCATGGCATCTGAAACGTTGTGGCGGTAGACCAACCTGCTATATCTACCCAAGTTGTTGTGGGGTCTAGACTGAACTCAGCCGAGTTTGGGAGCGCTTCGAATATAATTCCGAAAAGACGAAGTAGGCCATATGGAATGGTCTGCCCATAACCTTGCCTTACGCTATCGCTGCCTATCAGTCTACGGAGTAAGTGGAGTCGATACCGTTCTGCCCCATCTCAATATCGAGGGGTCCTAAGTGCTTGGTTCTTAAGCTACAAATCTTCATAGAATTCCCACAATGAGCTATCTAGCGCAATGAAGGCAACGCATCAAATGAGTACATCAGAATGGATCAGCTTGAAAGAGATGTTTCTTACTATATTCCATAGCAAAACGCACTGTGAATTTCCTCGTGGTATCACGAAGAGAACCAAAGTAGTGTCAGGCTGCACGACTTACTCCGTCAACTTCTCAGCACTTTCGAACTTTTCACGTGAACCCACCCAGGTATAAGCTTACTTCCATGACCAATAGATGATGAAGCCAAGCGCAGAACAACGTTGCAGGAAATGTCACATTGTCGCCCCATGAGCCTTTCGAGAATGGATCCCAAGGATGCCCTCGGTTAGAACCTGGAACCACCCAGATCCCGGGATGCCTCCGATGGTGACCCGTTTTCATCTTATCAGATCCGCTCTTGCATGCGGGCCAAGCATCAAAGTTTTTTTTATCTGATCCGTTGCCAACCGTCCAACTGCACGCGCGCCAAGCCGGCGCGATACGACCTTCGGAGGACCCAACATCTCCGCCCGCTCGTTGGCCAGCGCGGGAACCGCTCTGAGAGTCTAGGCTACGCGATGTCGCTTCTGGTGCAGATGGCAGCGCAAAAAAGTCTCTAATACGACGTCTTGTGTCCCACTTGGCGGAACCACATCTGAAGAAGCAGGCTCGTAGCTACCGCTTTAGGACACCCTTTCGCGGCGAGATATTCGCCTGGTTAGCCAACCATCGGCCAACGAAACGATGCTGCCCAGTGCCAAGTCGTGACGTGTGGATCGAGTTCGTGCAAACTCGGGGACTGGACAGGCTCTTCGAGAGGGATACCAAGACGCCCGGCCATGGTCGATGTGAAGTTTTTGCACTCGCTGTGCCGTACGACCTCGTCCGATGCCGGAAATCTGTCGTACATGACAGTCATGTTGAACGAAAAAGGACCCTTGAAAAGATGGTCTCGTTCGGTCTGCTAGTTCCGCTGCAGGTGGTAACCGTGGTCTGGCAGAGTGGATTTACGTAACGTTTCTGCTCATCCCTTCGTGTTAAGCTTCTTTCAATGGAAACTCGTTTCCTACTTTGTACTTTGCTCTGCATGGCGAGTCGAACTGTCGAATACATAACCCAGGGGGCGGACCTACACTCTTGCTCTTGAAACTATGTTCTCTCATTCCCGAGGCACACACACAACCCGACATCAGGCGTCCCGTGACGAGAGTTGCCCATCATGAGCTCCCCTTTCGTCCAGCAGGCCGCAGCCGAGAGCCAGACTCAGAGCCTCGACGAAAAGACACCAGGCAAGACGACGACGGAGATCAGCACTGACAACGATGTCGAGGGCGAAAAGGAGGAGGCCCAGAATGGTGTCAAGAAGATCCAGGCTATCACCACGGCTTGGACCTGGAGAGCCCTCATCTTTACCTACATCTTGTAAGTGCGATCCAAGACAGCAGAACTTGAACGATCCCCAGACTGACACAGATGCTCTTCCTAGGATCTGGGTGACGTCTTACACCCATTCAATGCAACAGCAGATGAACAGCAACCTCGGACCCTACGTCACTTCATCGTTCCGTCGTCACGGCCTAACCGCCACCACTGGTATCGTCTCAGGCCTGGCTAGTGGTGTCTCGCAGTTGCCCCTCGCCAAGATCCTCAACATCTTTGGCCGCATGGAAGGCTACATGCTGGCCCATCTCCTCTGCTGCTTCGGTCTGATCTTGATGGCCGTCTGCCGCAACGTAGAGACCTACGCCGCTGCACAGGTTCGTCCTCTGATTTTTTGTCTACTCAAGTTGTTACTTACACCATCAATCTAGGTCTTTTGGGCTGTTGGAAGTGGTGGTATTGGCTATATCCACACCGTCCTGATCTCCGACACCACGTCGATCCGAAACCGAATGATTATCTACACGCTCAACTCGACCGCGTACATTGCCAATGCATTCGCCGGTCCTATTGTTGCGCAGCTGTTCAACGACCACAGCAGCTTCCGATGGGCGTTTGGCTCCTTTGCCATCATCTTCCCCGCCTTTGGTTCTATGATTACGATTATGTTGTGGTGGAACCTCCGGAAGGCGTACAAGCTGGGTCAAGGACCAGAGCTGAAGCAGAGTGGTCGGTCTCTGAAGGAGTCCTTCTTCTTCTACTGCACAGAATTTGATGGTAAGTTCGAGGCAACTCCATTGACGTCAAAACCTTAGCATGTACACTTACAACATTCAGTCGTCGGCATGTTCCTCATCATGTTTGGCTTCTCCCTTTTCCTGCTGCCGTTTAGCTTGGTCTCATACACAGCCAAGAAGTGGGCTGCCGGCCACATCATTGCTATGATTATCCTTGGAATCTTCTGTCTCGTTGCTTTTGGTTTCTGGGAGAAGAAGTACGCAACTACACCTCTTGTTCCATGGGTCAACCTCAAGGACCGGACCATCTTGGGATCGGCTGCCGTGGCTGGTGTCATCGGGTTAAGTTTCAGGTAATTAACCCAATATCTCTATCAAATCAGTCCACGGAGACAATCGCTGACGTTCTGAACTAGCTCATGGGATTCTTTCTTCTCATCGTACCTCCAGGTCGTGCACCGTCAGAGCATTAGCCAGGCTGGTTTCATCGGCAACATCTACACGATTGCTTCCTGCACTTGGGGACCCATCGTAGGACTGTAAGCCATTTCCTGCCTTCTCCCGGTGAAACCTAATGCTAACCCACATCCATAGTCTCATCCGCCAGACCAACCACTACAAGTGGATCGCCTGCGCCGCCATCCCCGTCGCCTGCCTCTCCACCGGTCTCCTCATCCACTTCCGCACCCCCGACACCTACATCGGCTACATCATCATGTGCCAGATCCTCAAGGCCGTATCCGCCGGCACGATCATCATCTGCGAGCAGCTGGCCGTCATGTCCGTGGTCAAGCACAACGAGGTCAGCGTAATGCTGGCCCTGATCGGCCTGGCCACCTCGGTCGGTCGCTCCATCGGCCGCGCCATCTCGGGGGCCATCTGGACCAACGAGTTCCTCGACTTCTTGATCAAGTACCTCCCCGAAGATAACAAGGCTGATGCTACTACAATTTACGGAGACATCAAGGTGCAGCTTTCGTACGCTTGGGGAACTCCCGCTCGCGCTGGCATTGTGCATGCTTATGGAGATGTTCAGCGGCACATGGTTATTTGCGGTGCGGCTTTCATGCCGTTGGCGCTTGCTTGTGTGTTTTTGTGGAAGAATGTCAATGTGGCGAAGGTGCACCAGACCAAGGGCCAAGTCTTTTAGTGTACATGTTATGTCTAGGAACTCATCGAGATTGGCTCAGCCCTGTTTGGTATACAGCATGAACAGCTGCGCGAAAACTACCGGTCAAGTCGCATCTCAGACCATACAGAGAAGGTTCAAACATCACCATCCTTTCCCAGCAAGCAATACTCAGACTTTGCCGTCTCCTTCGCTCTTCCTCCACACTTCGGCATTTACCCTCTCGTGCTCAGTGCGACGTTGATCTTTGACTTTGCCGTCTCCTGCTCCTTTTTGCAACACTTCGGCATCTGCCCTCTCGCGCTCGGCACGACGTCGGTCTTTAACTTGGCTCCTCATGCCCTCCACCTTCTTTTCAAGTCTTTTCAACATCTTATCGCTTGTCGTCCAGTCTTTCTTCCACTCTCCAATCTTGAGATAGAGTGTATAGAAGCCGAAAGTGACAAGAATCCATGTCTCTGACAGTTTGTATGCAGACCAGAACAGCGTGCGCGGGTACGTCCAAAAGGCGAATACAATGGAGATGAAAATCACACTGGCGGATATTGGGACTAAGGATGTCTGTCAATGCACTGCGAGGGGTTGACAGCGATGGCCGGGGCTTCGATTACTTACACATCCAAAGCGCCTGGTCTCCAAACGACATATTGGTGTCGCCAATGTCTCTATTGTTCATGCCGAACACACTCGACATGAATGATAGTGGTAGCTTCGCATGAATGTCAGCTTCCAGAATTCCAACGCAGAAAGGGGGAATGGAGGAATGAGCAGGCAATGGAAGGGAACCAAGAAGCTTAACGTACAAATATGATGGTAACAATCGTAAAGATCATGACGGATCTTCCTTGGCGAACGCTTTCGTCTGCTTGCCTGACTGACTGCCATGCCTGTAGAATGCTAGCCTGCTGCTGTTTCAGGTCAAGAAGGTCTTTGATCTGGATGTTCTCGGTCAGCTTATGTGTAAACCTAGGTATTGATAGAAGAACCCACGCCTTGCGATGTAGTCTCAGCGCTTTTGCGCAGGCTTTCGAGCTCGTTCATTCGGTCGTCCACATCCGATATGAGATCGTATGCTTGTTTGCGGAACCAGGTAAACTCATCCTTCTCGCGCTCCTCTTGTTTCCTAGCCTCTTCCGTAGATCTGATCTCTTCGCCGCCTCGCGACATTGACCGGGAACGAAAGTAGTCCCGATTGCCATCCGGGCTGAGTGTCTCGTCCCGCCACTTACCACTCGGGTCGTATATGTTTTCAACGTGCTTCACGAACCGTTTGATGACTTCCCTTTGTTTCCCATTGACATGTATCATGATGTCTAGCTCATCGATGATGTCTTTTATCTCTCGCTGCAGCTTGCCCTCAGGATTGATGTTGAGAAGCGGAACGTGGAGGTGGGATGTGTCCTCAAATGCTGACTTGGAGTGGTAAACCTTGGAGGCTTGCTCAGTCCAGTGCCATAGATGCTGGAAAGATACTGTTTGTTTGTTTTGCTATGTACCAGTTAGTTCCAGCTGACATTATTGCAGACAGCAAGTAAGCCTACCAGAGTGCCGATGGACTCTGCGAATATGTCCATGACCTGCGGGTGTCGATCCTGAGAAGTTTTTAGAGGACTCTGCAAGAAGTACAAGAGGTCATTGCAGTACTCACTGGTGTTTTTGTTCTGTCAAAGAACGTGTTCGAGCACTCATCGAGAATGATGAGTGCCACATCAAAGACAGATCGAATCTGATTCTTGCGAGCGTGCTTGATACGGGTGCGTATCGACTTGTGTACCCCCGAGGGATCTGACTTATTCGCGCCGTATCTTTTCGGGAAACTGGTGATGATCGTCCGCTTGTCCAAGATCCACATCCACAGCTGGTCGACCATGACAATCCTGGACACCTTACGTATCTCGTCCCTACAGTGATCGCAACCATCCTCGTCGGTCTTCGTCCAGTGACCATCCCATTTGTAACGGCCAAAGTTGCTTTCAGATGAGTCCGGAACATCGAATTCGGGATTCTTCTCAGTGGTTGAGGGAGCAGCGGAGCTCAAAAACGGTTTCTTGTCTTTACAAGACTGTGCCGGGTCTCCACGGCGTTCTCGAAATCTATGGATGTTCCTCTCATCCATGGTTGTGCCGCGATAAACAACTTGGTCTCTGTCTCTCGCTTTTGTTGTCTTTAGAGTCCAGTAGTAAGACTGGTCAAGGGTACGTCGGGGATGTAGAGGTGGATCGTGGTGAAGGTACTTCTCAACGAGACACTGATCTCTATACATGGACATTGCCTCATATAGTCTTGCGGAATCCAAAAGAAACTGCCCCAGCTTGTTCTCAATATGCAACCTCCCATGATCGGAGCATTTCAGCTTGGGAACAGACCATGAGTTGTGGCCATCACTGCCGTATTCATGTTCAACAAGGCCGCCCGTTGCTAATCCACTAGCAACGTCGACCATCTCATGCTTGCCGTTAGGTTTTCCGCGTGCATTCTTCTCCCAAGCTTTGAGGATGCTTGCTTTATGAATCGGAGAAACTTTGTCGTGGTGCTTGATACGACAAAGGTCGGGCTCGAGCAAGTTTCGTACTTGCTTGTCATTGGTAGTGGTTGGCTTGTAAGTACGTTTCTGTACTCTCTCGGCCCTTGAGATATTGCGCTGCTTCTCATGTTCTTCTCGATTTCTCTCCGATTCCTTGTCAATTATTTTAGCCATCTTGTCGCGCTTACGATCTTCCTCCCAGTGCAAGTAGGGCATCTACCAAAATGTGATGTCGATTAGTCCAGAAAACAGATGCTTCATTGAGCGTCTCTTGACTGCACGGGCATGTAACTCACAAACAGCACAAGGTTATCAGGGTTGTCTTCCACCTCCCAAATCCCTATTCCAAGTTATCAGTATGAGTCTAAAGCGAATCGAACGCGATGCAGTATCTCAAATCGCAAAAGCAAGTGGCTTACTCGACGAAATACGCTCGCAAATAGCACGCATGTGTCTAGCATGTACCAATGTGCGCCTGCCGCCATGCTGTTGACCTCTCCAATATTCAGGACGTAAGACCATACGGCTGTGCGTTTTCAACGGGTTTCGGTGAATCCCGTCGGCCGGTGGACACTCCTCGTTGAAGTAACGTGCGATGGCTTCCTGCAACGGGTTGAGCCCAGTGAGCTAAATGGGGAGCTTAGATCGCGAAATACCTCTAGCCACTATTAGATTACGTTAGAATGGAACTTTCATACAAACGCGAATATTTCTCTCACCTGCATGTTGTTATGCGGTATATGGAAGTACCGCACTCTTCCATCTTTGTTTGGACGATCTCGAGATAGGATTACGTCCTGAGGCTCTGGCCTTTCCGGTGCAGGATCGAGAAGGTTCTGTAACGTCAGTCTCTGATCAGGAAACTTCCCTTTGAAACGGTAATCGGTGAGGTTTTCGGTCAACGGCTCCAGATATCTCTCCTGTTCTGTGTAAGGCTCGAGATAGGAGGCGGATTGCAGTGTCCCAGAGCGCAAGCGACTGGGTCCGGTCGGACGTTCCTTTGGCTTGTGGTCTGTAGCTTCGAATTGAACTGTAGCTTCACTCGGCGCTCTAGCTGCCCGAGGTCGAGGAGCTCGCCGAGGAGAAGGGGGAAGAGATGGGAGCTGTGAGGGAAGGGTGAAATTGACCGACGTTGGGGAGATGTTGATTGGCGTGTGCGAGTCGAGCTTCTTGAGTGACTCTCCAGGTTTCAAAATCTTCCACTGAATGAGGTACCCGTTCATATCTCGTTCCAGCTCGTACGAAGGCGTGTCTTCATCTTCTTCAAAGGCATAATCGACATCGGTATGGCCGTCCCGGATGATCTTGCGAGCCTCTTCCCTCTCAGGTGCCATTCTAGGCTGGTCATTGCTCGATAAACTCGGACTATTTGTGAGATGCTCGTCCTCAACATCGCTACTCTGTGCCGATAATGTTTTGTGTCGTTTCCAGTCTTGGATGATCTCGATACCCTTCTTGTAACTGTCCGAATTCTTCCATTCCTCGTGACTGTGAGATACAAGATGAACCAGATCGCACTGAGGGTGTTGATTCGCCGAGTCCTCTATGTCTTTGTTTAGAGGTTCATCTTTGCATTGAGGACATCTCACCTCCGAGAGTGCTTTCCGAAGGATGTCCGTTCGCTTGTATTGCGCTTCAATGCTCACAGCGAGACTCTTGATTCTAGCTTCAACCTTTTCTTTCGCAGTCTTTAGCCGTTCGTCCTCACTGATGGTAGGCTTTCGTTGCTGCAACCTCTCAGCCTCGATTTGGATCTCGTGATCCCAGAGATCCGAGTTCTTCTCTTGGCTCAGATAGTTGACTCGATCAGCGATCTCGATGCAACCAAAATAGTGAGCAGCGTGATCTCGAATGGTTCCGTGGCTCCCTTCAGCTGGGCCATGAGGCTCTGCTGATAGGCATGTTGGAGAGCTGCCATGATCTCCCATGGTAGCCCTTCAAGGTAGTCAAAGACAAGTTGTAGAACGGATCGAGACAAAAGACAGAGTTTTCTTGGGATGAAGGTGGTTTATGGTAGCCAAGCAGCCAACCTTTCGATGACCCCCCGCTTCCTGGCCAAGGCGAGCGCTGTGGTTTAAAGGGCTCAACGAAGATGGGGGCCAAAACGAGGCTCGCGCCTGCGTCGCAGCCATTCCAATTACTTATCCACATTGGTCAATGGGGTGGTCAGATCGAAGACATGGAGGTCGGTCGCCTGCAGCATGGACCAATCAAGGAGCTGTTCACCTACTCAGCTTCCAACCGAATCAGTTGAGTGAGCGTATCGGTGGCTGCATAGCGATGATGACCGGCGTTGGAACAAGGCAAGGGGGTCATTTTTGAACCCAGGAGAACATGTGAGTTCAGTAATGGCACGACACGCAAAAGGTAACTGTTCGAGTAGAAGTGACCCCGATAAATCGTCGCCAGAATTCATTGACAACTAACTTAGTTCCCTGGCGATGCAAGTGTCGACTACAACGGAGCCAGGTTTGTCCAAGTAAACTTGACCAGAGGGAAAGAACAAGATGGTACTCTGCCATGCATGCCCCTAGAAAATTCCTCTGAGCGACTTATCTATCTGCATGTGTGGTGCAGGCGCGCAGGGGATTATAGTTGAGAAGCAATATTCCCGGTTAAGGCGCTGCGACACGAGGTCAGCCGCAGCGGCAATGGCCCAAGATGGACTTATGTCCGTAGGCCAAATGCAGGTCATACCTAGAACAAAACCTTTAGATCCCTACGAAATACTAACGTTTCATTTAGCTGCAGCCTGATCGCACAGGATCACCTCGGGGCCACCGGATACACCAGCACTGTTTAACAGCATTAAGTATATGCTGGAATAGTGTGACTATTCGATGTGTAATTGTATGGGTTTTGGTTGTACCCATTAAGCTTGAAGGGGCGGTGGTGGAAGACGTCACCGGTACACGGGAACCGATACAGGCACATCATAGCAAGCGCACTGCTGTCCTTAGCCATGAAACTATCATTTCTCGAGGTCGCATATTGCTTGATCGGAAGAAAGAGTAGGTACTGGAAGAACATTAGAGGACTGAACTGAGTCTATTGCTCGTATCAAAATCGTAGCCTGTTGCCTGGCTATCGTTATCGTATTCGAATGTTCGTTGAGGCGAAGATCATATCATTTTCGAACATCTTCCCAAGGATTTAAAGAGAAAGTGACAGCATCACGGCACTTTTCGGTACTGGCCATAACAAAGTCCATCGCATCTGATCTGTGCTATCTGCGGCTTCGCGTTCGTCCGCTGAAGCAGCTTGAGATTCCGCAAAAAGATGTGAAGCAATGGAACTTTCTCCGAGTCTCTCCAGATCACTCAATGAAACGGATTCGAAGTAACATTGAATCAAAGTCGCAGTATCCTACTTAAACATCTGATCGTGCAAGGTGAGTCAAAACCTACGAAGCATTCTTTAAAGATTTCATTACCTAGTGTCCAGCTTGCAGTGATTCGGACTCACAAGCCAGATCCAAACTAAGTCTCTCAACTACAAACAATGGCTAGGTTTTTTCGGATTGATTTCCAGATGCAGAGTCAGTACAGCTCCGCTATGACGTTGTTGCCTCTGAAACCAAGATAGACACTGTTCGTAGCATGAGATACAAGACCCTCTACCTTCCACTTCCTCTTTGATAAAAACTCCATCGTCGCCATAGGATAAGGAGCGAGTTCGGCTGGGTGCTGGTGCTTTCGCATCGAGGTACGGCCTAGCATCTTGCCGAGAACGCTTCGCTTCGATTTCACTTTGTTGACGGAAAGGGTTTGCAGCGCTGCCAGACTTGCGGGCTGAGCCAATTGTAGGATGTGAGGAAGGGACACCCTGTAAGTTGGATGCGCAGGTCTTTGAACTTGCATATCCTTTTTGGGATGTGTAGAATTGAATACACCCTTATCATCCTCGCGAATGAGAATTTCCACTTCGGGGTCTGCCCCAGCGCGAAGGAAGCTCTGGACTATCGAAAACATGTCGTTCAGATGTTCGATAGATTTTCCATCTTTGGCTTCCCAAACAGGGCCCCGCAACCTACTAGCACAGATGGTACTCAAATCGCTTGTTAGTCTAAACAGGAAAGTCTCCCATACAGATACAAAGCCACTCATAGAGGGCGAGAAAGGATTCCAAATTGACACGAGATCATTTGGATGCCAGCCTTTCTGGAGCAGGAAGTCTACCAAGGCAGGATCGTCGGATTGAGCTCCCGAGAGCAACAGGCTGATGCCCGGTATATCAACCATAGTCGGGGTGTCTATGCTTGCTACAGTTTTCTTGATATACTCGGTCATACCAAAAGCTGCAGCGAGGTGTAAAAACGAAAATGGTTCTCGTATGGGTCGATTCATGTCTTTTTGTTGCTTGAGGCTCACAACCATAACACTATGTGATAACCAAGGTGAGGTGTGTTTCTGCTCACTGCGAGCATCCTTTGTATTACTTGCACCGCAAAAGATGACGGCCAATTCCTGAACGAGTGCAGTGAGAATGTCGAGTCCCTGTATTGGAGAGAGTTGGAAGGCTATAAAGAAGCTTATCAACTTGCTGTAACAGACAGAACGCCCTTCTTCGGATGAGCCGAGGTGCGGTTCTGGACAGTGCTTGATCTCTGCTATAAGCAGCTCTGCTTTTACTGTCGCCTCTTGCTGAGCTGTTCTGAGCGGTCGTTGAGTCAGGCTTGGTAACCACTCTTCCGTTAAGAAATCTTTGACGGTTCGATGGAAAAAGCCAAGCTGGTATCTGTAGTACGACCCACTGCCGTTTCGTACGCTCGGCTCAAATAATAACTCTTGACTTGCGCCTATCTCAATTAAGCCCCTTGTCAAGGTATGTAGCTGGCTTCGTGCCTTCTTGAGCTCTGCCTGGATTCGATTCTCCGTGAAGCTCCGTTGAGATGAGTGGCTGGGAAGACCCATGAGCGTTTGCAAAGTCCGAGATTCACCCAGCCATGAGAGTGTCAGGGCGTTAAAGCGGACTTTGGGGTCCTCTCGGCTTGCTACCAGTTGCAAGAGAACCGCGGACCGTGCTCTCACCGAAGGAGAAGGATCAACGCTGTCAAGCATCTGATGGAAAAGCCGACTGAGACTCTGAGGGCACTCTTCTAATCTTCTTTGGATAGAAAACTTGTCCTCATGTTCTAGAGCTGCATTCAACAAAGCCCTGACGACAAGAGTGGCCCAGAGGAAGACACCATCGGCGCGTACTACTATTGTCCGTACCATCCCTAAACATGCTTCCCGACCTTCTGCAAAGACTGGATTGCTCAAATACTCTTCGAATCGAGTTTTGCAGAAAGCGTGTATATCGGCCTTTGTCAAGTCGTGAAGCCTAAAGAATGTTTTGCTGGCGCCAAAGATGTCAAGATTGACCGTGGAGGGCCGGGCGGAGCATACTATTTTAACGTTATCTGCCCGTGCCCACGTCTCCAGCATTTCTGCAAGTCGTTTCTGGTCTAAAGCATCTCCCTCGTATTCATCGAGTCCGTCAATGAAGTAGCAGAAGAGATAGCCCGAAGCATTCTTCAGCAACTGCAATCGACTGAAGGCCGCTTCCAGCTCAGTTAGCGACATGGCTGCTGTTCGAGGGGGGTGACATATGCCAAACAGATCTGGGAAAACTGGTTCGAGTAATTCAGGGCACTGTCTCAAGGTGTGAAAGAGAATAGCCCGATAAAATCCTTCGAGGGATTTCTGCAAAGGATCGCCAGAACTCCAGAAGAACGTGTTAACGAGGACGAGTTTTCGTCCATTGGCGCAGTCTATCAGGGTCTCTCCCACACTGGAATGACGGCCAAGAAACTTCAAAAGCGTTGACTTTCCACTGCCTGCTTTCCCACATATGAAGAACACCTGTCCTTCATCTTTCAAGAAGGAATAGAGAGATCTGGACATGGCTCTTCGATTATGAGTCTCTGCAACTAGGACTTTCTCAAAGTCTATGTGATCTAACAGTTCTTCGGGGGGAGAGATCAAGGTAGATGGTTTAAACTCTTCGGAAGAATACAATCCATCTGTTTCAGATAATTCTGAGTTGACTGATGACATTAAACCCTCGACGATCCATGCGAATGTGTCTGACGTAGCCATGGAGACGCTATTCTCTCTCTGGAAAATCGTATCAAAGTACAATTTTTCAAGTATGTTGTTCTCTGATTCGATGGTATTGGCACAAAGTTTGAGGTCATTGAGAAGTTTGGCAAGATCTCTCAACTTATCGCCCACAAGTCCAACATTGTTGAGCTGTTGTATTATTGAAGGATTCTGGGTTGTTACGTGGGATACTTCGTCAGATTCATCCCCGCGAAGTTCATCATCAAGTTGGAAGTGTGTCTGGATGTAGTCTTGGTCTCTTGGAACCTGCTTATTCAATGACGGTCTCGAATCGGGTCTTCGCAGAATCTCGAGCACTTCGGAAAGTTGAACTTGCAGAGCGTCCAATTTTTGAGCGTGCTCATTTTCGAACCGAGTGCTGTCGTCTCGTATGCGCTCAAGCTGGGTCTTGATGGGCGATTGTTCTCGGCTGCGCAGCGTTTAGTCACGATCCTCTATGGCTGAGGCCTTGGGCATACTTACTAAATCTTGAGTGACACATGGAGGATGATCTGTTGCCGGTATTGATCCAGCATCTTCTCGATAGAAGCAATATCCTTCTGTTTACGCGCACCAGCGATCGCGGCCTTGAAACTCTCGAACACTCTCTTTTCGCGCCTCTCTAGCCCTGCAAGAAGCTTCAACAGATCGACTGCCAAGGCCTGACAATGCTCTAACGACTTCGACAACTCGTCATCATGTCCCTTGGAAACTGTTTCCAATTTGGCCACAGACTTTTGCAGGTCGGTGATGACATTGCTGACATGTATGTTTTTGGCTGTGGCACCGGTCGCGGACTCGTAAATCTCGCAAGTTCCCTTGGCTATCTTGTACGACACGTCGATGAACGTCAGCATACTCGACGCTAAACCGGCGGCTTCCATGGTGCAAATAGCTGGCGACGCAGTGAATGGACACAAACAGAAAAATTTGAACTTCTCGAGAACCAAACATTTAAGAAGGAGCAGATCAAAAGTGAGGGGCTTCTTTTGCCGCAGATAGCATGTAGGCAGCCGAGTCTTTGCAATTTCTTCTCATGAATGCCAGGTCATTGGCCAATATCTTTGTCCATGGGTCAACTCGAATCAGGCTTATCTGCAGGTATCCGTATAACAGGGGTATCATGGAATGTGCGCGAGTCTGCCAGCCACGCGGTTTGCAAAAAAAGACGCACACCTTGTTGTTGTAGCAGGTATAGCTCCAGATTTAAGAACCTTCAGAAAGAAACTAAATTACTACAAAAATACGTAAATAAGTAACAGCTTTTAAAGTATATATCTAAATTATTCTATAATTTTTAAGCTCTTAACTCTCTCGAAGTGCAAGTTAGAAAACATAGTATCTTTGCGGTGGTACTTTACAGTGTGCGTCTTTTTTTTGCAAACCGCGTGCCAGCCCAGAGACTTGACCTATCTTATTGGGCCTACGTGAGGAAGTTGGATGTTTGATCGTCTGTTGGCTCGGTTGAAATTCGTCATGTTCTCTCGACTCTCGAGATAATCTCAGGATCTACTTCAACCGCGGTCCGGATTGGACTTCCATGAACTCAACCCACAGAGGGCCCATCCTTCCAGCCAGCGACCATTGCTAGAACTTATTTTTGAGTATACATAGGCTATCATTTCTCAGATACCTTAGTTCGCATGTCGAAGTCAATACATTTTTTGACTGAGTCACTTCTACTGAAGCGCAACAGCAAAAAGATATAGTTGACACCTTCGCCACTGCTTCGCCATATGTGCTTAGCACGGACACACACTTACTACACAGGGCCTCATCATCTTGAGCTCGTGGAACTATCAGTTGTGCATTGATGATTACAGTTGCCTCAAATCATTAGAGTCTCTTAGCGGGCTATAACGTTGTTGGGCTGACGACACTGTTGAAGCTGGCTTGGCAATTTCCCCGTGGATTGTTACCCAGCTGATTGATTACCAACGTACGGTTTCCACTTTAGAAGACATCATAGTTGAGTCCGACTGCAAATGCCACGGCTTGCCATGATGGTGCGACTGCTGACATCAAGTGCTTCTGTATGGCAGAAAGGCTACGTGCTGCTTACTATTCCGTGGAACTCCGGATTATGAGAACCTCACCTTCTCACAGGTGTTGGAAATACACCGCGGTATAAGCCGGCAAAGCTACAAACAACGGCTAAAAATTTGAAGGGAGCTGACAACAAGATTAATAGGAATAGAGCGAATACAAAACGGAACCATGACCCCTATTTACTTTTGTCCGTCACTCCGAGTACGATTTCATGTTCCTTAACTTAACACCAACACCTTCTTACTATTGAATCTCATCACGACAAGAATACTGGAAAGACAAACGCCTGTTTCAAAAGAATGTCGGAAGATAAGTCCCAAGCTTGGCGGATCCGGAATAAGGTCCAAGGGGTTTGCACTGATGAGGGCATCGACCAAAACCTTTCGCTCGAGGAAGTACCTAAACCCAGCCCAAAGGAGGGCCAGATTCTTGTCCGAATTCATGCTGCCTCTCTCAACTACCGAGACCTCCTGGTTTTGACTTCAGACCCCGTATACCTTGGCGGTGGCCCCGATGATGGCATAGTCCCACTCGGTGACGGCGCTGGTATTGTTGTCGAAGTCAATTCGCCAACATCGAGATGGAAAGTGGGCGACAAGGTCATCAACGCTACCAATTCGTCTTGGAAAGCTGACCAAACTCAAGCTGCTTTTGATATCAAAGTCGGTCTGGGTGGAAAGAACATTGACGGGGTTTTGCAGCGTTATGCTGTCTTTGATGATGATGCACTGGCTCCTCTGCCCTCTCACCTGTCCTTTGAGGAAGCTGCAGCTCTTAGCGGTCCGTATGTATCCGCTTGGAACGCGCTTTTCGGAGGCCCTCAACCACTGAAAAGGGGAGAAACTGTGGTGATTCAGGGTACTGGTGGTGTGAGTGTTGCCGGGATACAGGTAAGCTGTGCTATGCAACATAGTAACATACCTTTGACTTGGTCTTACGATCATTAGATCGCCGTCGCTGCTGGGGCTGATGTCATCGCCTTCTCAACCTCAGAGGAGAAACTCGATCTTCTTCGGAAACTTGGTGCCAAGCATGCCATTAATTACAAGAACAATCCCAACTGGAGTCGAGAGGTTCTCGACTTGACCGGTGGTCGTGGTGCTGACCAAGTCCTTGACGTTGTCGGTGCTTCGACCATTGCAGAGTCGTTACGTGCACTACGACAGGATGGCCTTGTATCAGCTATTGGCTTCATGTCTGCCTCTGAGAAACACGATCTAATTCCGGAACTTATTTTCGGTGCCAAGACGAGTAAGATAATCTTCAACACTCAGCTTCTGTATCTGACATTCTATCTTAGTCCGAGGCTTGATGTATGGCAGCCTGGGCATGCTCCAGGATCTCAGTGTCTTTGTTGAGACACGAGATCAAACCAATCATTGCGGAAGTCTTTGAGTGGAATGATGCTAAGCTGGCTTATAAAGTCATGCTTGCTCAAGAAATTTGTTGGGAAGATTGTAGTCAAGGTCGAGTGAGAGTATTCATATTCATTAATATACGATAGCTTACATTTCGTTGCTTGGGTCTCTGTTTCGTATTCCGATATAATGAGGTAGAATGCCGACCAAGAATATCAGGAGATGCCAAACCACGGGCACATCAAGGAAGTTGGTGCCAAAGGTGAATTGACCGATTTCAGAAGTGTCAATAACTATTGGGGTGTCCGGAGTTATTTACCTCCCACGAGCCCCGCCACATTCAGCTAGTGCTTAGGCCAGCCACCGCACAAAGGCCATGCCTGGAATGAGCTCAGTGTCAGCCCACGGAACAAGAATGCCGGCAGGATCACGATAGCGGCCAAATGACGTCGTAGATTCACAATGTCTTTGCATCTGTTCCTTAGACAGATCTTAGACACCATCGCCCATTATCTTTTTAAAGGCCTTGGCAACCACAGTCTTGGCATCGGTCATTATAAGAGTCGTAGTCGGTTTCTCAGCAATCGTCTCATGATGGCACCTATAAACATCTTGATCGTAGGCTGCAGTATTGCCGGGCCAACACTAGCCACATTCTTGCTGATGCCGTCGGCGCCTGCGTCTGAGAAGCCGCGCATCACCATCTTGGAGAGAGCGCCTGTCTTTCGCCCTCAAGGCCAGAACATCGACGTTCGAGGCGCTGGGGTGACCATCGTCCGCAAGCTTGGACTTGAATCAGCTATCCGGGCAGCTACCACTGGCGAAGAAGGAGTGCAGTTGGTCGACAAGGAGAATCGAGTTTGGGCAGCTTTTGGCGCGGATAAGAGCGGAAAGACGCAAACACCGACAAGTGATATCGAAATCCTGAGAGGACGGTTGGCACAGTTGCTACTCGAACAGAGCCAGAAAGTCAATGCCGCAGTTCAAGCAGATGGCGGCGCCGGAATCGAATACATCTTTGGCGATTCTCTTGATGACCTAGAGCAGGATGGAGACAAGGTACACGTCCACTTTGCCAAGAGCGGCGAAAGACGAACCTTTGACCTGGTAGTTGGAGCAGATGGTGTGCAAAGTCGAACACGCATTCTGACTTGGGGTGAGGCTGGCGAGGAAGACAGGAGAAGAAGGCTCGGGATGTATGGGGGCTTCTTCAGTATGCCTCGTGGTCCGACTGACTCGGCATGGCGTCGCTGGTTTCATGCTCCCGGTCGACGTGGCATCATGATCCGTCCATCTGGTGTGGAAGATAGAACAACGGTCTTCATGGCCGTTGTAAATGAGAAAGATGAACGGCTACGGGCTGTTGCTGAGCGAAAAGGCGGAAGTACGGATGCTCAAAAAGCCATCCTTCGAGAGTATTTCGAGGGCCTTGGCTGGGAAACTGATCGCGTCATCAAGGAGATGATCGCCACGGACGACTTCTATTACGATACTGTCTGTCAGATCAAGATGGACAAATGGAGCAAAGGAAGGGTTGTTCTCCTGGGTGATGCCGGGTATTGCGCTTCTCCTCTATCTGGGATGGGAACAACTTTGGCAATGAGCGGCGCTTACAACCTGGCGGGCGCGATTCTACAACATCCGAATGATCTCGAGACTGCCTTTGGCGACTATGAAGAGAAAATGCGCCCTACTGTTGCTCGCGCGCAAAAGCTGGCACCCGGCATGCCTCACTCGCTCCACCCCGAGACGGTCTGGGGAGTTTGGCTGCTGAACACGATCATGTTTGTTCTCTACTGGTCAGGACTGTTTCCCTTCGTCGCGAGATTCGCTGGACCACCGGCGAACAATGTTCCGGTCGAAGAATACGGGTTCGAGTCGCTACCGATTTATAAAGACTATTAGAGCCGTCGGGAGATCGACATAAGTGTATGATATACTCCGTATCCACCGCTCATTCCTTTAGAAAGGCCCCACTACTTCAAAAGATTAAGTGCTTCAAAAAAAAAAAAAAACCATCGATTGCAGGCTCGACATCAATCGGTCGACGATCAATCAATGCATTCCCCCCGAGGCAAGAAACTTGTTTGAGGTACCATGGCAAGTTTTCCTTCGCTGGTCTACTTGATGAGTTAACGAGTCAATTGCCACACGAAGGGGTTAACATGCGTTGAGCATCATGCTTCAACCGTTAACCGTGACGCCTTCTCACGAGGTCCAATTCTGAATTTTCTCAAAAAGGGTAGGGCCGCCTACTCCCGATCGACCGCGAAATACAGCGCGCCAGGCAGCGAAAGCCTATGTAGCGGAGCTCTGACTAAAGAACTGAAGATTCTGAACTAGTTTGCTCGGACGAAAGCTTCAGAGTGGCTATTGACAGCGTATAAATAGACTTCGGACCCATTACTTACCACATTGGGGTATTGTATCCAGCCGACAGCCCGCGGACTTGGCCGGGTCGCGCGGCCCCCGAAACGGCGCGCGAGAAAAGAAATAACGATAAAAAACGAAACATGTGCAAATGCTTCCTAGTTGGGTGAAGGCGCATTGTCAGCAGCTTTCTCATATTTCGGGACCCGACCTCGCCTCTGCCGACAACAAATTCAAGTTCTCACAATCTTTGTTGTACACTCATCGGCTCCCGCGTCGTCCGCTTGCAAACCGAGGACTCGCCTACGAGATCGACGAGTAGTAGGCCCCAAAGGACCCTTGCTACAGGCCTATCGCTTAGCAGAGGGAGAGACATGGACGACAGCCAGCTGGACGCCAGCGGCCATGAGGATGGGCCTGACGATGCGCCAGAAGAAGCGCCAGAGCCGTCCTCAGCGAACCCTCAGATTGCTATTCGCAGGGCTGTAAGTGATGCAGATGGCCTTGGAAGATTTATAATGAACTGACTGGAATAATTAGTGTGACGCTTGCCGTGCTCGTAAGGTGAGTTGGTGTGCTTGTTGAGAGCCATTTACACCGTTTACTTGTACCCACCGCCCAGAGTTAGCGACGACGAGGTTTTGCAACTATCCAACCTTGGCGCAATGGGTTTCTAGAGGAAGCAGACACTGACCTGGGTACAGATCCGCTGCAATAGAGAATCGCCTTGTTCATATTGCACGCACGCCAAGATCGAGTGTACACATGCCGACAACAAGCCCAAGGAAAAACGGACCAGAATTCTCATCACCCCACAATAGTAAGCATGCATAGCAGCGAACACAGTTTTCACCTTTAATCAGCCCATCACGATGTGCTATCCTTACACTAGGCTGAAGTTTCAAATAGCTTGTCGTGCAGTCTCAACTAACATGTTCAACTTAGTGAGCGCAAAATTGATCAGATTGACCGTCGGCTCGAGACGGTCATCCGCCTCCTGCAGGACATGAAAGTCAATCCATCTTCTAATAGTAATACAAGTCGAGCCGAGCTACTCAATTTCGCAATGGCTACAGCCGCCACGCCTCAAGTCGAAGGCCCGCCATGCTCAGCTCAACGCGTCTCATCTACTTCAACACCTGCCACTACGGCAAGCCACACCCTACAATCAGAAGAAGGCGAAGGCGGCATTGTTGAGGGCGACTCTTCTCTTGCAGCGCATTCGGTGTTTGCTACCGAGTTTTTGCAAAAGGTCGTGAGCACAGAGTCACTGCAGGACTCAAGTCTGGATCTCGGCGAAACTCTAGATGCATTATCACAGATCGTCAATGCTTTGAAGCAACCGGCTGCCGCGGGGGAGATGACATATCCTCACGCGAAGCCATTTACTCGGATTCGTGCCCAAGGAATTGAGTTACCACCTATAGAAAAGGCTGTGCACACTATCAGAATCGCAAAGAGTAAGCACGGTAGACAAGATATGTGAACGCTCGGTTTCTCTTGCTAACCGGACGATGTTATCCTAGGTCAGCGCCTCACGGGCATGGCTTGGATATACGATTTCCTGCCTTCCCGTCGGTTCCCGGATCTTTGCCTTAATGTCTACTTTTCAGACAACTACTCGGAATATGATTACATCACTGTGAATGGAGGCCTCTATTCACTGTTTACAGACTACGCCGCGCAAGTATCAGTTGATGAACAAAAAGAGTACTTTGAATACGCCAAGTAAGTACAACTGATAAAAACTTCGTCTGAAAGTAGACGCAGAGCTAACTATTTACAGGATTTGCCGCGTGAATCTGGAAACGTGTTTAGCGAATCTTCCGCTCCATCTGCCGGCGTCTTCTGATGTGATTGTCGCGCTTCTTTTCGGAGTAAGTCTCGTCTTTGACATTCGTGAGCGATTAATTGGAGCTAACTCTCTGGGAGACTTTTCATGCCGTTGAAATCTCAAAACCTACGCTCGCTTGGACACTGTCCTCCAAAGCATCAGAACTATGTCAAACGCTTGGTTATCATCGAGCAGAGTCTCTCAAAAACACAAAAGACGATGGTAAGCCCACTGTTCATGGGATGCACTGGCATCAGTTCCTCTTCTGGAACGTCTATTACATCGACAAGAGTCTTTCGCTTCGCCTGGGCAGAGCATCGACAATTCCGGACTGGCACATCACCATGCCTCTACCATCATTGAAAGAGCCGGTTGCAAGTCCGATACTACCATATTTGGTATTGTGGATTCGAACAGCAAAGTGTCAGGGTCAGATCTATGAGCTGCTTTACAGTCCCGACTCGATGATTCAACCGTATCACGTTCGCCAGACGCGGGTGCATGAACTAGTCTCCCTTCTCCACGACATCGATCAGAAGACGCAGGAAACCACTGTAAGTCAGAGGCAATCGTTGGATTCTGGATACCTTTACTTACGTAATGCAGGCCAATTATCAGGCATATGCCAAAGACGGAGTAGAGGAGCATTTTGCCGAGTTCTATCTGTCTTCAGATTACGTTCTGCGGCTCTCACTTCTTACTTTAGTTTACCGGGCTGCCCCAAGGGTTGAAGGCTCGCCAACGACATTCAGTCCTGAATGCATCAAGGCTGCACGAGCAGCACTGGAAAAGCACCAAGAATGTGTTGCAATCATGCGCAAGTCCCACGATGTTTATTTTGCAACCTACATTCACTGGTCAGTCCAACTAACACATACATGATGTACCGCTTTCTAACATGAACTTTTTTTCATCCAGGACCGTGCTTTTCGCACCATTCATTCCCTTCATCGTTCTTTTCTGCCAGGTAATCGAGACACAAGACAAAGAAGACTTGGCAAGACTGCATTCTTTCGTGGTGTTCTTGCAAGAAACATCAAAAATGTCCGACGCAGCAGCCAAGATGTGCCGCCTCTTTCAAGTCCTCTACAGCGTCGCGCTCCGCTTCGTTGAATTCCGCGCGTCAACGCCTCAGTCGCGACAGACGCAGGCCAGCGCCGAGATGGACGCTTACTTAGCAGCCTTGGGATTCCCACCAAAAGGGGCCGAAGGGGGTCAGCATCCGCAGCAGCAGCAACCCACCGCGTTTGCCCAGATGACAAGCACCGCGCCAGACGTGGTCCCTACGTTGGGAATCGCGGGCGTCGGAATTGATGCCATGGACGAGAGCTTGAGGCCCGGTAACCCAATGATGTGGATGACGAATGCCGCTCAATTGGAAGACTTCTTCTACACTAATACGGCGATGATGGACCTGTTACAAGAGCCCGGATTCGAAGCAACTCAACAGCACTAGAAGCTCGAATCACGCCCGAAGGGTAACGCGAAGGCTGTCCGACATGACTATGATCGATACAACCTCAGAGCTATTATGTGGACTCGTCTCTACTCACATGAGTACGAGAGAAGCGCCGAGAGAGCGCAGGGTTGAGGCTTAGAGAAGGGGAAGAGAAGGGCATACATTGATAGAAGGCAATGATTGAGCCCATTAGTCTGGTCGCATGTTGGGCCACACAAGACCTTTGGTGGAGAGGTCGTGTCACTTAGAGACCGTCCCGCTGTGAGGAGGCGGCCATAGAAGCCAAGTCTGCACGTGATTCTCCCCTCAATTTTGAGTAAATTTTGCCTCACTTGTGATTAGCTCAAACGTCAAGAACACAACCTCGAGCTCCCGTCAAAGAAGAAACCTAGCGTGCGACTGATTTCGCGCTAAATTTCAGTATCATCAGAATATCATGGAGTCCGAGTCTGAGTCTGAGTTTAGGCCTGTCCTTCTGAGTGCCCTGCTTGAGTGGTGTGATCGGGTGAGAAGTGACCGCGAAATCCTGCAAAGGTGTAAGCGAAGCCTCGATGATGCGAGCCTACGGGGACTGGAGGTGAAGGATGGGTGTCCATTCTGTACACTTCTCGACGAAGCAGTCTCAATGCTATATGGTGATTACCTTTCTGCTGGCAGATCACTTGGATGGGTGTCATTCCCGGGCGTTCAAGAGGCTATCCGTGATGATGGGGGAAACCCACTTCGGTTCCGTGTATCCGAACGTAAGTAAATCCAGTCGTTACCATAGGAGTATCTTGCCAGATCCGAGTGGGACCTGGATACCCGGATAGCTGAATGGCTGATGAAGTTGAGCTAGATACCGACTTGACTGAACGTTTACGCCCATTCCCGACTTTGGGATTCGGCAATTGGCATCTGTCCAAGTATAAGTCAATCTCCCGGGATACTGCCTCAGAAGCAACCCTAAAGATAGTGAAGGAATGGCTCCTTGATTGTGCAACAGACCATCCGCTATGTAGTAAGGATGGTAAGGTCAAGCTGCCGACTAGGCTTATCTGCATTGGCACAAAGGCGTCTGACGTACGTTTGCTCAAGACGAATGGTGCTTCTGGCAAATATGCCTGCCTGAGTCACCCTTGGGGCAAGCGTCCACTGCTGCGAACACTGAAGAAGAATCTCTCTCAATTCACCAATGAAATCCAGTGGTCAGATCTGCCTCCCACTTTCAGAGACGCAATCGATTTTACCCACCGACTTGGCCTCAAGTATATCTGGATCGATTCCCTTTGCATCATTCAGGATGATCCTCTCGACTGGCAGAGAGAGGCCGCCAAAATGGCCGACATTTATCAGAATGCCTACGTAACGCTCGCAGCTTCCAAAGCAGTCGACTCCAGCCGCGGGCTTTACACCTCTTCCCAGGATCCTAAACATCAATCGCACCAACTGTCACTCATAAATGATGTGGATGATTCGGATCTCAAACTACATGCGTATTCGGAATTACTACATATTGATAGCTTCTGGTCCTACTTCCCTATTACAAAACGGGCATGGGTGTTCCAGGAACGTCTGCAATCGGGTAGAGTTGTACACTTTGCCGGTTCCGAATTGAATTGGGAATGTCGCTCAACGAGGACATGCGAGTGCGGTGAGATCTCAACCTCCACCTCTTTGCCTGAGAAGATTCAATTCTCAGGTAGTTTGGCCGAGTTGAGTGGGCAGTACAATTGGATCTCGGCACCAGAAAATGGCCAAGACGAAAATCTGGACTACAGCAAGTTTACCCCGGCACTACTTCATTCGCCAAAGTGGACCAAAAGCGTCAAAACGTGGCGACAAACAGTACAGTCTTACTGTGCTCTGAACTTGACTTTCTCAAAGGACATCTTCCCGGCTTTGGCCGGCATTGCAAAAGTGTGGAACCCCGAGTACGAGAAGCTCTATCGAGCAGGGCTATGGATGGACTCGTTGCATCTAGATCTTCTATGGCTCGTCTATAAACCTGAGAAGCGTCCTATTACATGGAGGGCCCCGACATGGTCGTGGGCATCTCTTGAGTACCACAACGACGAGTTCATCCGCTTCGACTCTGACTCAGATTGCAGAAACTCTGGCAAGGGCAGCTGGTTCTCGTTGGGGAATATAGGGAGCGAAGATTACTCTCCTGTTGCAGACATCCTGGAGGTAGTTTGCGTTCCAGCTGGTATTGTCGATCCAACCGGAGAGCTCGACTCTGCCCACCTTCTGCTTTCAACTTTTGCAATTTCCGGAACACTAGTGAAATGGCCGGGGGTACTTGTTGAATATGGTGTCAGTCCTGTCTGGCTTGTTGTCGGAAACCTATGGATCAGCCAAGGCGACAGCCATACTAGGGGCTTACAGTTGGATGCTCCGATCATTGGCGCGAATTCCGGGTGGTCGATTCCCGTTCGCATTATTCGCATAACGGATTTCGGTGCCAACACAGGCAACCATCCTGAGATGGCCTGTCTGGTTATCCGATCAAAACGAGCCGCAACCGCAGATGAACACATCGAGTATGAACGTCTTGGGTACGTCCGATTTGTAGAACAAGGATTCTCACAAGTGCCGGTCATCGCGAACGAGCATACAAATCCAGAACCCAGCATTCAAGATTGGTTGATAAGATATCGGGAATATATCAAAGGGAAACATACGCGGGAACTGGGCGTATCGAATCTGGGGCGTCTCAAAGGTTGTTTTGAAAAGTCAGGGCGTGAGATTTTCAAGATTGTGTAGTTTTCTAAGCGTTTGTCCTTCACACTGGTGATTAATATTACCTTGCAAAGAGATATAATTGAGGCGGTGACTATGAAACAAGTAACAATGCTGGTATTCCAAGTTACCGTATGATCTCATCCGTAATTCGAACTCATGTCAGAAACAAAGTAGTGAATGTCTCTATACTTATGGATCAGTAGATTGTGATCGATGTCTCGGGCTTTGCAGCTGCCCAAACGTTTCGATACCAGATCTGTCTTTCAGCCCAATCATCGCAAATAACCTCCAATAACCCTACTCTAATGTAAGAGCTTGTCGCGTCCTTGGCAACAATAAGAAAAGAATCCCGTGTGCCTTTTGTCCGTGCATTCCTGCTGCCCAAACCATAACCTTTGATGTAGATCAACTCAGCAGGAAGAAAGGTGCAATGCCTACACAACTCCGGGGATTCTTCAGGTCGGCTATTGCGTATGAAGCAGGAATTCATTCGCTCAACTGAAGGGTCAACCCATACCTCCGATTCCGCAGTCCCAAACTCAAGTGGTGCCTCACCAGTCACTGGCGCACATTCTTCCCGAAACTCTCGCTTGTCTTCCCGGGCATAAAGCAGATACCTGCCGTAAATCCAATTTGTCCACCGACGCTTTCGATCCCAGTGTGAGCACGGTCGCTGTATCATGATAGATAGGCGCTTTGTCACTGCTGTCAGAAAGCCAAAGGACACCGAGCCATAGAGGTCAGCCCCAGCAGGTGAACAGCTTATCTGGGCTGTTTCCATAATCCCGGGAGTCTTGTAGTCCAATAACTCGGCATTCTGAAACGTAGGATAGTCTACTTTGCAGCCACTTCCTGTGGAAGCCCAAGACCAAGTCGGGGCGATCCATCCTCGTTTTAGTATTTTCGCGCGTTGCTTCTTCCAATCCGCCACAGTAACAACGCGCCACATGAGGTCCTGTTCAAGATTATTCTTCCACATACCAGCCAGATAGGTATCATTTATCACTTCAGCAGTCTCGTGGGCAAGGCCGGAAAGTGCCGGGAGCATATCCCCAGTGAAAGTAAGATTGAGACAGGTGTACTCGCCGATAACGCGGTGCCATCTCTCATAAGGATCGATTTTCCCACTCTTTGTGGCGATGGCGGTAATCGAAGTTGTCATAGGGTTATTCAGCAGTGCCAGGTACTTCGACCGAGATCGTAGCGGTATGTATGTGCCGGAGAATCGTATCAAATTGTGCCAATTCTGGTGTTGCTCTCCTCCGCACTCGCATGAGTACCCGCTGGCACAGTCAAATGCCACTTCTCCATAGTTGCAATGGATGATCCGACGCGAGAGGAGGCGTTCCTGGAGACACCAAGCCCTATTGAAAAGGGGAAAATACTCTTGTACCCTGGCGTATTCCGACATTTCGTCCCGCTTTTCACCGGTTATCAAGGCGAGTCTGAATTCGTCACCACATTCAGTGGTGATCTGAAAGAACTGGCTTGGAATTGTCTTTGAGTAGCAGCCTCCCTGAGAATCATGAGACCAGCTTACGGCAATAGTGGCGTATGAGTTGCGGTACACATTGACCATCTGAGCTGCCTCTTTCTCCCAATCTTTCTTGTCATCTTGGATGATGCAAAGTGAGTCAATCCAGAGATAGCGAATCCCGAGCTTCCTCGTGATCTCGACTGCCTGTTGGAAGCTGGGTGGAAGCAAAAACCAAGGTATCGACTCGAGTTGCCTTTTCAGATTGTCGGTTTCCGTTTTGCATTTGATCTTGATCTTTCCCCAGCAGTGGCTCAGACACATGTATGTGCCTGTTTGTCCAGATGTAAGTACTAGACGGACTCCAAGTTTGTCTCCTGGCTGAGTCACATCAACGAGTCTCGTAGGCAATTTCATGTCTTTCCCCGTGCCACATTTGTTGTGTTGTTGGCAGTCATTGATCCAAGTCCGAATTCTCTGCAAGCTTAGATCGGAAGAGGTATCCCCAGCCACGCCGTTGGTGGATTGTAATCGGCGAAAGACATTGCTGGACCCCGCCACGTTGAAAAGTCTGACATAGTACACTCTGCCATCAGGAGCATCCATTTCTAGAGTGCCACTGAATTTTCCAGTCCAGCGAAATGTCGTAGAGGGGGTAATTGGATCAAAATTCTTGGTAAGTGCGCTGTCGAATATAGTATTCAGAGCCTTGCAGCTCCCACAGCCATTCTGGGCTGAGTGATTCAAGTCCCCATACGTGAAAGACTTTCCTCGAGCAACCCTTTTCTTCCCGTGCTTGGTGAAGTTGTCATGTTCTGCCCTCAGTTTCGCTGTGCCCGCTCGAGATAATGTGCTCCATGAATCGAAAATGGCGCACTGGACTGAGCATCCTGTTGTTCCGAGTACGTGAAAGAAATCAAACGATTCTGGTTTCGTACCTCCCCCGGAGCGTTTTGCAAGAGCCTGCTCTAGAGAAATCGGCACTATCTGAACCGCCATCTCAATGAGGTATTGGATTCGCGTTGATGCTTTTTGAGGAAGTTGACTCAGAAGATCTGAAGATCGGTCGGAAAACCAAAGTCGGGTATTAAACCTAGCCGGTTACACGCCTGGATTCTTTTTAATCCATCTGCATATGCGAAGCTCAAAATCTGAAACCGAAATAAGCGCTAAAAACCAGGCGTCCAGTGACAGCTTCCAGTCCACCTCGGCTGGGCCGCATTGCGCCTCACTGAGATTCTAAGTCGCCCCTAAGTGGAATAATGCTGCCTGATCTCTCCGACTCAAGGCTTCCATTGTATGCAGAAACACAAAACTCAAAGTTCCAAGCGCCTGGTATCAGAAACGTAATGCCGTACTCCGCATATTCAGTCTCTCCGTCTTCTACGAAGTCCGATCTCTCGACTAGGTTCCGCACCCACACGCGATATCCTGCTGCGCCCTTTGACTCTTCCCACTTCAGGTGCACGGTGATGGAATTCTGAACTTCAACTTGGAGCTGAGTCGGAGCCGGTGGCTTGCCGTTGCCAGCAATGAAGCTCCGGCCTCCTGCCGGAATACCACCTCCGTAGCTTGTCCAAGTACTGATCGCCAACCCATAGCGATGGTCTGCCGATAGGTCGGTGAATGTCGTCTCAGTTTCTCTCAGCGCAATAGCAGTCGGAAAAGATCCCGGTAATGACAGGTCTACGAGGATGATCTCGTATCGGTCCACTTCGATTCGCCCCTGAGGCTCTTCCCATTTGACAAGGACCTGGTACAGGTCAGGTTTGGTGATGATTTTCCCAGGCCCCGGAGCTGTTTTCGGGTGAGCAGTTGCTGAGACCGTATGAGACCAGGCGGAGATAAGGCCCTCTCCATTAAAGGTCCGGACTTGGTACTGATACTCCTGCCCTTCTTGGGTCCATGTCGAGTTGTACTGGGCTACATCTGTTCTCGACTCCTTCCATGGCAGGTTGTCATTATTGCGAATTCTGACATCAAAGCCAATAGCGCCGTATACCGGATCCCATTTGACAGAAATTCCGTAGGGAACTGCTTCCGCGACAACATTCGCCGGCACTGGCGTCGGTCGTTGTGGGATCTCTTGCGGAATAGTGAGGTCTTTGGTTCCAATGCGAAACTTTTGGGACAAAGTCCGAGAGAAGGCTCTTGCAATCTGGAATTCACCCAAAGCATTCGGATGTAATCCATCGTAACTTCCTGGGGAACAATGGTATCCACGCCGGACTTCCACCAACTCAACTGGAGACTCAGAGGCTGACCACTTTGGCACTGACGTTCGTAGAAGCTGGTTGTACTCTTCCACCATGGCAGGAAGTTTCTCTGCCCCATCAATTGGCGTCCGCATCGGCACTTCAGCAAGAGCGAAGTTGATATCTGGTTTCGCAGTGCGTGCACTATCCACGAGTTTTCTCATGGCACCGAGAGTGTTTTCGGCATCCGCGACACCCCAGCCCATGTCGTTGAAGCCAAGCATAACAAGCAGATAGTCTGGCCTGAGTCGCGCCACCTGCTCCTCGATAAGGTCTTTACACTGTGTTGCTTGGTGACCCCAAACTGAGAAGTGGTGAGAGTTGAAATGCACGCCTGCAGCATAGCCGCCATGGTCTATTGGCATGTCAGGTGCTGGTAGCGGGTCGTCTTTCAGAGCCGGTGGCAGCGGTGGACGAGGTTGATCCGGAGTCTTTGTTCCTTCATATGGACCAACAAATTCAAAGTTGATGTTCTCTTCTGTGAGCCACTGCCATAGCCTATATCGCCAAGTAAAGTCCCCTTCACGGCCTTGAGACATGGAGTCGCCGACTACCATGATCCGAACTGGCCGGGTGCTCTCTGGAATCATGTCACCCATTTGAAAACTGCGATTGGGGTCTTGCATCGGTTGGTGGGAGATGGAAATCGATCTCTGTCTGAAAGAGTCATCGGCGATTTTTGGCTCAACGTCAGACGTAGGGTTGCGAAGTGCAGAACGCGGCACTGAGGAGAAGCGTTGGTGTCGTCATAGCACGGACGCCGACATCAGCGAATCGCATTCAAGTGCCATTCGAATGATAAGCGTTTGTCCTCGACTTCTTGATCAATGTGGAGATCGACTTACCAGTGCCACTGTACTTAGCTCTAGATCCAGCAAGGGTGAGTTCAATGTATTTAGCGTGCTAGGCCTTAAGCACGTTGACCCTTGTGCAGTTGAGCAGGGTCAGCCCAGGCAGATCTACCTGACAGTTCCCCTGAATGTGGGGTGTCTACGGACAGAGAATCTGCATCTCACCGACCTTACTCAATTAGGGCAGAACCACAACGCACCCTACCTTCATAGTGCAAATTCTTCGAGGTGAAGATATCAACATCCGATATGGTGTAGTGGCCAACATGATGCCCTCTCATCTCTTTGAGAGGTTAGGCATAGCCCCGAGTTCGATTCTCGGTTTCGGAAATCTTTTGTTTTTGCGGTAAATACAGTCTTATCTTGAAGCAAGAAGAGCCAAAGTGGGTGTTACATTCACAAGTCCTGGACTCTGACGTCCTGAGGACTTTGAGTTGAGAGCTCCATTTTCGGCTTCGCAATTTGTATTGATACTTAAGACTGTCTTTTCAATGTCTCCGAGCACGTTCTTTGCCGTAATTCAGCCAACAAAATCCATAGATGTTTCCCCCATGCTGTCACGAGCCGTTGCCTTGCTCTTGCTTCTTCGTACATATTTTCTCTCGATTTCCCTACTCTTTAGAAATAATGTGCGGGTTTGTCGGCGGGCCGTATGCATCAACAACAGTATCCTTCTTGGAGATGATGTGAGGGTTCGTGGGAGGACCGTAAGCTTCGACCGCGTCTCTCTTGGTGTCAACAGCGGGAATATGCGGGTTCAGGGGAGGACCGTAAGCTTCAACAACTGTGTCCTTCTTCGAGATGATGTGAGGGTTGGTAGGAGGACCGTAAGCCTCAACGGCATCTTTCTTCGAGATGATATGAGGGTTGACGGGAGGACCATAGGCTTCGACCGTGTTTTCTCTCTTGGACTCAACGGCCGGAATGTGAGGGTTGAGGGGAGGGCCGTATGCCTCAACGGCAACCGGCGCGGCGTAAGCCAACGAAGCGCAAGCGGCGACAGCGGTAAGAAGGGTTTGGACACGCATTTTGAAGTAGAACGAGAAGAACGGCGATGATACTGAGTCTCAAAGCAACAGGACTGATCTTGGGCACGGTATATTGATGGCGTTACGACATACTGTCAATCAAGATAGAGGCAATATTATATGTCTTTTTCAATTTTCCATTTCCCCTCTCTCTGGTCCTCTCTTCCCGCTTGTCTGGATCACCACTCTCGACGTGACAGTCGTAAGCACCCCTTGCGTTGACGAAATGCAGCACAAGGAACAATACGCCCGCAGAGTACAGATTCGGAATAGACGCTGCCAACGTGACAGTCAACAATCCTTCGTTCCGTTCCTTCGGCTCGAATTCACACCTTTCATACCAAACACGGCATGCGTAAAGCTCACATGAAGTAATGAAGCCATTCGCTCCTAGCTAGACTCACTTCTCTTTCTTTTGACTGGCTGGCCGCAGTCGAACAGGGGATGAATCTTCTAGCCACATGAAGAAGGTAGGTACATCTCTCACAATGCCAAGCACCGCGCAACCCATAGTTAAGTCAAACCCCCCACTTCCCGGCACCCCCCTGTTTCTGGCACCCACAAAAACGCGAAAATCCACCACAACGCAATGCCCACCCCCAACCTCCTTTTATCACAACATTTTCAATTCGAGTCCAAATGGGCTCATTTTTTGCACATACCTTCTTCTATATCTAATGCCTCAATATACCGAAGATCAGCTTCGTCAGGCTCTCGAGGACATCTCAAACGGCAGAGTCAAAAGAGAGCCTCATTGGAGTGGGATACCACGATCAACCCTCCAACTACGTCTCCAAGGTGGTCAGACTAGGAAAGTGGCTTTTGCTGACTGGCAGAGGCTGTCTCCTGACCAGGAGAGTAAGCTGGCACAATGGGTTCGCATTCAGGCTTCGCTGGGCCTCGCACCAACGCACCAACAGGTGAAGGAATTCGCAGAGCGAGTTCTGGCTGCTGCTGGGGATACCAAACCATTAGGAAAGGCTGGATCTATGCCTTCGTGAGAAGGAACCCTATCATTAAGGTTCAGAGAAGTCGTTCCATCGATTCTAGACGCGTTAATGGGGCATCTACTGAGGTCATTAGGAACTGGTTTAAGTTCCTTGCTATCCCTGAGATCAAGGACATCAAACCAGCCAACAGATATAATATGGATGAGACTGGCATCCTCGAGGGTCAGGAGCTAATGGGTTAGTGCTGGGCATGGCTGAGACGACGTCTGTTCGCAAGAAACAACCTGGGTCGAGGGCATGGGTCTCTATCATTGAGTGTATCTCAGCCTTGGGTAGGGCACTTCGTCCTCTTATCATTTTCAAGGGAAGACGGTCCAACAACAGTGGTTTCCATTACATCTGGTTCCATACGATGGGTGGGAGTTTACAGCAACAGATAATGGCTGGACTACAGACTTAACTGCCATTGAATGGTTAGAGAAGGTGTTTATCCCACAGACTATGCCCGAGGCTGAGGGCGAGGCTCGACTGTTGATTGTGGATGGGCATGGAGTCATACGACGACAGACTTCATGTGGAATTGCTATATTAACAATATCCATTTACTGTTCTTACCACCACACTCCTCTCATGTCCTCCAGCCACTTGACCAGTCTGTCTTCAGCCCTGTTAAGTCAGCCTATCGGAAGGAGCGGTTACTTGTCTCAATGGAACGACTCTACCATTATAGGTAAAAGGAACTTCCTGGACTGTTACCAGAAGGCTCGACTTGCTGGTCTATCAGTCTCGAACATCAGAAGTGGTTGGAAGTGGACTGGTCTACACCCTGTAGCGATGGTTAAGCCCTGATGAACCCTATGGTATTACCTGAGCCTTCTAAGCCACCACACCCAAACCAACCAGTCGGGGCAAAAAGCGATGCCATAATGGTCAACAAACTACCCTGTTGAGCCATGGGATTCTGCTTCCTCTGCAGTGGTCTGGTCGACACCCAGGAAGCTGGCAGAGCTCAGCGGTCAACTGCACTTATACACCCAACTCGACAATGATACCAGCACTCAACGGCTGCTGTTCAGGAAGGTGAAAAAAGGCTTCACAGAGCAGGCCTGGCAACTGGCAGCTGCCCAGCAGCTGGCTCACCTGAGGCTCAAGTTACCAACGCTGCAGTTAGGAAGAGGAAGACTGTTCAGATCGATCCCAACACGAAGTTTGCGAACATCAGGGATATCCATCGGGCTCAAATCGAAGCGGGTGAAAAGGAGGTTATTACGGCTGAATCCAGCGACTCTGAATGCCCTAGTGAGGCTGGCAGTTGTATTGTAGTGGGTGTGGTTGAGGATCAATAGTTAATAGTAATGAGGAGGTTGGGTTGTGATCCCATCGTTTTTGTGGGTGCCAGAAACAGGGGGGTGCCAGGAAGTGGGGGGTTTGACTTACCGAAAAGACTGGGCATTTAACAAAGCTCACTGAGAATTGGTATCAATCGCCAGCCAACTAAGCACCTGCGCCTTAGAAACAGCGCGTCTATGAATTAGCGCCACCTTTGTTCACCCTAGTTCCGGCCCCTGCCGCTGTAGGATCACATCAGTCACTAGGGTTCAAGAGGATTGTTATCTCTCCACTCGCTCCTCTGCCCCTCCCTTCTACATGATATGCAATTGCTTACTTCTATGCGTCTTGAATCCACCAGACAGAATTGAGGGATCAGTCCGACTTCTTTGCCCGAGTTTCGAGCTAACCTTCCCCTTTGCTCACAAGCCGCGGGTTTGCCCCGTCAGTGTCGCGGAATGGATCCCATTTTGTACTTAATCGTCATGTTCTTGGCAATCCTCCTCTTTCTTGGCGAATCCTTCAGCCATCCTTATGTATTACTCCCGACGATATAAACCAGGTTTGCAATTGAGGCTTGACAGTATTTGGCAGGTGATACCATCACAACTGACGATTACAAGTGATTACGGCATCGTCGGCAGAATCCTTCTATTCGCTCTCGGTGATCAGAGCCCCGAGATTCCCGATCCACTATCGATATCATCCTGTCGGAAAGTGATGTCCAAGCCTCTCACCAAGGAGTATTCTCGAGTTGAAACCTACCTCTGGCATCAACTACTTCTTTGTCGAAAATGAAAGAGATCTATGAAAGTGTCCCAGACCAAGACTCAACCGACGATTTGTGCACTACCGTAAGCTTACAATCATTGGAAACTCGCGTCCTCAGAAAGCTGGATGGTAGATCATTAACAAATTCTAGCCGACATGGCCTGAACCTCGGCAAGTTCGAGGACAATGGAGCCTTCAGTCAAAGGTCATTACTGCGGTTAATGCGATGTTCTTCCTCACATCGTGCGGGGTCCTCCTCGTCTCTTCGAGATGGCTCAATGACCCTGTCCATCTGATGAAGCGGGTGTCACCCTACAGTAGGACAATCTTGTCTTACCTGAATTTGATTTCAGTCTTGCTGAAATGTCTCGTGGCGCAGGTCCAATTCTCGACGATGTTCCCATCCAGCTAGAAACGGTCGAGGTCAAGGGAACGTTATTCAATGATTACACACCCCCACGCATATGGCGCGAGCAACCCAGTGAAGAAGTCGATAAAGCTTGGGACGACATGGCGCGGATCGAGTACTTTGGCGTGAGTGGAGATGCACTCAGGAAAATGGGCAAAGATCCTGAGATATCTGTCTCTATCCCAGAGGAGTGGGGTGTCGGGTCAGACAAGTACCTCGTTGAGATTGATATGCAGCATCAACTTCACTGCCTCAATGCAGTTCGCAAGTATGCTTACTTTGACTACTATTATGGTAACGATTACAAGAATATGTAAGTCGTCTACTAGAGTCACCGAGCGACGGTATGTGAACCTAAGTTGACGATTGCACTACCTGTAGCTCAATGGCGCCACAAAGACACCAGGCACATCTAGCACATTGTGTGAGTCGGAAGCATGCACAGAGGGGATTTATACAACCCTTTCTGACACGTCCAACAGATAGATATCCTACTACAAGCTCTCACCTGCAACCCGAGCTTGGACTTGATCTCCCATAATTGGATGAGAACACAGCAGAATCCTTATCCTGACTTCAACATCAAGAGGCAGTGTGTGGCACACGACCCAATACTGAAGTGGCAGCATGAAAATGGCATCTCAGAGCAGATTCTAAAATACAAGAACCTACCAAGGCCAGAGGGGTTCCCAGAAGTAGAACCGGAACCCTCCATATTGAAGATCGGAGAGGATTTGGGCCACCACGAAGGACATCTGCGTCTTTGAATTGAAAGCTTCTCAAGCCTTGAGGGTACTTGCTCAGCCATATACATATGGATAGGCGCAAGCGGTGGTTCGCCGCATTTGCAAACGCTACCAGTGCGCTTCTCAAGTAAATGAGCCTCGTGAATTTGAATACAGTCAAGGACTACACAAATGAACTTCATAGAAATAACTCCTCAAGTGAATAAATTACACAGATTCGCAACCCGATTTGAAGAGAATTATCTCTTTAGTTTGCCGTCTGAGACATAACTTGATTTGCATGATCTCCATGCGCTTTGAACTTCCAAGTGTTGTGGAAACAACTCTCTGCACAATTCCCTACGTGAGCTTGATGGGGATCGTAATGATCACGGTTCTTCTTCAAGCATGCCTCCTTCAAGTTGCCATGGTTATTCTGTGGCTCGTAGTGTTTATCGTTATGGAGACGTCGGTGTAGAGACTCGTGCAAGATGGCGTTGCGGGGTATATCTCGAGGACCGCCTTTGTTGAGGGGCCACTGGCAAAGCTTCCACTCTTTGGTCTTGTCATCGAGTTCCCATCTCTTGATAAGAGGGCAAATCTCTGCGAATGTGAAATCATCATGTCAGCCATCTAGTCGAGATATGTGTGATCCGAGAGTCACTTACCAAGCAGGTACCACATAAATGGCTTGAAGTAGCCCATTCCCTTTCCAGGTCGAAGAAGGTCATGGATCCATCCCTTAAGGGCCTGCTCCTGCTTCAACTGATCCTGGTAGATGCTTTGCTTGAATCTGTCCAAGCGTCTTGGTCGCCACTTCAGCCCCGTCTCATTCTTCTTACCGTTCTTCTCGCTCTTCTCTTTGTACTCCGCGTCCGCGAGCTCGAGCTCGCGGATCATCCAAGAAAGAGGAATGTCGCTCAGCTGCATATCTTCGCTATCATCAAGCTCTTCGTCCTTTCGTCCCCTTCCAAACATACTCAAAAACCTATTCCAAAGAGTGGGAGGGTTCAAGTAGTCAGGAATATCATCCGTTCTGAAATCACCGTTTCTCAACTTTTCCTCCCTGATCCTCTGGAGCTCTCTGTCTTTCCATGTCGGATCATCCTTAATTGCCGACCAACCTCCACCAACATCACCATGGTTTCCGGGGAACCACACCTCTTTGATGTCATCTTCAGCATGTTGGTGCTTTTTAGTGGAAGGTTTGGTGATGTCTTGCGCGAGAAGAGCAGGCTTGAACTTGACTCGGAACTCGTCTACAGCAACGGCATGGCGCACATAGGTTGCGGTACCCTTGACCGAGGTCGGCTTGTCGCCAACCTTCTCGAGGACTGCAACGGAGTTGACGCAGTCCCACATGCCGAGGAAGAAGACCTTGATGTTTTCTTTCCCGTGATCGCTCTCTTCCTTGCGACAGAAGGTCTTGCTGAAGGCCTCCATCTCGTTCCTCTTGCCTCTTCTTCTCCAGCCCTTGGGCTTCTTGATTGCGTCATTGGAGCTGCTGATTCCGATGGGGAAGGCCTCATCAACAGGCGTATCTGGTGGACTCGCAGGCGTTTCGTAGGTACTGACGGTGGGGGCTTTCGTGTTTTTGGTTGTTTGGCCGTTGGTCTCTCGGGCATCGGTAGGGCTGATCACGGCAGCCTTTTCTTCTTTGCCGCTCTTCTTGACCTTTGCTAGATGGTCTTGGTAAAGTTTATATGCAAAGGGTACCATCTCTTCGTTACCCTTGCAGAGAAGACCAACGGTGTTGACCATTCGACACAGGAACCTGGCGGTGAAGGCCCCACGACTGAAGCCAAAGATGTAGATTCTGTCGCCCTTGAGATAATTGTCAGCACCATGAGTTGTCGAGTACAAATAGCATCAAACCTACAGTCTCATAGTAGCGCATGAGGAACCGATATCCAGCAATGACGTGGGAATCGAAGGTGGTCCCGAAGCCCATGTCGATCTTCTGAGAGATATTGCTGCGGACCTCGCTGACCCAGTTCTTGTTGACACTGGTGTCGTCAACGTCGTATGTTCCGATACCGGCTATTGTCAATGGAGTGTCAGAGACTACTATACTCAAACAAATCTTCAGCGTTAACTCTACTTACTTTGGTAGTAGTGGTACTGGTGTTTGTCATTGCGGTCAAGCATACGCAAGAGCTTCACGACATTGGTGTCAGAGCCGGAGCCACTGAATGAGTTGCCTGTGCCATCAAAGCAGAGAACGAGCTTCCTGCTCCCGGTCTGCGCTTCAGTCTCGATAGACGCCATGGTGATGCTTGTCTCCTGAGGATGAAATCAGAGAATTGACACTGCAGAAAACTTGGCTTCTGGGATGAACTTTGATCCTTAGAAAACCCCTTGGTGTCAGGCTGGCCGAGCAAGGGCGTCCGCATCAATCATATATGCATTTTCATCGCCACCAACAATAAGTCAAAAGATTCCGCGCGAATTAAGTTCTCGCACTCTTCTCAATGTTGTTTCTTGCAATGAAAAACATCCAATCGCAGACTGGAACGCTACCAGAGTTCAGCCATAATTCCTCTGTTCCTTATTCCCCATTCCGAAAGCATTTGGAGATCTCAGCCCTGTATCACAGTCCTGGAGACTAAAATGTCTTTCCGACCCTATCTTCTCACAACTGATCGTAAAGCAAATTGCGTTTTCAGAATCTGGTATCTGCATGTGGGGAAGATCTCCCATTTCAACGCCCCAGCTGGCCACGCCATGGCTGCTTCGGTAGTAAGGGTATATTTGCTCACGTGCCTTCGCACTTCAGCCTGGCGTTGAGACAACGGATACGAGACATGCCCGGGCTGTGAAACCTGGCTTATCTCAACTTGGCGATATGTCTCGTGCGGACATTGTCGAATCATGAAGGTCTGATTGGAATTTCCTCTTTTCCCAAAAGGGTTACAAGAAGCAAATCACTTAGACATGAAGTCGCCTCGGACCATCCCGTCGGCCGAATTTGGTGGGAAGATAGAAAAAGCAACATGATAGGTTTTGTTCCGAAGGGATTTTCGCCTCAAGTCTTAGCCTTTGCCGTGATTGCCGACTTGTTTTCTACTGGGATCTGACAACTGCCTCGGAGCCCGGGCTCTGAAGAGTTCAGCGAGGGCTAGGCTTGTCTTAAGAAGTTGCTGATCTCGGAACCTCGGGCCTACCAATGAAACGCCCACGGGCATATCATTGGCTCCGACAAAAGCAGGAATATTGACGACGGGCATATGAAACCCCTTGTAGAATGTCAGCCTGACAAGTGACTGACAGGTGTAGAGGAACACTATTACACTAACCGTCCACATCGTGTTGAAAGTCGCGCGACCCATATCACCAAGCCCAACAGGAGCCTCGTCTTCTGCGCTAGGGGTGAGGATGACTGTGTATTCTCTGGCCAAGTCATTGATGATGCGTCGTATGTGAGAATGCCTGTCAGAAGCTTGCTCCCTCTCTTTATGCGTTATTCTAGCGGTGTTTTCAACTATCTCGCGAATCTCTGGTGCCAGATTGTCCTTATCTATTCGGTATTCTCGAAGAAAGGAGACCCGGGTTTCAGATTGGGTGATGACTTCCTGAAGTCTCTCTAATTCCTCGGGATCCGACATTTCAGGTGGAAATGAGACCTCTTCAACCTTGATTCCTTTTCCTCGAAGGATTACCGTGGCCGCTTCGATAGCAGCTATGGTGCCAGGTCCTGCCGTGGACCACATTGGAGTTTTCATCAGACCAATTGACATTTCTTCCAATAGTATATCCCTTGCGGGCTCATCAACTTCGATACCGAAAACATCAGCGAGCATCTGCAAGTCTTCTACGCATCGAGCAAAGAATCCACATGTGTCGAATGTGGGCGCAATTGCTTTTTGGCCTTCTGTCGAGATAGTGTCAAAGGTCGGCTTGAGAGCATGGACTCCCGTGAATGATGCTGGGCGAATAAGGCTTCCTCCGGTTTGCGATCCGAGACTGAGCGGAACATGCAACGCCGCCACAGCTGCGGCTGATCCACATGAAGACCCTCCAGGGGTGCGCTTCGGATCACAAGGATTGGTAGTGTCAGGTCCTGAGTTCGTCACAGCGAACTCGGTCGTCGTAGTTTTGCCTGTTAGCGTAATTAGAATCTGGATTAACAGCGAATGAAGGAACACGAGCCAAAGATTAGAGCACCCGAGGCGCGAAGGATTGCGACCGCAGCGGAATCAGAACTTGGCTGATACCCTCGGTAAATGGGAGAACCATACTCAGTGGGCATATCTAACTTGTGTGAATGATAGACCACATCTCGGAGCTTGATCCTACCCTTGGAATTCATGATGTCCTTAACTCCAATGGCAAGGCCATGCAGAGGCCCTCTTTGGCCGACAGGAACTTGATCGAGAGTCTGAGCTTGAGCAATTACATGCCCAGGGTCTAGGACATATTAGAAGATTCTGCATTTTACAAAACTCCCAACTCACCAAGTAACGCCCATGCTTTGACGACACTCTCAGTCTCTTTGACATGGTCTAGAAGCCCCCGCGCGTATGTCTCCAGCGTGACGGTGTCATTTCGGAGCAGCTCAAGCACTTGAGTTGCCGTCAACTCGTACAGTCTCGGCATCATTGTTGCAGCGGGACAGATATTAATCCATTCAAAACATAACTGGAAGTCAGAATGTTCTTCGCGAGAGGTGGACGGCTAATAGGGCAGTACAGTGACGACTGGGGTTATCCGTGGAAAACGAACGGAGAAGAGGGGGAAACGGCGTGGCGGTGTAGAGAAGGAACATTCACGGGGGCACAGAGTTTCTGTTTATTCATGTTTCTTTGAATTGGACGAGAAGCAGAGGAGCTAGACAGGGGTGTTGGGCGGCAAACATGTTATTTGTCACACAAAATCTCGCTCATCGAAAATACACGGCGTCATGTCCAACCTGGGCGTATGCTGTCCTGTGGAAGGCAATATCGACATCAAAGTAGAATGGCAATCTTGGACATCTTGGAAACAAATTCAGACACATGAATATGATACTGTTAAAAGCTATTGGGAAAGAAGGATGCAAATTTAAAAAGATAACATGTCTCAATGACCGTTCTCCAACCTTGAAACCAAAGTGAAGCTATTGCAAGCTTGAAGATGACGCTTCCTGCACTCCTCAATATTCTATCACAAATCAAATAACGGAATAAACTCTCTCCGACTGTCGTCCTCCCATTTCCATAAACGTCAATTTAGACAAAATGAATGTGATTCAACATCAGCCACAAGTATCGCATCGCAAGACGGCCGATAGCGTTGCTCGGATGCCAAGTAGCAAGTCTCTCCTAGTGAATGACAGCAAAGCCAACACCAGCAGCCGCAACAGCAGCCATAACCATATCCGTCTCTCGCGAGGCAGCGTTGGGCAGACTGGTGGTAGCAGTAGCCGCCCCTCCGGTTCCAGTAGCTGCGACTCCAGTCTCAGTAGCCGCAGTGCCGGCAGCAGTGGTAGTCGCAACCACTGTAGTACCATCGAGGGAACGACTGAACTCTGCTATGGCCGAGCAAACCGGGCCGTAGTTCTCAGCAAGAGAAGTGATCTTGCCGACAAAGTCCTCGTCCTTGCAAGCGGACCACACAGCGCTGAGCTCGCTGCTGTGAGCGCTCGTCCAAGACTTCAGCCCGGAGGTGAATGAGGTCAAGATAGAGCCGGGCGCACCTGTGAGCGTGGGCAACTCGCAGGCGTTCGTGATGGTTGGGATGTCGTCCTCGTCGACGCCTGTCGCCGACAAGCTGGGAAGGTCCGTGGTGACAGATTTGTGCTCTGTTACGGCGTCAACGCACGCTAGGAAACCACGGTTTTCGATGCCCGCTGCCATGGCACCGGATGTGGTGGCGAGGAGTAGGAGGTTGGTGTAGCGCATCTTGGAATTAGGTCTATTTGGGTGTGGAGAATAGAGTTGTGAAGAGCTCAATGCTTGAATGGAAAAGGCTTTATGAAAGTTCAGGTACTGGAGTTGTTGAGATGAGAGGATGATGGACCAGATCTTCTCCTAAGACCTGGGCATCTTCTCTCTATTTTATACCGAGAACAGAAGGGACTTTAGATCCATAGACAACAGTCTATGGCTTCATTGAGTAACACTTTGGGTGTTATCCGATCCTACGACCCGCCTCACTCTTTCAATATTTCATGTTTATCCACTCCAAGAGTCATCCTGAGCCGAGCAAAACTGCAGATTAATCTCAGAAACGACCAGATAAGTCAAGGCGAAGTCATTGCTGACACTCTTTCCTAGGACCTCCGATTCATGAGCATCATCACATTGGTCAAAAGTGTTCAGCCTCGCTGCCAGCTGTCCACATGTCTCCTTCTTTTGGACTGATGAGCGGTGGATTCATGGCAGCCTGCCTCTGTAGGATTCTACAGTGCCACATCATGCCCCCCGGCATACATCTATGAATAAATGTAAAGTCTACTTGTCCTATTCCCTCAGCTAGAGCGGACTGATTGCCATAGCGGCGGCCCGAGTATCCCCTTCCATGACGCATATTCGCACACAGAATGCTTTCTTCTGAACTCTTTGACGAGATTTACAAGATATCTGTTATGGTCTTGAGCTGTCCCGTGAGCCTTAATCGGAGAAACACGCTTCATCACTATTCAATCTCGTCATTCATGCGATGTTTTATGCATGGTAGGCGTACAGGTGCAGTCCGCCTGTTGATTGGAGTGTACGGCTATAGCAGCCTGACTCTCTCGGCGCCAAACCAAATTTGTCATCTGGACCTACGTATTACATCTTTCTTATATCTCCTGCAAAGCCTCTCTTTCCCCAATCGGCTCTTTCTCTATGGTTGTACAAAATGCCTAGCTGAGAGTCTTTGCATTTGGTAAGACCTATCCAAAGAAATGAACGCGTACTCTTTGCATCTGGTGACGAGACCTAAGTTTACTCTGTAAGCTTCTGAATCCCTCGGCGCCGGTTTGAAACCATCATCATTCCGGAATACAGGCAAAGTCAGTTGCTGCTCACACTAGCAGTGCCATGTTTGCGACTTCATGTGTAAACTTCTGCTGACATCTCCAAGCAGCCAGGGTTGATTTTCTTTTCGGGCTGATGAGACTTGTCAAAGTGTCGCGACAACTCCCATATAGCCTGCTTCAAGTATCCGTCGGATCCTTCAGCCTAAGAAACCGACCCCGACATTGTGCTTCCAACATGCATGCAACGTCTTTCTGTCCAAGACCAATAAGACGCGAAGCAGTCGTAGCATATTGACCAGGATACCAGCCCGAATCTTGCCGGTCCAATAAATGCAAAGTTCTTTTGTTCTAAGCCAATAAGATAACGTGGTAACGTTGGATGCGGCTCGGCCATGGGGCCCGGCTCTGCCCCCGGATCCCGGCAACGTTATCTTGTACCGTCAGCAGCTTGCAAGCTCACATCTCGCCAACTCTCCTCCTCCTAACCCTCTCAACAGCGCGGCTCTTCTCCCCAATCACCCAACTTCCCTCACTTTCCTTCCTCAGCCCTACAGTGAATGACATTACATGTCTGCCACTATGGTTCATCGTGAAACCCCTCACGCAGAATCGGGTGTGACAATGTTTGCACCGGCGACAGACGCCGCCGCCCAATACGACGACGATGTAATACCAGACGCTTACTCTGATACGGTCGGCATCAGTCTAGTCAAGAGCCCGCCGTACGCCACGGAAGAGGTCTGGAAAGTCATGCAAGCCACCATCACCCGACTCTACCAAAGCGAGGGCAAATCCTTGAAGGAGGTGAAAGCCATCATGGAACGGGACCACTTCTTCTTCGCAACGTGAGCTGATCTTCACTTACATGTACCTCCTCATAACGGCAGAAGTAGACATTTCTTCTTCCTTCTCGTCGCTCGGACTCTTGGATGGGAACTAACCATCAAGTCCCTCCGTAGAGAAAGAATGTTCAAATCCCGCATCGTTCGCTGGGGCCTAGACAAGAAGCTCAAAGAGCCGGAAGTCCTGCACATGCTAGAACTGAAGCGAAAGCGCCAAGCGACGGGCAAGGACTCGCGCTTCAGCATCGAAGACCAGGACGTCGACTGGGACCGCGTGGAACAGTACCTCAAGCGCAGACCCGACCTGCATAACACTACTATCAAGCGAAGACACACGCCGGGCAAGAGGACCACCACCGCCACCTTGAAGCGCAAAATCACCTGCAGGACACCCTCGCCGTCCCCAAGCCGAAGCCCAGTGCTACACGTCTCCTCCGCATCCCCTACCATCATCACTCCCCTCCCCTCCCTCCTAACCCCTTCCCCATCCCTAGACACAGACATCCAGTCCAACGTCCTCCACCTCTTCAGCGCATACCACGCCTCCGCCTTCCAAACCGGCACCTGGGTCCTCGACGACGCACACCTCTGCGAACACGACTTCATCCACGTCGTACAGACCCTCACAGAAATAGGAAAAGTCCCAGGCCTGCTCCAACGGAACCAGGTCCCCACGGGCCTACGCACCCTCCGCCGCGCGCTCGCTTCCTTCCGGCACGTCCTCCTGATTCGCGAACCGCGGTTTTACTACTCCATGCTCGTGAATATCCTCACACTACAGGGGAATATTCAGGTGTTGGAGTATTCTATCCGGTACATCCATGCTCTTCACTGCGAGATATTAGGCGAGTGGCACCCGCTGAGCGTAGTGTGGTCTAAACTCAAGGACCTCCCGCAAGAGATCCGTCTTGAGACGTTGAGGAGTGTGTTTGCCGTAATATGTCGGCAATTCGAGACTGAGGCCGTGTTCAACAGCGAACATGCCCTAGATGTCCTCATCATGCGGTGTTCCCTGCTCAGACTGCTCGGCAACGTGGACGGGGGCGAGTTCCGCGCCGTCGTCAGGGGATACACCGCGGCCGCGACGGAGGCCTTGAGACAAGACAACTACCAGCTCTCTTGCAGGATCTTGCTGGGCGTGGCGACTGCCCTTCTCGATGCTGGTGACGTCGAACAAGCGGAGAGGACGCTGTGCCAGATTGGGTCTATGATCAGTATCCAATCTCAAGCGGCAGCCCATAATGGGAATCCGACCATTAGAAAGCAGCGACAGGAGGATGAGCAGCTTTCATTCCAGACGGAGCAAGCTGACCGCTGCTCCATGAGTTCCTTATGCTCACATGTGAGTCATGACGGTCAAGGTAAAGGAGCCGACGAGACGAAGATAATATATGGTTACTATAAAGGGGTATGGGAGCCATGGAGCAAGTGGTCTCCCGCGGTGGTGAAGAGGGTTCTTGATACGCATCGCCGAGCACGAGAAAGAGATGTATGGGCTGCGAGGCTGTGGGCTGACGTTTTGCTCTCTGTGAGGTGATGACACAACGTTGATCCAAAGCATAACATCTCATGTCAGCCCAGGGTAAGCCAGGGGAAAGGGCAAGGTTAGTATGTACTGCATAATCCATAGCAATCACATTCAAATGGGACCGCAACACGAGGGCAGGCGGACAAGGTAAAGTCAATCTAATGTCTTCAATTCGTCTATCGAGTCTCTTTGGAGACAGACGCGTGCCAATATTGCGTGGTTGCAAACTCGACAAGTTCCTAATTCTCATATCGATCATGGGAGTCGGCAGAAATGCCGCTGCCTGCGCAATTCAAGCTTCAGCCGTAACCGAAATACCCGCTCCCATGTCGGCCATGCTCATATATCCTAGTTTCCTCCTCTTGACGTGGCAAACTCTTTCAAACGCCTTGAAAAACTCCTGTTCCCATGCCTCAGCCGGCAGATGCGAGAGTGACCATGACCCTAAGCCTATACAAGAAGTCCATGTTTCGCAACATAAGTCCCCAAACCCAAGGCACCTAAGTTTTTTTGTTTTGCTGCCATCCCCGCTAATCCTCAAGTGGCGGCGGTGTCAACCCGCGCCCCATCCCGAAGATGGTGGAATGAATGCAAAAAGAGCAAAGATCTAGAAAATGGTAAAACATGAAAGAAATAGCCAGCGCTTCTGACAAAGAAAATAAATGGCGCGGAAACAACTAAAAGCGATGTGGTCGAGATGTCCCAATCTGAACACACGCTAGCAACGCTTACAGACGACATCAGCGCAACGTATTGAAGTCCATCTCCGTACTTATGCCGGAGAGACCAGGCATATCGGAATTGGCCCGCTGCAGTGCGTGGAAGTCTCCAACGGTGCGTGGTATCGGTTGTTGCGGGATAGCATAACTACTGGCGCGCTGCGGATGTTGGCGCGGTATGGAATTCATGAGGTTGTTTCCACCTGGTCCCATAGGATGTGATGTTGGCATCGACTGCTGGGACTGAACTGATGGTGGGCTGATATTGCCCATGTTCTGCCCTTGCTGAATGTTGTGGATGTGATGCTGGCTCATGTTGGGCTGCATTTGCTGTGGCGTCATGTGGTTCTGAATCATGTGATGCGATTGCTGGTGTTGATGCTGATTATTCATGTTGCTTTGACCGTTCATCGCCGATCCGTTCTGGCCGGCCGGACTCATGACCAGATCGGGCATCGGCGTGCATCCATAGTCGTTCATTCCGTTGTGGGGATACTCCATTGGTGGAGACATAATGGCGGGCGAACTGCTGGCAAAAGGCGAGTTCATATCCGCAGTAGTCGCTGGAGGAACGGATGATGCACTGGCAGACGTGGCAGGAATGGTGTTGGACTCACTGCCGTTGCTGTTCATGTCGGACACGCCATACTTCTTTTCGTAATCGGCAACGGAAAACTTCCTTTCGTAGTCGGTATCCATCTGCATCTGCATCTGAGATGGAGGCTGTGCCATGCCCGCATTGCCGAAGCCATCAAAGATATCAATGTTGCCCATGTTAGAATTTTCGGGCGCATTTTGCAGCATCGGGTTGGTCAAACGAGGCATAATATCGGCAACCTTGTTCAGCAACAGCGGCAGGAAGCGATGATCGCCATGGCGGAGAACGGCAACAATATTGAGAGTCTGGTTGAGTTGCTCCCGGGGCCCGACAGTAAAGGGATCCCGCGCGGCGGGCTGAACAGCGAGGAAGTCGGTCATGTTGCAGCTAATCTCGAAAAGCTTTTCAATCTGCATATAGGGTTAGCCAACAGGAGGAAAACAAAATCAGATCTGATCATTCATACCAAGCCGGAGCTCATCAACTCCATCCCTTGTCCAGGGAAGTGAGAGGCGAGGGTCATCAGAAGCTCGCGGGAAAGGTCAACTGGGTAGTTGAAATTCATGTTGTCTTCGTTGGACGAGTTTCCATGGGTCAATTGCCAGACAGTGCTCTTGAGCCACTGCTGGTTGGTGCGAAGGTCGGATAGCTGGCCATCTTGGCAAAGGTAGGTGGGGAGGACCTCGTTCAATTGCTTCTGCAGGTTAGACACATATAGGTTGGTGCGCGTCTTGTTCCAGATAGCTGTGAAGGCATCATCGAAGGGGCGGAACAGGTTCACCAGCATGATGAAGCTGTTCAGCTGGTGGCTGAGTGGGTCACTCGGGTCATCGGCGGAGTTGGGCGGGTTGATGGTGGCTTGTAAAGTCAAAGGTCGCTGGCGCTGAATGGCGTGAGATCTGCAAGGACAAGCGGTTAGTAGATGGAAAAGAGTGGCAGTCGATTTTAAGCATTGAAGAACAGGATCTTACCTTTCCATGATGTAAAACAGCCAGAAAAGCCGCCTTCTCCGAGAGGACTCGGCATTATCCCATTGGGGGCCATGGTACGTCTCCTCCTTGATCATGCCATTGAGGTGCATCATGGTAGAAGCCTCGCGGAGGTAGAACCAAGCCTTGTCGTGCAGTTCGATACCATGGTAGCAGCCATATATGAAGAAGTTTGTGGCAAGAGTATTGAAACTGATGTTGTCGAGGTAGTCGTAGCCCTTGCGAACTTGCAGGGTCTCTTCCAAAAGCAGCTGGCTTGCGACGATGGTGGCACCGGGCATGACATCGAGGTTGAAAGGGTCACCTGTTGGCATTGACATTCCTGGCTGCAACATCATGAATGCGCACAGCGAGGTCAGCAGGCAGTAGGTGTCGCGGTTCTGCTCCATGAAAGGAAGTTGCTGGTCGAGTTGGCGACGATCGAGGATGGGCATCTTTTCGTACAGGTTGGCAAAGTAAAAGTCGATGCATTCTTTGACGAGCTCGCTCGAGAGCAGACCGGGGGTTGGGGCCAAGCTGACAGGGCCTGGAGGATTCGGAATGCCGTTCATGCGGTTTTGAACCTTTGCGGACAAACTGGTCTGACGCTGTGTTTCCCTCAATTCGCTAATGACCTTTGCACGGGAGCCCTTGGGGCCCTTCTTCTGAGGAATAGCATTGTAGGTGCAGGATAGCTGCGCAGTATGACAGTTGCGACACGGATTGACGCCGTCGCATTTGACCTTGCGACGATGGCAAGCGTCGCAGGCCCGCTTGACGGCCTGTGTCATGGTGGCGACGTACGGTGAAGACGTTGTGGCGGTTGTTGTCGTCGGTGGTCGTCGGTCGCTCTGAGACAAGCAGACCAAATGGGTGATGATTATTCCGAGCGACGGCGACGGCTCTGTAGGGGCGCTGGCATCGACAATGAAGGTCTAGCGGGCGTGATTGAGTTTTGCGGGGAAAGAGGATTGATAAGAGAGGGTGCAGAGTGATGGAAACAGGCTTCTGGGACAATAGGAGCGATCCGTGGAGTTGTGTTGGCGAGGGATGGAGTGTGTATTCGGCCCTTTCTGTATGCAGTCGCTGGGAGGGAAACGCGGGGGATGGTGCCAAAATCCGGGGCTGCGACGCCCGTTACAACCCTTTCCGTTTGTCTGTGCAGAAAGCCTGCTGCGTGAAAAGTCTGCCCAGGAGTCGAATGTGTCGATAAATGTGCGAAAGTGTCGTCGGTTTTGTCGAAGAAGAAGCCCCAGACCGAAGACGATGAAGGGGAGAGTGGACGATTTTTCTCGGTGAGGGTCGGTCGGGTAGGGAGAGTGAGTTGCAGGTTCGAGAATTGCGTGGTAAGTGGTGTGTTTGAGTGGGCGGAAGGAAAGTGGACGGAAGGAAAGAGGAGGAGGAGGGTGGATGGACTGGGAAGGGGAGGGAAATGGGAGTGGAAAAGAGGAAGGGACAGGGCAAGAATGGAGAGTGGGCACCTGCCGGGCAAAAAGAGACGGCGAACGGGAGACTTGTGAGGGACGACAGAGACGGCAGGAAAGCCCAGGACCGCCACACTGCAATACCTACCTGTGGAAGGTACCTACCAGCGGGCAGCGGCAGCCAGGAAGGAACGGAGAGGACGTGAGGGCCTCTTGCCTTGCTTAGGTTGTCAAGTGGATCCACTCTGGCTCTGCTAGGCCCATTGCAGCATGCCCACTAGTCCCGATTGGGAGTAGCGGACTTGGGAGACGAGGACAGACCTCTTCTTGCACTGTGTGGAGGCAAGGTGGATGTCTGGTGACAAACCACAGAAAATACTCGAAAATTGGGCAGGAACAATGGGCAAAGAAGGGTGAAGGAGCACCTTCTCCTGACATGTTTCCCCACAGTGAGGCCATAGTACGTACTGTGTACTTCCCTCCCGTCAAGCCCCATCGTTCTTACCTCCGCGCCGATGGACCACCTCACCTTCTACGTGCCCTAGGTACTCAAGTACTCTACAATTATTCTTGGTGACTTCCTCACTTTCAAGGCATCCCCCGCCATTTTCTTGTTGTTCATGATTTCCCTCTTTCATTGTGCCAAACGCAACAAATTTCCACGGTCAATGCAGAGGATCCCAGGGACATCAAGTTCAATAACAAACCAGCAACACTACTCCGTCCACTACGGATGCCAAACATCATGAGGCCAGGGGCTCAGCCAAGTGGCAGCAGGCAGGATCCGGGTCCGAGGTGATTATTGATGTGACGACTGTACAAACACACGGAACACGCCGCCTGCAACGTCGTACGAAGGCTGGGGCGCTGATTGTCCAAGACCAAAAGTCGCTTACAACGCCCAATCCAAAACGAACAAGCCAATCGAGTCCGCTTTCGTCGTTGGTCACCGGTGTCCGTTGTGCTGGGAAAACACCGAGGTACCAAAAACCAGCCTGTCGGTTGGCTCACTGCAGCCTGCGCTCCCCCCTCTCACCCGCCTGCGGAATGGCTTGAGTTGCATTTCGGACGGAGCCCGTCACTCTCAACTTTCAACAAGTATCTCTCCACCACATTTCGGCCATACGGTACTTTAGTACGCCAGGAGCTTGCAGCCTCTGGCCGCTGGCAGATGGCAGATTGCTGCTATTGCCTGCCGTTGCTGTCCTTGCTCTGGCGCTGTACCCGACAACTACGTTTCACTCGCAGTCGGCCGAGGCGCATCTTGAGGTCGATCCGAGGTTTCCTATTCGCCTCACTTTGACTGCTCAACTAAGGTACTATGCAATTCTCTGGGCGGAATATTTCCTCGCTCCTCGAACGGATGCAAATTTCGTGCCCTACGGATACACACTGCCGACATCATACCTACCTTACTGTACATGTCTTGTCTGTCTACGACATGCACGCCTGATTGGCAGGCCACCTCCGCTGACCGTCTCGTGATAGTCCTCCACCGTTTCTCGACTTCGCCCAGTCCGACTTGTCATCACCGCCAGAATTTGCCCACCCAGACCACAGCACTGGCACGCAAAGCACCTGGAAACTGCACACGAACGAGCCTTACGAATAACCCAGTGCGCCACGCCTTCTCTTTGTTTAATTGGAACTAGTGTTGCTTTCAAGTTTGCCGCCCATTGTCTGATCTGATCTGGACTCCCGGCGCTGGATCCTCGGGACTTGCTAGCGGTAGCCTGTCATCAGCTTGCATCGTCCCTGTAATGTTACTAATAATTACAGTGTTCCACCCGAATCTCCCGCGCGAGCAGCCCACGATGGCTACCCAGTGCCGGTTCGACTCTTGGCTCTTGTTTTGATGAGACTACAATGCTCGAAAATTAGAGGCACACGAAACGACTGTGCGAGGGACATCCCTCGCCGCACCTCGACAGCCACAACGTCGACAGCAGCCACAAACACAACGCACTGATGGCTTGCCCATGGGGTTAATCGACGCTGGGACGCTGCTTGTTCCCCTCGACCTCCTCACAACTTGCTGCTGGCAACGTCGATAGCGCGCGGTACAGATGGAGCCCTGCCAGGTTCTCCCCCCAAAAGCACCTCTCAGCACCGGCGGTCTCGTCTCCCAATGGGGCTCGGATCAAAGCCGCCCATGCTCGAGGCCACTATTTCCCAGTAGTTCAACACAGCATGAACTTTGTTAGTCTCGACATCATGGTGATCGTCCGACACTTGGGATGGCGGAAAGTGCCAGTTCTGAGCACCAAGCGTGCAGAGACGATGCCCACTGACCGAGCGTTCTGGATGGTCTTTTCACCTCATTTTTTTCTTACGGCTCTGAAAAACTCGGTAGTTCGGGAGCAGAATGTCAACCACGTTGCTTCAAAATAGGCGTGGTAGGCACGTACGGATGCAGATATGGCACTAACCCTTGGCAACTGCAGCAAGCATGCTACGAGAACCCACCGAATGGGATCGAGATCCTTCTAACCGATGCCGGCTGGTAGGCTATTGCTCGATGGTTACAGATGGTCGGTTCTTGTCCTCACCCACCAAAATAGCGGTCGTGGCCATCTTGAGGGTGGGTTTTTCCATGTCCCGGAGCCTTGGACTTGGCAATCTTGCGAATCGCAAGCAATCTTTGCTCAGTTCTTTGCAAAAGCTCACACTGACCACCCTCATTCAATCAACCCCTGGGCTTGCCAGTCCCCGGATCGCCCTAGAATGGCGCATGAGGAAAACCTTCCACCTTCCAAGCGTCTTCCACCATGCTTCCATTCGCTTCAGCCCACCTATCAGACCACGACCTCTAGGTGGCCACCCTCCTTCGCCAATGCAAGAAGCCGTTTGCAGCTTGATCATCAGTGCACGAGTTGGCTACACCCAGAGTTTGCTGCTCAGCTGTCGTTTGTCACCCACCAGGGAGTCCATTTGCATCAGCACAATACGGTGACCATTTGGAATGCCATTGAGACCAATCGAGCTGCTAACTTTGAGCGCATCTCAGATCGGTGTCGTGTGCCCACATCGGGGCTTAAGTTTTGTCAATAATTCAACGGCACCATCCAAACAGCCAAATAGGAGCATTTGCACCAGCAGAAGCCCCGTTGTGGCGGAGACCAAAGAAGCAGCTTATGAGGCAACATTGTTAGCTGCCGCCGCCTCAGAAGCCGTCGACGCTAACAGGCATGAACACTGCCACCGTCTACGAATGCCGGTACACCCGTGGACTATGGACGAGGGGGAGAAGAAGAGGAGGCACCGCGAACGAGGAATTCGCTCTTGTCAGCAAGAAATGGCATTCTCTGAACAGCTACGCCTAGCAGCTGGACCCAACACATGAGACAAGGGGCAATGATTTTTTTTCATCTTCATTGACCTCGACCACGGGCTTTGGTAACTTGGTCACGGTCCTTGCGTTGGACAGGTTACATCGTACTGCCCTCTGGTCTCTGAAAATCTCTGGCAGGGCTGAAGAATCTGCCCGCCTCCAGCCCTCGCTCTTCTCACCTTGTCCACCTCGTGGCACCGGAACTGTTGACACCCGCTGCGGTTTTCCTAGGCCTGTGAGATGGAATTTTCAGAAACACCGGCTTTCACTCGTGTTGGCGGCCTGTAACTCCACGATGAGGTCCACGGCGATCTGAGCACCAGAACCGAAATGTGTATACGGAGTACGGATACAAAGACCAAGGAGCCCTTGCTCTGATCATGGTCGATGACAGCGCCCAGAGAAATGGCCTGCATTCCGCCGCTTCTCCACCCCGTTTCCCCCTTCTCCTCAAATGCCGACAGCGAACCAGCGCTCGGGCAAGCGCCCAATGTCGGGGCTGCGGAGATGCCTCGACAACTTTCCAAAGAAGCCAGGCATGACAGGACGCTGTACCACGCCCAATCCGACCATGGCACGCTCGCATAGCACCATGCTGTGCTGTGCGTCGGCGTCCGTCTCAGCCCACTCTTCCTCCTCCACATGCTCTAATCCAGATCGGTACAAGCGTGCGCTAGTTTCGACGGTCGGTCCGATAAGGCATGCATCCGTTTTCTTCAAGACCTTGCCAGGACTGCACCACTCCTGTCTCGACGGCTGCATGCAAGGCTGGCACGCTGGTATTAGAAGCAAAAGGAGAGATGTCGACGTCTGAGGAAGAATCCTTCGCGTCAAGGCTAGAAGCTGCGGATGAGGTCAAGACACGTGCGAACAAACACACGAGCATTTTTGATGCTGTTCAGTGGCTATCCGCAGTATTAGTCGAATTTTGGGAAACGCCGCCGTAATCTTCGAGAATCGTTTTTAGCTCTGAGTTTGGGAGACAGCCATCAGAGGGACGGTTAGACTTCGTCATCCCATATCAAAGGACGGTTTCAAGTTGTTCCTCGGTATTCCAGCCTCGTCGGCGTTAGGCTATCCGAAAAACTCCACGGACAATTACCTCCAACGAGAAGGCTGAAACACCAAAAGCCATTTGCCGACAGTTTTCCAACAGAAGAGTATTGAAGATGACCGCATCGGCAATGCCGAGCATACCGAGTTTTATCATAAGCGACTTGTTACAGCACGACTGCCGGAGACCAGCACTACAATTCTCGGTCCCGGACAGAAGGAGTTCACTAATGACCCGGACCAAACTCCCCATTCCCTGCCCAAACGCCTGGCCAGTATTCCCAAATGCAGATATCCCATTGTGTAAACCAAACAATATCCCAAGAGCATCGTGCCTATCATAACCAAAGCGCAGTCCGAGCTCGATAATGGCTCTATAGTTCCGCATTCGGGCAGTTGCCCTTGCACGTCTTGGGCAGGTACCTGACCTCCTTGGCGCAGTTACTCGCCTCACCGTAGCTTCCCAGGTCGCTCGCGGGAACAAACTGTCCCGTCTGCAGGCTCCCCATTAGAGAATAGCTGTACCACGCCTCGTGAAGTACATCGCGTCCTTGTCCGGAGCACCGCAGCACCACGCGGCCGCCGCTCAGCCTCTCCAGCGTCCTGGTCACCTCGGCGAGAGCGTAGCGTCTGGAGATTGAGGGCGTGATGCCGGCCCTCTCGAGCGCCGTGAAGGTGTCGAGTTGGCGGAAGAGAGAGAAGGCGCGGGTGAAGTAGTCGACGACTTGGATGCCGGTGTCGTATGCGGTGTCGTAGCAGGTTGAGGAGAGGGTGTTTATGCAGCTTGCGTGGGTGTTGTACTCGTTGGCCCAGAGGTTGTTGTTTGCGCCGCTGCGAGGGAGGGTGTTTGTTAGCATTGTCGGTTGAGTGTTTGGGTCAGGCCGATGATGGGCCGGAAGGGGAGTGCTGCTTGGTTCCGGCCGGGGGTGCACGGTGACGGGGACGGGGAAGACGGGGGCCGGAGTGGGGGGCCACGGGAGGGGGAGGGGCTTACTATGCTGCTACCCAGTATCTCTCCATCAACGCCAGGAGTTCATCTTGACCGTAATGCTTCAGGATGTCGGTGATGTTGGTGAATTGAAGCTCCGTGCCGTAAAATGCTTTGTAGCTTCCATCGCATGGTTCGGGCCTATTGCAAGGATCCCAGTTAGATACCTAAGTACTTATTCGATTGTCTTTCCGAAGAGAGTTGACTTGGCAGGGAGCAATCGTTTCCCCCAATTCAATTGACGATAACAATCACGAGAAGAGGAGCTAAGGGATGACGAATAGAATGAGCATACCATAGTCCGTGAAGCGTCCAATCCTCCTCTGCGCCGGGGGCATGGACGGTGTCATCCCAATATTGGGTGAGGAGGAGGCGGCTGGAGGGGTAGACGTGGCAGCACGCGTTCCTGGCGGAGCCGTCGATTGGGCATTGTGGCGCGCCGGAGAGTGGTTCGTATGTGGTCGGTGGTGCTGCGAGGCTTGAGGATGTGCTTGTGATGTCGTTGGTGATGGGGGAGAGGTGGGGGAGGAGGGAGGATAGGTTTTGGAGGAGGGCGCGGAGGGAGGGCGCCATTGCGGGTTTGTCTTTGTTTGTGTCTTTGGTATGGTTTGTTATTGGGATGGATGGTGATAGGACCGAGGGGGTGTAATGGTTGTGGGATTGAAGGTGTTGGTGACGTTTGGTTGCGATATGTAGCTTGAAGGTTGAGGGTTTGGTCCGAGGCGGAGCTTGTCTGGGGATTCTGCCGCGTCAGGTGGGGATTAGCTGTGGCTTGGCGGATTCACCGCTTTTGGATTGAGGGATGTTATTGGGTGAGGAGGGATCTTTGAGATTTGCGGGGCTGATCGATTGTGTGGGGACTGTGGGGTGCGGTGACATGCTGCTTGTTGCGGTTTGGATGGCAGACGGGTTCTTGGTAGAGGGCTCTGGTCTACCTTCGCTCGAAATTGGGTTTATCTGCACTGCTCTTGGGTTGGATATTGACCAGAATTGAGGCTACATTGTGTTTGACGTTTGAGGGAGCAGGTGGTGTTGCTGTGAGTGTGGAATTAATTCCGTGACTTTGGTGACTTAGATGTGGAATTAGGGAATGAGATAATTCATCGTGGAAAATGGAAACGCAGCTCCCACGCATTCCAATCCTCATTCAACTCCTTGAACATACTATGCATGATGTACTCACTCTTTCCCTCCAGACTAGCTGCTATAATTCCCATTAAAGCCTAATCATCTTGCCAGTAAGCTTGCAGGTCTATGTCCCGACTCCCCGATTTCTTCGCTTCCGAGATCACTCGGACCATGCGAAGACATGGACCACTCGCCTATATAGAACTACGAAGACACAAGAACGACACAAGTATCAGTTCAAGTGATGAGCAAGTTCTAGGCAATGCACATGTTTGCTGGAAACGAGGCTTGCTTAAGCTGAATGGGATATGTGAAGGGCTGTCCTATGCGATAGAAGCTGCTAATACACTTTTGAACTACGCTTATGTGCTCAGCGAAAGTAAGAAGTGGAGAATGGACTTCGTAGAGAACGGGCAGGTTAGAACTTGTTGAATGAGTATGAGTGTCCCATTTAATTATCTGCATGTCGAGAACATGGAATGACAGCATATATGTCGGAGTTGTACGTTCATGGGATTCATTTATCCGCTGTCCAGCAAACCCCCTTTTCGTCCGGGTCTACGTCCCAGACTTCACATTCGTCTTGCCATATTCTCTTGTCAAAAGCCAGATCTCTTCTTTGTAACTAGTAGTGGGGACTTCAGGATTATTTCAATTGAACCGCAAATGCAAATCAATCACCTTGAAGCGCAACAAGCTATTAGATTTGATCAGATATGAAGTTAAATTCAAAAGATTCTTTTGAACATAGCTCGTCTATTGAAATTCATTCTACCCCGATTGTTCTAAGCGAATTTAACTCTACATTTAATGTCATTACGTGATTACTGAAAATATGCTCCCAAAGATTCTTTCCTCACACTTCATCCACCTAGGGGTTAAGGGTTTGAGTTGGTGCAGGCTGATTCAATACGGTGACTGTGAGAAGGAACGCCGTGCCCGACACTACAAGACTACTTGTAGATGCGAGAGTAGGACTTGTAGATCTCGTATCTATTGGGAGGGGACCCGTGGTTGGCAAAGTGCTGGTACTGGATCCACTATTTGTTGTCGAGGCAGGAGACGTAGTTGACGATGGAGCGCTGCCGCTCGACGTATCAGAAGAGGCTGAAGCAGGGACTGAAGAAGGGACTGAAGTAGGGGACGTTGAGGAAAGCGGTAAAGTTGTAGGAGATGATCCTCCGCTGCTGGGAACGCTTGACACTGGTGTAGTCGAGGCTGAAGTGCTCAAGGTCGCTGACTGGCTTGAAGTTGTCGCTAGCGAGGTTGTGTTTGAGTAGTAGAGCGAACTGATGCTGCTAGATGATCCTTGAGGCGATGTTGAAGATGATCCTGACGATGATGTGCTAGAGAGTGTGCTGGTACCAGATGTTGTACTGCTTCCAGAAACCGAAGCAACTGAACTCGACGAAAGAGAAGACGTAGTCGAAGTAGAGGAGATGGTCGAAGATGAACTCGAACTCGTAGAGTTGAGTTGGCTCTCGTCCAGCTCGTACACGGTGTACACCGGGGCGCCTAGCTCAAATGGAATCGCACCGCCGCAAGGCGCCGAGGGGAACGAGCTGCATGGATTTGTGCAGTAGTTATCGTTTGGGGGAATTTCCGATGAAAACGGTGTTACCGCTCCCGGCACCAGGATACTGCAAATACAGAGGAACTTTGACATCATGGTGATCGTTCGCCTGTTGGTCTTGCAGTACTGTTGACATTCGACTGGTTGATTCGCCACGTAGGGGTTGAAGAGGAGATCGACGTCGCTGACCATGGAGTTATCTAGGGGGCCACAGCCTATGTATCGTGCTGGCGCGAGGGGGGCGGGAACTAGGGTGTTGACTGGGAACGTTGGGATGCTTCTTGTCGTTGAGGTTGTTGAGGTTGTCGAGGTCGTTGAGGGCGTTGAGGTCGTCGAGGAGGACGAAGATGACGAGGAGTCGGAGGAGGTTGAAGTCGGTGACGAGGAGTCGGAGGAGGTTAAAGTCGGTGACGACGTTGTCGAGGGCGTGTCTGTGGTTGTCGGAGAGGTCGTCGTCGAGGATGAAGACGATGTCGTGGCAGTGGTACTGCTGGTTCCGCACGTGGTAGTGATAGCAACCGCTTTGTACAGGTTGAGATAATTCGGGTCACCGCCACATCTTGCATTCGTATCGCCTAGGCACACTCTGTTGCATAGAGATTCGGCTACTGGATAGATGACAGGTGCTACCGTCTCGGGCACAAGTGAACATCTGCAGTAGTAACCGTCGTATAGGCTTCCGTACGTCGAGCCAAGATTGCTGCAGAATCGCTGGCACTTGCCGGGAGTCAAAGCATTGTCGCCCAGTAGACGGCTGAAGGCCGTGTTGAAGTTTGGGATGAGGACACAGCCGACGTATTGCATCACGCAAGGGATGCTGTACTGCGCCTGATCAACTTGGGCGTTGGTGAAGGCCGTTGCTAGCAATGCCAGGAGTAGCCGGGCTACTGGAAACCGCGCCATTGTGCTGATCGTACGTCGTTGTACGCCGCTTGATGTTGATATACTTTGTGCAAAGAACTCGGCCGATCGAATGGGTTTACTGAATATCTTGCATACTTTCGTTGCTTTCTCTGGAAGTGAGATTTCCGGTCAAGGTCCAGTGCCGCAAGTGGTGTTTGTGGGAAGTCTTTTGAAAGATGAGCTAGAACAGCTATTTAGGGGCTAGCTTCCGTTTTGAGCAAATGCAGATATCTTGCTTCGGAGACAACGAAACTGACGGCGCGGTGGCTGGAGCCTGACTCCTTCAGAGGATTGGTCTCAACTCTCAAGAATGTAGCGATATTATAGCTCAGGTTATTTGTTACACCAACAATGGCAATCAAGGGAATGGGAGACTGCCTATGTTGGCATGCTGACTTAGTCCAATCTGGATGTAACCGCCTTGGTAAGACAGGGAACGAGACACTCAAAATCTCTGAGGTAGCTTTCTGGTCCTGGTCAGCAGTGAGGCTTTGAGGATTGGAAAGATCAGTCTTTCATTTTGGACAGATCCATCAATCATCGAGTTGTAGAGGTTACCATTTGATGACCAGTAAACACACATACCCTGCTAAGCATGCAGTCGGAGCAACAGAAGCACATTAATGTAGAATTCAAGATCTCTCCCATGCTCATTCTCGTGGAAGAAGGTGTGCGCCTCATTCAACATGACGTGAGTTGAGCAATTCCTCAAGGCAGTGGAAATATGTACACATGAGCAGATGCGGCGCTGCTTCCACCCCCAACGATGATCCCCTGGCTTGCAGTGCCTTTGCATGATCGTGTGTGCAGGGGCGGCACGCATGTCGTGGAAATAGGATTACCACAGCGTTGGGACTTTTGGAATGGCGACCTGGTACTCCCTATGATTGATTTCCGAGCTAGATTTCCCCCTCGGACACTTCACGAATCACGTCGCTTGAATTTCGAAAGTGTGTCTCGGATCTCTAGCCTTCTGGCAAGGGGTTGGCTGGACTCGATCCGAAGACTCAAGCTGTATCTTGGCAGGGAAGGATGCCGGCCAAACAAATGGCCCCAGAGATGTCTTGTCTTTGCCGATCCCAAATCACATATGTTACGCTTGTTGTCTGCGCTGAGAAATTCCTGGCATGGTTAGGAAAAGGGCCACTCGAATTTGGTCAAGTTGTATCCGTATAATATAATTAGGCATCTGATCGAGCATAATTCGACCACCATGTGCTTTATGGACCAATTGCAGACGGGGGAGAGACTACTATGCGCAATTAAAAACTTCAAGGCTTGGTCTGCACCGTCGATTTCGAGATATGGTAAGCACATATGTTGCCGCATTTCTCTATGGTTACTCTGCCCATCTTCAACCCTTGTATCTACGTATTAGATGAGAGAAAAGCAGCAAAAGGGAAAGAAACGGCAGAGCTTGCAATAGCGGCATACCCCTAAAGGACCGGAGTCTCTATTACGCCCTGACGCCGTCTGGCCCTCGATGTGGTAGTGGCCTATGGAGCCACAAAACAGCTGATAAACGACATCACCAAACGATAGCTGTCAATCGTACATGTACTTCAAACTTGATGCATTCGTTCCTCAGAGCTGACAAGAAAGGCGTAGCGATTGGGCACGTCAACAGCCAAATGCTCGTGAGCTTGATGATCTGTTCTAAACGCAGCTCTTAATGCATTGATCATTCCAATCTCGAAGCATGTGATAGGTGAAAATTATTCTCATGGTCGCCGTGCAGGAGCCAGCTTGTTTCCTCCCATCTGATGTTGTTTGGGCCTAAGCTCGTCTGAATGTCTCTGAACAAGCAGTAAGATTGCTTGGGCCTTGTGGAGAGGGCAATTTAAAGACCAAATCAACTCCACCTCTGTACATGGAGACCCACCAGATTGTCGTCAGATGTCGTAGACACAGCGGATTCCGCGATATCACCTCACATACATAAGTACTTAGTTTTCCGCCTCAAAGTCTCGGAAATTGCATTTTACCATGAGTTAAGCGTTTTCAAGGACCCATTACTTGAAATCTCGAGGAAGGAGATTCAGAAGACTTTTGAGTTTAAGACTCAAAAACATGAAAAGTATCTTTTTCGACTTGTAACATCTCGAAGCCCGCAAGCAGGCCTACGGAGGCTGAGACGCAGTTCTAAGCCCTCGCTAATCTTATCCGATCATTTGAATTGAGATTTTGATTGTGCATTGTGGTAAGATGCCCTCGATTCCCCGCAATAATGCACGCTCATGGTCGACAATGAGGTTGAGCGTAGCTGTACGCACTTAGCATTGCTTGATGCCCGACCCGACTTTCTGGTACGCCGGGGCTTGAGAAAAGGTCAACCGTGATTGACCAATTTCCAATGAAAACCTTGTTCTGCTTGTACTACTCTTTGCAAATCTTAACATTGGAGCCAGTACCTAAGCCAAAGTCTGCCACTCGCAGCTCGCAGCAGAAGCAGAAATGCTGCTTTGACGCAGTTTCAGCTCAGATGACCGTGACGCCGGCCGCAGAACCCGGTTGGATTCGTATGCGAGTCCTCGGGGCAAAGCGCGCACAGAAAAGTCCATCCAGGAAAACTGTTTCCCCTCCGCCGCTCCTCTCGGCTCAGTGAACCGGCGGGTAGGCGGCAGAGGTATCCACCACAAACTCCACTTTTGGCCGGGCGGGGTCCGCCCTATCGGGCTCGGGCCGCTCGCCCCGCTCGGCCCGACATTCGCTTGAGACACCGTCCTTTCTTTCTACCAACCAATGCTGTGGACTTGAACAATGTCGGGCTGCGCTATGCTGACTACATTTCTTCGACAGAGAGCTACCACTGCGACACTTTTGTGTGCATTTACTGATCAAGCTGCACTTCGGATTCGGTTTATTTTCCGTAAGCCAGATGGGATGTTTGATGAATGAACCAATATCAACTTACCCTGAAGAAACCTGGTAGTACCATCCACAAACGCCATTTACTCTCTAACAGTCATTGAACAGTCATTGTTCTGTCATAGACATTGGTCTAGAAACTTGGGATATGCCGAAAAGCGCCATCGTCATCATCGAATGTCCAAATCTCACCTTGTCACACTGCATCTCTGGCTGGAACCGGCACATATGTCAAAGCCAGGAGAGGAACCCGAGTGCCGCACATAGCCTTACCGTCTTAGACTTCACGTACCCCGCGCGCCTCGCCGGTACCCCGCAACCTTCATCACAACCTTGGAAGCCTCAATTGCTCTATACCGACATCCAAGAATTTCGAAGTAATTTGTGCGTGTGCCGGTCTGATGCGGTTATTGTCGGGTGTTTTACGAGCCCATAAGAAGTAATTCAATATGAAGCTTAAGGTCGTAAGATTGTGATGCTTCTCTACAAGGAGACGGCAGCAATGAAAAAAGCCAATGGAGTTGGAGAATCAATGCAAGAATGAGGGGTCCAAAAATCTAAACAAGAAACGGCCTGCATTTGTTGCGGGCCACATTGGGGAAATGGTGTAAGACTCTACAAAGTCCGCGTTGCCACGTGGGATCAAAAGTTTGCTATTCATCGGTAGCATCAGTGGCACATAGCTTTCATGTCATAAACCTGACATTGTGCTCAATGTATGAGTGTAGCTCGATTGTCACTTCAAACCGGGCCAGTTCCCCAGCTTCTTCCGATGTTGCCGCCGCAGAAGGATCCCGGCTTCTGATCAGCCTTTGAAGCTGCAGCCTTGAGTTTGTTGGGACTGATTCTCAGCCTCATGATGGCCCCATGTCCACACGCGGGGAACATGCTCTCTTGAGATTTGCTCCCAACATTGTAACCCCTCACGGACTACTGCACGATGCTCCTCTCAGGGTTTCAGTGAAACCTACTTGGCGGGGCTCTTCAGAGAAGTCTAGGTCGTGCTGACAGGCCCCTCACGGGTTTGGACACGAAAGAGTCGTCAGCCTTTGACTTCGTCTAGCGTCAAGCTCTGCTTCAGCACCTAAAGCTGGCTAATTTCACATGTGACTGCGAGACTCAGGTACCTTGGCGGTACTCGTCGACACTCAGACCAATGGTTCGTCCACGTTACGAGGTGAATACGACCACGAAGACCTCACTGATCTGACTTGCAGAATCGAGTCCGACGCTGGAAAGTCTCGGCCTCGTGTATGTAGCTGATGCTCTGATGTGTGGTCTTTGTTGCCCCGCAGCAGACCATGCGAAACCTTCGCGCGATGGGAAAAGATGCATAACACGTACGAGCTGTTTGAGTTGAGGTTTACGCATTCATGATTCACCTTGCAGAGCCGAAGTTTGAGGCACAATTGGAGAAAAGTGTGATCTTGTAGTCTGTCTGAAAAGGTATAAAGACCCATCAAATATCACGCAATTCTATCAAGTTGCAGACCAGCAGCAACAAGTTTTCAGCTCAGTTCCAAAAACTTCAGTGCTATCAACAAATCACAACATCTTTTAGCTTATTACAACATACTCTACCTAACTTTTAAATTCAAAATGGGCGACATCCGCGGCTCCGAGAGAGACAGCAACGTCATTGCTCTTGTTGAGGCTATCCTTGGCCACAAGATCGAGAGCATGCCCGGCTCTTCATCTCAGAGCACCTTGGAGGACTACGAAGACCTCGTCGAAATGAACAGGGACCACGAGTTCAGCAAGGATGGTCCCCGTCCCGACTCCCCACCCAAGAACCCTTGCGTCGGTGCCGTCAATCCCTACGCCTTAGCTGAGGCCCTAATCGGCCGCAGGATTGACCGTCACTCGATGGCTGCTGCCCAGATCCTACAGAATGTTCTTCAGACCGACTACGATGAGCTCTTCGACATGCGCCACCACTCTGTTCTCTTTGCTGGTATGAAGCTGAATGAGAAGGAGAGGAAGGCTGAGATGTACGATGAGAAGGATATGAAGATCCTTAACGAGCGGGACCTCATGACCCCTGATTTCTCTGGCGTTCGCAAGCTTGAAGATCTCGAGAAGGTCGGACTCAAGGACCTCAAGGACGCCAAGGTCAAGATGGCTCGCATGAAGAACGGCAAGCTTCGCCTTGTTCTCCACGCTCATGAGCTCGGCGAGACTGTCTCCAACCGCAAGGTCACCATGTCCATCAACGAACTCGTCACTCCCTTCAGAATGCAGAAGGGCCGCTGGCAGCCACCCAACGCCTCATGGCGCGACATGTACGACTACTTCTTCCAGAGCGTAAACAAGCGCCTGATTTCCGACATCACCATGTTCCAACTTGGTGACCGCCGTGAGACCAATCGTCAGTTTGACGACCCCACTCAGGGCTGCTCCAGCAACAGTTGGTTCGTCTCTGCTCTCTTCTCCGTGTTCTGGTCCGACCCCAGCGCCATCAACCGCGCCACCCGTGTCCACACCCACGGCAACGACAAGAAGCGTTTCCTGTCTGTCAAGTTCCACGACAAGGGTGGTAAGCAGAACAACAAGACTGAGACTGTTGACGTCAACTACGAGATCCCCATCAACAACTCTGACAACGAGCCTCTGTACTGCCGCTCCAGCGATGGCGCCGATATTTGGCCCTCGCTCTACGAGAAGGCTTTCGCCAAGTGGATTACTGGCTCGAACTCTGAGCAACCGGATATCACCCAGACGCACTGCGGTGATCCCATCAAGGCCATGGCCCAGATCAACGGCCGCACGCCTCACTACTACAACTGTGACAACCACTCTTCCCATACCCTTCTGGGCTTGGTCCGCGCCAACAGCGTCAACAACAAGACCATCAACCCCATGACGGCCTACACCTATGCCACCGGCCGCGAGTTCCACGGCGCCAACATTGTTGCCAACCACGCGTACTCCGTTCTAGGCTACTGCGTCATTGGCGATAAGCAGTATATCGTCCTGCGCAACCCGTGGGGTGTCACCGAGCCCCAGGGTCTCACCAGCTACACTGGTCTCCTCGGCCGTCTCGAGCCTGAGATTTGGAACCCCGCCACCCTCCTCGACCACGGCGGTCTCTTTGCTCTTGAGGCTGAATCCTTCAAGCGATGCTTCTCCTGCATCGGTGTTGCCAAGTAAACGTTGCAAAATAAGTGACCGGTCACTTATTTTGCAATGGAATTCAATGGCACTTAGTTTGGCAACTTTGATTTGGAGTATTGGTTCGCTAGTTTCTGCTCTGCTTTTCACTGTGTCGCAGGCTCATTCATGGATTTGGGTCTCAGCAAAGTTGTATCGTATCGCTGTTCTTTTCGCCCGATGCTGATTACCGGGAGTGGGCTAAAGCAGCTGGCGGTGTGACGGAAAATGGCAGGAAACTCAAAAGCAGATTGAAAAGTTGGTTTGGTACTCGTTTCGATAGCAAAATTTAACTTTAGTTGCCAAGATCACTGGTATTAGTGTTGTCGTCAGTGAACATACATAAGGTACAAATCGTCAGTGAAGTGCAATGGCCTTCCACTCGTTGCCCGTTTGACAGAGGATGTCCTCATATCCATTGATCAAGCATTCTCCCACGAGTTTGCAGTGACCGAGAAATGATACGTCCTTGAGACACAACAAGTCGAAGCCTGAGCGGAGCAATGATAAAAGGTCAGTCTCTTCCACGTCCATCGCGACATGACTGTCGGCCATCGGCCGAACAACAAATGGCACTCGCGCCCCACGTAACGACACTACAAGATCGTTCCTTTTCGCCCCGGGCGGTAACACAACTGTGTGAAATTCTGAAAGAGGATCGATCGTTCTATTGTAGGCTCCGATAGACTTATTTTCGAGCATGCTCGTCTTGTCAATGACTCTGTTGATGACCTGCTCACCTTCCCCGGACCAGGCAGCTGTCTGTCGCCCTCTAGAGAGCAAGTGACTTTCGATTGTGTGGGATCCCACATCCGGAGTATTCCCTAGTGATCGAAGAACGGTTTCCATACTTTCAGGTGGGCCAGAAGGCAGTCTTGACTCATCGTGGGTCCCTACGTATTTCCTTCTGTGTTTCTGGAGGAGAAGCCGAGCCCATCTCGCCATGATTTTCCGACGCAACTCTGTAGGGTCGTCGCATTGATTTCTGATTGCTTGGAATGAAAGTTCGTCGGCTCCCCGAAGCCTGATATCAGGCCCGGCGTGCACTATGGTGCCGATTACTGAACCAATCGTCAGGAGGACCTTGTTGTCGTTGACCCATGCCATGCTCTTGGAGGCTATGTCTCGTCGTCTTTCACGTTCTTCATCTTTCTCTTCACTCAAGTAACTCAAGATTGTTGGAACGATGGGGCTAGCGGGATCAAGAGGTAGTGAGTCCTCACTGAGTTCAGCGGCATACATGGCCATCAGCCGCTGCCCTCGAGCGGCCTGGCTTGCATCCCAGTCAGGAACCCACGAAGGCAGCGCATCAGCTTGACCAAATCCATGCAAAGAAGACAAGCCGTTGATCGAGTGATCAACGTAGCTCAGTATGTCGAGACTCTTATGTTCTTCCATGATGTAGCGGGCCAAATCAGTTTGTACCTCGGCTTTGGATTTGCCGTAATCCACAGCCATCAGTCTATTGTCAAGATCCACATTCGTTGAAATCCCTAGAAGAGCAAAGATTTTATCCCGGGGGTCTGATGCTTCAAGCTGACGAGCTCTGGCAAGCATGTCGATGATGTGTGCGCTTCTACCACCATAGTTGGTGACCTTGGTGTGCCAGGATGGTCGAAGTTGGACCAAATCATGCGACTCCTGGTAAGCGCAGCGGGCCTGAAACATGTCGCGAACAATATCAACTCTCTCGATGGCTTGCATGCTGTATCCATAGCGGTCGTGGTATCGTGGATTCAGCAAAATGAGCTTGCAGAAGTCGTTCCAGGGGACTCTGCGACGACCACACTGTATCGACACTTTTTTCGATACAACAACTTCTTGGAGAACCCAAACGCGCAAGAACCATGCTTTTTTGAGGACGCTGAGCTCAACATCAGCCACATCTCCTCTGAAGTATATAAGATCCTCCTCCAGAGTGGACGGTAGCTGGGTGTCTTCGTTGCCGTCTTCGTCCAGTGCCCACTCGCTTTGTCTTTCTAGAAAGTTCCAAGCTGAGGATGTGGTATTGCTTCCATCGTCTTCTCCAAGGTAAATAACTGTCTCCATAGCGGAGGAATATATATTGCGCATTTGATGAACTTGGTGGTTTCGCTCCGCAATATCATTCTGGTTGATACATAGCGCGTCTGCCCAAAGCCGTATCGGACGATCTCGACGACGAAGATGGCGGAGTGCTTCGGAAAGGTTTCTTCCAATGAAGACCTCGTGACCATTAACGTAAACTGGCTGAGGATCTTTCTGGTCTCCCCATACATACGACAATGCTACGTACGACTGCTCGAGCTCCTGGCAAGTGGATATTTCGGTCGCCAACAGCTCGCACTGGACTTTGGAACCGTGAGTAATGGCGGGGTAAAGGGTCAACACCCGAACCACGTCGGAGTGTGCCAGAGGAGTATACATTGTCGATGCATAGGCCGGTAGTGATTAGGCAGGTGGATCGTCTGCGGACATGACCGTCTCACAGTGAACTTCTCAGTCCACATGCGATCGTAGTAGGTAGGGAGCAAAATCTCGTGGAAACCCAGAAGCTTAGCTTCTGGTCAGCCGGAGAGCATGGGGTTGCATGAATATTACTTAAGCAGATCAAGGTCGGCACGACTGGCTGCAGCATGCAGAATCTCGGCTGGAACTACCAAAACTGGCTAGGTGAGTAGGATAGAGCAAATTGGACATGTCAAATCCACTAACAGAGAGGGAAAAATGAAGTTGTCTACGCAGTGTTTCTTTGGATGATTTCGCACCATCTATCCACTAGGAAGGCTCAGAGCCGTAAATGAATGAGCATAAATAACAACCATTTGGGAGGATTTGCAGTTATTTTGATAAGGTGGTCTTCGAAATCCGCGGTCGCGACCCATCATCCAGTGTAGACCATGATCGAAGCAAAGCAAGCGAAAGAGTCAACTGACGACGAATGAACTGACTAAAGTAAGCAAGTGCTTTTTCGTAAGCTTCGTATTTTGACTTACGGTACCTGATTCAAATTCATAATCTGCAAGCGATCGTAGAAGCGTTGAACATTATGTGCGCTAGTGCTGAGCTCGCGCACGCATGCACCCCAAAGACTTTCGCTGCTAGAAGGCGGGTTGGTCTTTCGGCGTCTTCTGAACTAGACGGAAGTCCATTAGCTGTGTTCTATTATGAATTTTTTGCTTCATGGAATAGAAGATGATGCGGCATGGATGCTAGTCTACGGGGTCGATGTTCACAGGTACAACAGGAGGCTGAGTGCCGTTAACGAGACGCGTTGCATCGGTCTTCAGTGGCAAGAGAGATAAAATCTTGAGATATAACATGATGTATGAATATCCTGTTTCAAAAGCTACCTCTCATAAGTTGCGGGAGGGTCCGCGAGGTCCTAATTGGTTCCACGAAGAGTGAGCCAGATCTAGGTCTAGAAACTGCACGGAGAAACAACCATATCGCGCAAGCAAATGATCGTCATTTCCCACATCAATAATGGAACCGCGTAATTATCACGGTGACTAGCAAGAACCTCTTTGGTCTGCGTGCATAGTCAGGCAGATTTAGCCTTTAGCCCGCATCAGGCCAGTGGTATGATACCCCGATATGAGCACAAGCCAACCGACGGCGTGGAGCAAACATCTCGATTGAGCAGTTGAGCAGTTGAACAGCCATATATGAGCTGATTTGAATGTCCCCGAAACGGTCCGATATTATTTCTTCTGCAATTCCAGAACGTTTGTATGTTCTCAAAGCCTGTCCTAAAACATGTCTATTCACTCCGAGATTGTAAGCCTCGAGACCGTCCGCCCTGGGGAGGTAGAAAGCCAAGATGAAGCCTTGCGTCAGCCTATCCGCCCAGCAGACAAAGGGCTGTCTGCTTGGCTGTTCATACTTGCATCTTTTGTTGCTGAAGCCATTCTCTGGGGTATGTTTGTCGGCCAAAGTCTTCAATAGCTTCATCTCAGATACTTACACAGGTATCTAGGCTTCCCGCTGTCATACGGCGTCTTCCAGGATTACTACTCAAAGCATCCTGCTCTCAAACATGACTCAAACATTGCCGTCATTGGAACCGTTGCCACTAGTGTCTACTACCTTGGTGGACCACTCGCAACGCCCTTTGCAGCACGGTTCCAGGCATGGCAGCGACACATGATCATCATCGGCTGGCTTGGATGCGCCTTATCCCTTCTGGCTGCCTCATTTGCAACCTCGGTGCCTGGTCTCATCGCAACCCAGGGGTTTCTCTACGGTTTTGCGTTCCTCTTTGTCAACTATCCACTTCTGCGGATGCTCAATGAGTGGTTCATCGAGCGCAGAGGCCTTGCATATGGAATCATGTCGACCGGTGCTGGTTGTAGCGGAGTCGGCTTACCATTCCTTCTCGAGTCACTCCTTGCAAAATACGGATATCAGACAACATTACGCGCCATGGCTGTGGCACAATTCGTCACCTTACTTCCCATGATACCCTTCATCAAAGGACGGCTTCCAGCCTCGAGACGAGGCACGTTGAAGAAAGGCGACTTCAATTTCTTCAAAAGGCCGCTATTCTACTGCTTTGCCTTCACCAACTTCCTAGAAGCTCTCGGATACTACATCCCTGCACTCTATCTACCGACATACGCAACGTCGTTGGGATTGTCGGGGACGATGGGTGCGCTGATTCTAGCTGCGAACAATCTAGCCACGGTCTTTGGCCAGCTCGCCCTCGGCTACATCACAGACCGCGTCAACAATGTTCTCGTTCTCGTCTTCGCCTCCTCATTTGTTGCTGCAGTTGCGACCTTTGCCGTCTGGGGCTTTGCCTCGTCCCTTGCACCTCTACTTTCCTTTTCGTTGGTGTTCGGGCTGGCGACGGGCGGGTTTCCATGTCTTTGGAATAAGTTCGGATCGACCCTCTCAGAAGACCCGGGGCACGTATACAGTTTCATGGCATTTGGCAAAGGTGTCGGCAATATTCTGACGGGCCCGATCTCTGCACTGCTGTTGATGGGACCTTTGACACGTGGGTATGGTCTTGGACGGTTTGCGCCGTTGATCTTGTACACTGGATCGATGATGTTGGCTTCATCGATGGGGATTCTTGGTTGGCCGTTAATGCGGCAGGCTGGTAAACGATAGGTGTTTGCTCACATTGCATCATGCGCCGCCATGTTTGTTTCTCACAGCGCTGGGTGAGATTAGTCGGGCCTGCATTGCTACCTCAACTTCTTTGCTACAGAATGTAGATCTGGCTCGGTGTCTGAGGCATGGACATTGAAGGGGCGACTGCCAATGAATCATCAGTGCCACCGCAATGACAAGCATCAATGATTCTATGGAATATCAAAGTATGTGTAGCACTAGACTTCAAATACAACTTCGTGTCGTCCGGAGCTGTCTAGGTTTCTTGGGGAAACAAGCGACACCAATAATCACACAGTTGCTGAGCCGCCCCCAGCAACCGAGTCCTTCAACTAGACAGGCTTCAACGCCGAGAAACGTGGCGTAATTGTGGAAAGCTGCAGAATGATACCATACATGGACAAAGGTCCGAGGTTTAGAGTGGCTCCTGGCCGACTTCTCTCAATTGTTTGTCATATGGAGAGTGGGAGCCTTTTCCCGGCTGCAGCGTAACTAAGCCCGGCCGTCCCGTACGGCGTTATCACCTCACGCCCGCAAACGTAACCTATCACACGTGTTGCTTGAGCCGGGGACTGCATAACGCTCCGCTTTAACTCTGGGCACGGAGTTATGAGCCAATGACAAGCCAGTATCTGTCGCGCGAGCCTGCGCTGTTGGTGCAGGCGCAAGTTCAGATGCCTGTTCGAGAACCGATTGATGGGACTTTACTCCGCCGATGAACAACAAGTCCGGCACTAGAAACATGTTGGAACTTGGAACATGCCGCTTCTGCCTGCAATGTATTTAGATCTCACGTTCCCCTCCTCTACTCAATTCCAACCTCATGTGCCTCGGATTGAACTGCACTTTTGTCTTGACTCTCGTCCAGGTTATTAGTCATTGACTGATCTACCCTTAGAGATCAAAGTTCACTTGTTGGAAGTGTATCCCTAAGGCGAGTAGACTGTCAAGTATCAAGTACCGACTCATATCCCGCAAGAATGCAGCAAACCGAACCTCCGCACACCGTAAGCTTGTCTGACTGTCTGTTTGGTTATGTCACGACTGGCTGACGACAACAATTGCAGGAAATTGAGGCGGATGATGGAATATCAACAGGCGATGTGAGTTTAGGCATTATGGTCTTTGTCGGAGTATTTGAGTTTCTCGAACCTCACTGATTGTGTTTGAACTCGTTCAAAGCTTTACGAAGACTCCTCGGTGGCTTCATTGAGATCAAGCATTTTGGAGCATGAGGTTGAAAACGGCCGCACATATCACTCCATGAGCTCCGGAAGTACGTATAGTTGACCAATCAGCTCAAAACATACCAGCGTATTGACTGTACTCTTGTCAGAATACCAATACCCGAATGATGAGGTGAGTGGCTTCAAAGTGGCCAGTCTGGCGTACTTTCGCAACACTGTAACAGCAGAACAAGTTCACTGACAAACACATCAGAAAGAAAATGATCGTTTAGGTAATTCCAAGCACACATGTCTATCCTGAGCTATGCGCTGCCAAGTCTTTTACGTAGCCATGATGCTGATCGATGTAGATTTCCAACATCATATTTGGAAACTCACCTTAGGAGGAGCACTCGCAACTGCCCCTGCTCATAAGACCGCGAAGCGTGTCTTAGACATGGGCACAGGTACTGGTATCTGGGCTTGTGAATATGGTTGGTGTTTTCTATTCCAGCGGTTGACAACCGTTCATTTGCTAATGAAGATGCCCAGCGGACGAATTTCCATCTACCGAGGTATGTATGCAACTCTCATGGAGAAGCTCTTCGGTCTTTGCTGGGATCTTTGATTATCGTGCTGACGTACCACCAGGTTATTGGTGTTGACCTGAGTCCTATTCAGCCTGAATGGTAAAGTCAAGCTGTACTTCGACCTGTTGCGCCACTAGACTAATCAGACGCTGACAGGACACCCCCGAATTGCATATTCGAAATCGATGATCTTGAGAAAGAGTGGACCTGGACCGAGCCGTTTGACTACATTCATTGCCGTACCATGGAGGGCTCATTCGCAAATCCACCGAAGATCATCAAGAAGATTTACAAGTAAAGGAGACTAGCGAAACCCAGTTGTGGATCAACTGCATCACGAACTAACATTTTGAACAGAGCTCTTGAGCCCGGCGGATGGTTCGAGGCAGGAGGTTTCGTGCTCCCTATGGGCTGCGACGACGGCACTGTCCCCAAGGATTCGGCTCTCGCTCGCTGGCATGATCTTCTCGCCGAGGCAGGTGAACGCTGCGGTCGCTCCATCGAGAGCCCTTCCAAGTATACGAGCGCCATCGAAGAGGCTGGGTTTGTCGACATCGTGAACAAGCAATACGTATGGCCTCTTAACTCGTGGCCCAAGGACGAGGTCCTCAAAGAGATCGGCCAGTGGCAATTCGTTAACCTCGACTTGGGTATCGAAGCACTTTCTATGGGCTTGCTGACGCGGGTAATGGATTGGACGAAGGAGGAAGTCTATGCCTTCTGCGCCGAGCTCCGTAATGATCTCAAGAAGAAGGAGTATCACGCCTACTGGAGGGTGTAAGTCTTCCTTGATGACTTTCTTATGCACCTGCGTCTCTACTTGATCTTATGCTGACACTCTTAGCCACGTTGTCTACGCTCGCAAGCCGCTGATTGAAGAAACTCCCGAGGAAGCTCCCGAAGAGTGATAGGGACCAAGAGGGCTAGGCCTCGAGTTCTGGCACTGCGAGACAAGACACCTGGACCATGTTTAACCAATTCTCCACTGGCTTCAGTATTTGTAAACTGAGGAGAAGTGACTGTGCTACAGTCACCGTTCTAGATCCCTGTCAGGAAAGTACTTAGTTATAAAAGATGACTGCAAGTCTGCGCAAAAGCAGTGAAGCCTAGGAAGACTGTCTACGCACGGCATGGGGCACCTAATTTCCCCCAATGATACTTTGAGCATGTGGCTGTTCGCCAACTTCGGACTGCGGTTTGAGCAGCCTTCACCTTTGAACGTAGTCTGCCTAAGTTGGATAACTACCTCCAAGGTGTGGGCCCTTTGAACGTTGCATCCGTGGGAGCATGGGATAGGGTGAGAGTGAAAAAAATACTTGCTCACACCGCACGGACCAAAGAGGACTCTACTTAGCACTGCTAGGGGCTGACGCTCCCAACCAACTATCACTGGATGTAAACATCCACCAATCCCCGATAGTCTAGTGGTGAGGATATCTGCTTGTCATTGAAGATTCAACGATTCGCAGGGGACCGGGGTTCAATTCCCCGTCGAGGAGTAATCTTTTGCATTCTTGCCAATTGAATAATTTTATTTTGTCAATCACCATCGTAGCTCTTCGATCAACTGATTTTGGAATGCTCCCGCCCGATCGGACTCGTGCAAGGAGGACTTGAATGCATGGAAGGGTCTGTATGGACTATCCCACCACATCGTAGATACATGCACACCTTTTCTCACTGGTCATCGCGTACTGAAGTTAAAAGCAAACTACATCAGGAGAGATATGAATGAAGACATGTATGTCGTTGAATTACACAACGTGCTAGGCTGGTGAGGGTATTCGCGAGTCGGGAGTCGGAATTAATCCGCATCCCCCCGGCCGAGGTCAAACGAAGTCAACAGACAAGCTCCCCATCATCGGCCGAAAAGATGAGATCATTTCTTTACCCGTGCCGACCAATCTTCCAGACGAAATGACTGGGTCTAAGAAGAAAGGATGCACGAGCGGTTCCCACTTCCCTGGGTTCAGCATGGTCTAACAAACGCGGGCCTCCAGCTATCGAGAATAGTTTAAGCTTGTTCCTGGTGGGAGAAGGGGTCATGTGTTTGTCTCCTGCAGTCAGCCACGAGTTCAGTTAGACTATTTAGGCGTTCGCTGTGGTTGGTTCTTTCGACCTTGTCGAATCTCGCTACGACGCGAATAAGTGTGATGGCAGCGCGCAGACTTCGACAAGCGTTGCGCATATCCGCAGATGTGTGTACGTGATACAAACTGACTCTCATCGTCGTATACACAGCGGCGAGCCGCTCATGGTTGATATTGCAATTGACACATTGTGCGGCGCATGTCTTGCTTGTTAATCCCATTATCCCCCAAAATTTGCCTCATTCGCCAAGGCGGAACAAAGGCAACCCCTCCTTTTCTTATAGCGGATCGTGGGCCCGCAGGCTCCGAAAGCCCACCTCGCGTTTGTTCCAGTCTGAGACGCGTTTTCTCGTTGAACCCGCTCTTGGAGAGGAAATGAGATCCAGCAGAAGGAAAATGCGCTGGATCCCTATTTCCCATCTGCTGTTGTTGATAAGTCACTGAAATCCTGATTCACCTTTCATGAAGTCGATCCGAACGACATTGGCAAGGCTCCACGTCGAGTGACAAACAAATTTCTTGCTGCTTTCGCCCGTAGGCTCATCCATCCTGCGTCTTTCCAATTTCCCATCCTGCGGCTCCTGCGGGGACTTTGGTTGTTCGAACCGGGGGAGAAAGGAAACAAGCAGCGAACCGCTGTCGTAGAGTATGTTGAGATTGCGGCGCGGACGACCTTTCGAAAGTCCTGACATGGGCGACGGCCGGATCGGTGCAAGTGCATCACGGTGAGAGTCAGACTGAATCGTTTGCTTTGTTGAATTAGGTTGACGCCACGCGCACCACGCCGCAAAGGAACTGGTTAGAAGTTGGCCGCCATGTATTGGGAAGCTGGCTCGATTGGAAGCAGCAACACACCCAAAATTACCTGGAGGATCGCGGGATGGCGCCTGAAGGTTGAAATTGAGTAGGATTCATGAACCGTTCAGGAACCATTCAGGAACCGGGACTGGTCGTGGAAAAAGGAGTTCCTGGCGCAGCGCCGCACACGCCCAATCGAAGCCCCTGCCGACTTCTCGGGCGCCCAATAGACTGGGGAACAGATGAACTTGTGAAGCAGTCAGCCGTCCGTTTTGGGCCAGCAATTCCCCCTTTTCCCCTCAAAACACCAACAGACAAACCACACCAGAAAGTGGTGAACCAAGCAGCCACCAGAGGCCGAGCAGCAAAGCCGGGCTAAACTGTGCCGCAAACTGCTTAAATGCTCTCGCTTAGGCTGACGCTACGTGAGGCCACTCTAACCGCTCCAAGAAGTACCATCCGTGCCACGGTCCTGTCTTGAGTGACATGCCCGCCATCGTGAACCGCCCAACTGGCACCGGACAGCCCCCTTGCGAGTAAGAATCTCTGACTCTCTCTAGGTAGGCGGCTTGCCAACGCCGAGGCGCGCTGTGGACGATAATACGAACTTGTCTTTTGCCTTGGGCCCTTGGCTCCGCGTCGTTCGATGATTTCACGGCCGAGAGGATCCGGGGTTGACTCCACCCCTTTTGCGGCGCGGACGCAGCTGATGCCTATGGGCAATTTCCCGGATCCTCGACCTCCCAAAGAGCACATAATGGCCGCGATGCCCCCCCTAAACTCGCACCGGACTCTCAGGTTTTCCCTCTTGCTCCCTCACCGATCCCAGTCACTCTTTTAATACTATCCGGATCCGAAAAAAAAACTCCACCAAAAATGCGTTACTTCTCCGTTGCCCTCGCCCTCGCGGCCCCTCTGGTTTCCGCCATCGAGTTCACCAGCCCCTCGGCCAACTCCACCGTCGCCAAGGGCAAGAGCTACGAGCTGTCGTGGAACACGGTCGACACGGACCCTTCGACCTTCAGCGTCTTCCTCGTCAACTTTGTCAACTGGCCTCCTTCCTACGTCCTCTTGGCCCAGGACCTCGAGACCGCCGCCGGCTCTGCCTCCATCGACGTTCCCTGCTCCACCCTCAACTCTGAGGGTTACCAATTGTGAGACATTCTCTTTCTTTTGTTTGTCGTTCTGTCTCTGGCTCTTACACCGTTTTCTTCTTCTTCTCTTTTGTCAGTTGTCTTGACTCTTGACCCTTTGCGGTCTCGAATTCCCATTTCTACCCCTGAACTGTGCCCCGATTAGCCTGTACCGGGGCAGGGGTAAGAATCTGGCGAGTCATGCACTGTAACGGTCATTTTAAATGAACAGCGGAGTGAACCACTCCAAAACAGAAAGAAAGAAAACAGGGGGTCAAATAAGATTGAAGTGAAGGGTGAGGGGGGAATTATGTGGCTAACCCGAAATCCAAACAACCAGCAACGCCATCAACGGCACCAACGTCTACGTGATCTACGCGCAGACGCCCAAGTTCTCCGTCACCGGATCCGACTGCACCGATCCCACCACGCTGCCCCCGGCTTCGCCCTCCACCTGCGCGCCGCCGAGCACCGTCACTGTCACGGTGAGCAAGACCCTTTCCAAGAACTCCACCGCGACGGCGACGGGCGGTTTCTCGGCGGCCCAGAGCAGCTTCATCACGACCACCGCCGCCGTCCCGGCCACCACTCCCGATGCCCCCGTCTTCCATGGCACTTGTCCTGACACCATTGGCTGGGCCTCAGACTACCATCACCCCGTAACTCTCACCAAGCCCCCTCACCACCCCGAGGCCACCGGCGCTCCCTACCCGACCGGCTCCTTCAGCGCCAAGCACGACGAGGAGGTGACTACCATTTACCGTACCACCTACCTGCCTTTGGAGCTGGCCCCGACTGGTGCTTGCAAGTGTTAGAGTAACCTAACATGACAATTTACACTGACAAGACTCTCCACGACTAATTAACAAACGGCCTTGACGTGAAATCTGTGGTCGAAACCGGGAAACGGAAAACCGGGAGGAAAATCGGGGGTTGTTGCAGCTTGCGTCGTCTCCTTTGAGGCAAAAAACTTTCTTGGACGTTGGTGGTTTGGTGTAATACTTTTTGGGCAGCAGAGAAGAAAAAAATGGAACTGAGGTTACGAAGTGAAGGCCGATGTTCGAAATCACTTCAGTACCCTTCTCCCCTTGAGGCCCTCAACTCACCCCGCATCAAGCCTACCGCGTCTTCCTTTTCTCTTTGTGTGTATGCGCTTCACTTCGTAATGTCTAAATGTCTCATGACAACTATTAAAAAAGATACCATCAAAATCAAGAACATTTAGGTCTCGCTGAACGTGAGTTCCATCCCCCGTGACTGCACGTCCGGACACTTGCGAGAGTTGCAAAACAGAGAAACAACAAGCAACCCCGGCAACGCCAATAATAGCCCGCGCTGCCGCAGCTCCGTGACGCCAAGCCGTGCCGAGATGGTGGAGACGGTACCACTTGCGGCGCCGTCCGATGTCACTCAAAACCGATCCCACCTCATGCGCGCCAGCCATGCCGTGCCGGCCTGGCGTAGTGTTTGGCGATGGTTCTAGCCACATCCCCCAACTTGACGTGCGTTTTAATAGCATCTCTCCCCTGGATCTTGCCTACTTTTCTGTCTTCCCACTGCGGTTGCAGGGTTTCCTCCATACCCGGCAAGTTGGATCGGCGTACAACACGCCTAAAGTTGAAGGTTTTGAAAAAGATCCCCCCCTCGTAGGGCCCGAGCACCCAAGGCGAGTCCCTGTTGCACTAGTAGATAGAGCTTCATGCGGCTCAAGGCAACTCTCGATACCACGTTCTACGGCCCGGGTTCACGTCCACGTCACCCTGCCAAACACGGGGACGGTAGAACTAGCTAGCCTAGTCCAAAGTAAGCATGTTCTTGTATTGCGGACACTGGGGAAACGCACTTCTGACGACATCCGATTCCATATGTCGTTCCCTTATTGTCGTTCCTCTTTTGGGTGATGTTTGGGACTGTAAGTGACCGGTTCTCTCTTTCCATCTTTTCCCCGGACTGTTCATCACTTCATCTCGCCTGTCACTTGGTTCGTGATTATTGTCGTTCTTCTTGTCTTTTTCAATCTGGATAGAATTTGAAGCTTGATGCTTCGTGGTTTACTCTTTTAATTCATTTCATCACATTCTTTGCTGCTGCGCAGCCCAAACTTCTCTTTCTTGTATTTTCTTGATTCGTCTTATAAAAGATGCGTTTCTCGTCCATGGTGGCCGTCGCCCTCTTGGCGCTTGGCGAGACTGGGCTCTGTGATCGCCAAGAAGGGCAGTCAAAGTTGTTTTCTGTAAGCCATCTTGTCCAAGCACTTCAGTACAACCAAGAGATCAGATCATGTCTTGGTAACCATTCCACTTCTTTCATTACGATATCTAACACGGCTCTTCACCATAGGGTAGCGTCGCCAGCCGCGCCGCGGTCCTCGTAAGACAAGAAGTCGAGAAGCCCACTGTCGAAAAGAGACAAATCAGTTTCGAAAACGGCGGCATCAGCATCGGCGGCGCCGGAGGTCTCCAACTCGGTGGCAAAGGCAAAGGCAACAGCAACGGCCAGGCCACGGCAGGTCAACCCGGCACCAATGTCGCCGGTAACCGGACCGCCAACAACAACGCCGGCCTGACCATCGGCGGCATCAACCTCGGAGGCGGCAACGTCGGGACCACTGGGGGCAAGGGCAACAACGGAGGGACCGGCAACAGCGCGTTGGACGCTTTCCTGAACGCGGCAAACGGCAAGAAGAAGAACAACGGCACTGCTAATGCTGGTGAGGGAGCCGCTGCGCCGGGTAAGGCTGCTGGTGGCGAGGGACAAAAGGCTGGTGCGGGTGCTGGGGCTGCTGCCGGTGGTGGAAAGCAGAAGGGTGAAGGCGGCCCTGGAGCTAACCCCGGTGAAGCTGCTAAGGCTGAGCAGGGACTCGGAGCGAACCCTGGTGAGGCTGCAAAGGCCAATGAAGCCGCGAAGGAAGCTCAACGGAAGGGTGCCGGCGCCGGGCTCGGGGAGGCTAAGCCGGCTGGCCAGGCTCCGCCCGCGAATGCTGCCGAGGGAGCCAAACCTGCTGAGGGGGCCAAGCCTGCCGAAGGGGCCGCACCTGCGGAGGGAGCAAAGCCGGCTGAGGGAGCAAAGCCTGCCGAAGGAGCTGCTGAGGGACAGCCCAAAGCAGTGAAGGAATCTGAGCAGTTCAAGGACAATGCCGGCATCACTCTCGGTACTGATGGCCAAGCTCAGAACAGTAAGCTCTCGAAACGGCACCGCATCTTTCTTGATGGCTAACAGTAGAAAACAGTCGGAGGCAATCTCGGTATCACAAAGGGTAGCGATGGCAGCACATCTGTCGGCGGCAAGTCTGGTAAGACGTCTCACTTCCACCTTTCGTTACAACACCTTTACTGACGATAGTCACATCAGGTATCAACATCAGCCCTGGTGGTGCTCAGAGACAAGGCAAGGGAAAGGGTAACGGCCAGCAGCAAGCGACGCCGCCGCCTGCCGAAGGACAACCGGCTGCCCAGCTTCCAGCTGCTGCTCCGGAAGCCCAGCCGGCTACTCCTGCAGCTCCGCCCGCTACTCCCGCCGCTGAGGCGTGAGGGGGTTCTCTGCGGTTATATAGCACTCTGCACGGTACAAGAACTAAGAATGAGGAGCTTACTTCAGAGGGTACACAGTGTGGTGCTTGACTTGTTGAGGATTAACTAAATAGATAGGGACAGCCACGAGGGCTATGTTCATATCCGCCATCGCATCGCAACAATATTCCGTGCCTCCTATCGCAGCTCTCTGAATACATGGAGGAAGAATTCCTTCTGCCTACTAGCTAAAGTACTCGTGTATGCCAACCCTTCGGAACCACAACCAACATTTGAATTCTCCGTCTATAACATATCTGCGCATGTGGCGTCGGAGTTGCTCCCACGGCGACTTCAAGCAGAAGCCGAAGAAGCTTGAGACTCGCCGACCTTACGGCAGTCGCAGTCGGTAGGGCAGTTGGCCGCCCCCAAGGTGCGCAAGCGAACACCTTGCTCGGTGAGAAGAATCTCAAAGACCGCCTTCCGAATCTCGCAGGCCCAAGCGTACACCTTAGTGCCCTTCTCCTTGAACACGTTGCGGAGATTACTGTAGTTCTTCTTGTGCATAATCATCCAGTCTGCCAAGTCCTCGTAGTCGGTGCGACGAAGAGGGACAATGCCAGCGTGCTTGACGGGAAGGGGGCGGCGCGGGCCAAACATGGGGATCATCGCGAAGGCCAAGTGAAGCTCCTTGAGGTTGGGGAGCACCATGGCAGCGTGGACGTTCTTGTCTAAGCCCTGGGGGAGCATGATTTTGAACTTCTGGATGCATTCCATGAACTGAAGTCCCTCGGGAGTAGGCAGGTGGAGCGCCATTCCGAGAAAGTTGGCATAACGCTCGAGGACCTCGACATGTCCGCCCAGGAAAACAAAGGCCACGACGAAGTCGTCGATGGAGGGAAGGACCCAGGTCGTCATTTGGAATCCGACAGCCATTCCGGCCGGGCTCATCTTGGATCTGGGAAGGCGGCGGTACGTCTGATGGACGAGGGCGCGGGACTTTTGGTTCAGCTGGGAGGCCATTCGGATACGAAAGAATCGTCGCTTCATGGCTCTGATGTGGTCCAGATCGCTCATGTTCATGTCGGTGAGGACGAGCTTTGAGGGAGTGTCCTGCTTGTATGCGATGCCCCAGTTCAAGCACTGCTCCTTGGACGCGGCATCGTTGATGAGGGCATCAATGATAAGCAGGACGATGTCCATTGATAGAGAAGCCGGTCCGGTCTTGCCAGGAGGAGTAGGTTGGAGACCCTTTGACAGGGAAATGGGCTTGGAAGACTGATTCTTGGGAGCCCGCGTGCCTTGACGGCCCTTCTTGTGCTTGTTGTTGTGAGGCATGATTCGGGGTACGGGTATGAGAGGGATGGTTTGTCGAGGAAGGTTCGTGTGGTAAGTCGATAAAATCTGACAAGATATGAGTTAGCTAGAGCAGAGATGAGGATAACAAATGGTCGTCTCACCGGTTTCTTGCTGAATCTACCTTTTCGATAGGAGCAAACGGGTGATACTCCTATTGATAGATGGAAAGAAAAGATTCAACTTTTCTCCCCTACAGAAGGGGATAAATGTAGAGGAGAAGAAATCTGTGTGTGGGAGAAGCGGAAATTGTGAGAGGAAGAAAGATTGAGGTCTTCTACGTACCGTGGTGAGCGAGGAATCAAGTAAGACAACTTATGAATTTAGGCAGGCCGCAGGTGAAGCTGCAGAGTACCTCACCGCCTTACCACCTGACAAAAAGAGGTCCGTTTGAATGATACATCGCCAGATATCTGCCACAGAATAGAAGCGTTTCTATCCATCAAAGTTGTGCCTTCCCGTCGCTTCCCTTTGCTCCTTTGTATCTGGGTTGTTCCTGCCTCTTTTGATCGAGAACACTGGCGCCTTCCACTTGCTGGTCGCACCTCCCCCTCCCCCAGACATGTTGACGCCTTCCTGGGAAGTTGCCTTCATGATTCTACCGGTCATGTGACGAGGTATGTGGGTAGAGGACTTCGAGAGGAAGGTGCTGCTCGTACCTCACCTAGGTACCTTACCTACCTAGGTAGGTGATTACTTCGCACCACGGCAATGCTGCCTCGAGCCCATCAAAACATTCTACCCGCATCAACTGATAAACCCGACATCCCCTTGATATTCTCTTCTACCTGGATATTATCGTCAATCACATCGTCAGAGGATTTTGGGTCCATGTTTGGGTGCCGGTTCTCTGACCAAATCGCGGGAAGTAGTCGAGATATCGGATACTTCGACATTCTCCCATACAAGGTGAGAAGGACCGAGCATACTTGTCTTCTCATACCTACAATGCTGACTTCTGTCGTTGATACCAGGACGAGCTTTTCGAACCGTCACAAAGCAGTTACTCCCTCACTACCACGCCAGTGACTAGACAGCATCAACATGAGCGACGCCGACGAAGATGTCCATGCGCACAGTAATGTAGCGACCAAGTCCATCGCAGCGACTACTCTCCCAAGACTTGATAAGGCTGCCACCCTGCCATTTGAGCTTGTCCTCAACATCATGGACCATGCCATTCATTACGCTGAGAGTATCGATTTCTGGGAACTGAGTTGGGAGATGGAGAGAGACGACAGTCAAGCTCTCGGCGTCTCATTGGTCTTCATAGAAACCAATCTGAATCCTGTGGGCGCCCCACAACGTCGGTTCAATGGCCTTCGCACTCTACTTCATACCA